TTATTATTATTATTATTATTATTATTATTATTATTATTATTATTATTATTATTATTATTATATACATACTAACTAACTAACTAACTAATATATATTAAATTATTTATAAAAAGTTTATATCATTATCTTTTTTAAAATTTCAATATTCTAGTTATTCTTACACATTACGATGAAAAAGAGTATTATTTATGAATCAGATTTGCATAATTGATTTGTAAATCATTTATGAGATTAAATTTTCAGATGTAGAAATTTTTATTACTTTTGTTGAAGTTACTTTTTCACACTCTTGAATCATAGGAAGACAATTTGCATCATCCGGAATGACCGATATTACATAGAACTTATTTTTTATAAATAGATGATAAATCTATACTATTATATTGATACAGCAATAATTTTTGAAATAATTATAAGTAGGAATTATGGAAATAAAATAAATAACAAAAGCAATATATTATTATTAAACTCTTAAAAGAGCGTTTTTGTAGAAGAAATCTGTTCTCTATTAAGTGTGCTTGAATATAACTTTTTTGTAAAGAAAAAATATTTAGAATTTTCAAAGGATTATTGCTCAACATTTAATCAAAACATGAATCTTTATTTTTAACGATTTATGAATTATCCAACTAATTTTTTGAACGTACAAATTCTTTTAATATAAATTAAAAACTTAAGTGAAAAAATGATTTAAGTTGAGCAATCTAAATTGATTTTGAATGTACTTAAAGTGAAAATCAAGAATAGAATTTTTTATTATATAAACCGTTTATAATTAATAATGAGAATATATCATCTGTAATATCTACTGAGTAGTATGATAAAAAAGGTTAATAAATGCATCATTAAATATTATTCAAAAAGAGAGAAAATAATAAAAGTATCATAACTATTAAAAAATATTTAGAAAAATTTGGAATTAAAATTAAAATTTAATATACTGTTTGGATAAAATATTAGAGGATGAATATTTATAATTAGTTTAAGTTTAACAAAATCATATTAAAAAAGCATTTAGATCGCATAATTTGTAATGATATGGATCTATTTTATATAGACTAGAAATTAAAAAAGAGAATATTTAAGAAAATTATTAATTCCAGCAGCAAATGGCAGGAAATGGGGATACTAGCAATGCTAAAAAAAAGCAAATAAACAGCTACCTGATCTGTTAGACCATCAAGAAGTGATAGGTTTTCATTTCCTGCTGTAAATAAAATAATAAAAATTGTATAGACCCTTACAAGTTAATTATTTGCCTCATTTTTAATTACCATTTTTTTTTTTTTCAAGATATTATTTTTATATTTCAAAAATTTGATAAAAGATAAGTGCATAAAACAAAATAAATCAGAAATAAAGTCTTTGACGCTTTCACTAATTTGCTAGTTACTCCAGCACAAGGCTAAATTATTAATCAAAACTTATTTTTTGATTGTCTGGATTTTTCTCATTGAAACTATAAAAAGAAAATTCTTGATTATTTATAGTTAAATCTAAAGATGTTGAGAGATCAGATTCAATTTAATTATCTTGAATTTCTTTATTTTTTATTTGTTTTTTTTATTAATGAAATTATTTATGATGACATTTCTTCATATGAAGCAAAGCCTCTAAATAAACACTTTATTCTGTATCTCTTTTGTTTATTCCACTTTTTTATATTTTTAATGCATTATTTAATTCTAATGTAATTTAATAAAAAGATTTATTTTAATTTAAAGTGGAGTCATCTTTTTTCCATTCTATTATTAATTTAGGTTTCATTTCAAATTCACCTTTGTATGAATTAAGATACTCTAAAAATGATGATTTTGGATTATACTTCCATTATGTTGTAGTTATTTTTTCTCCTCTACTATAAATTTTAATTGATACTTATTTAATAGTTGAACAATAATTGGGTGAAGAATATCTCTAAGAGCCTCAAGATCATTTTATTTATCATAATATTATGCAGCTATTATTGATTTTACACACTCGGATAATATTTTAGGATTACTTCTATGAAATTTAAATTTTTTGTATACTTTAATGATCTTTAGTTTCCAACATTTAAAATTTAATTTAGATTTAATAGTTGAGCAATCTCTGAAAGGTATTTATCATTTATTAATCTTTGTCTTAGTTAAATAATGTCACTAGGTTTTTTCAATTGACTTTATTAATTTGGAAAACTTTTTAGAATTAATCTAAATACCCTTGAAGCAGCATATAATCATAAAAGTAGAATTCTAGCAACTACTATCCTGCTACTGAGAAATCTTCATTATTTCCATATTAAAATTGATTTCCAGTTTTCTAAAAGTATTCCATTTCATGAATTTTATTGGTTAGTGCTTTTACTAAAAGTCTTTAGTTCTTGAATTCTAAAAGTTGATTAAACATTTATATTATTATATTAAATTAAAATAATAGTTCTCTTATTAAAAATCCTAAAGAATTACACTAATGTACAAAATTTAAGATAAATTTTCTATATGTTAATTCTTTTATATTTATTTTGTAAGTTAAAAAGTTCGATAAAAAAAAACAGATTAAAATTTGAATTCAAACTAATCTAACAAAAATTGCTATAGGATATTTTAAAATAAGATTGTCTTTAAATTTAATTATCAACTATCTAAAATAAGAGTTTATTTTAAAAATCTAACCATTTAGGCATTATTGTTTTATTTTTATTAATTTGACTTTACTTAAATCTTTAATTAATGATAAATTATTTTACACAGTTAAAACCATTGAATGTTTTCAATAATTTAATGATAATATAAAATTATTTAAGGCAAAATTAGAAAATAAAAATATCGAAGAAGTTAATTACTTTCTATCTCAATATGTTCAACTTTGCAAAAGTCTTGTAACATTTTTTGATGGATGCTTATGCTCAATCCATTTAAAAAAAATTTTTTAATAATAAAAAGGGTAAAACTTAAAATCTCAAAGTTTATTAATCAATATAATTGGATTATATGGGTAATAAATACTGAAGGACATCTTGATCAAGTTAAATAAGTCTAATAAAATGTAAAGTATTGAATTAATATTTACTATAAGAAAAATGTACATAATTTAAATAATAAATTTAATCAAAAGTAAAATAAACTTTTTCATTTAAGTTATTAAATGGAGACCAAAAACCAAATTTAAGAATTACAAATTTATTACTAAGAATGGGTTTATAGTAAAATATGGCAAGTGGAAGTTAAATCAAAAAAATTATAGAGAGTGTTATACAAGTTTTAAAATTTATGATTTTTAGATGTAAGAGAATTCAAAATTAAAATTGCTTATTTTCTATATAAATCTAAAAAGATAGACGATGGCGATTTCAAAGTCAGTTTTGGACATAAAATATATATATATAATATAATATAATATAATAAAATATAAATTAAAAAAAATATGCATATTTAGATTAATTTATTGTTGAAGAAAAAGAATTAAATAAAATTGTATAAAAAGAAAAGATTTTCCCTAGTCTAAAAATAAAAGAAATCAAAATTCTCTTTTTGTTTTAATTAAAATTTTTAAACTTCTTAAAGAACTTTATAATTAATATTTGAGGTCATATAACATTTTTTACATTATAATTAAATAGTTATAGTAGTATCAATAATAATCATAATAAGAATAATGAAACGAATCAACTGATGTTAAATTATAACAATAGTAAAAAATAGTGAAAAGTTTCTGATAAATTAATCCAAATCAATAATGAGAGGTTTAGATTTTTAAACAAAAGAGATGGAAAATTTATTAAGAATTTAATAAGATGATGAAATTGTTTATTTAGAAATTTGTTAAGAAAATAAATAAAATATATCAAGGAATTTAGCAAAGAATTACAGTTTTAAGTTAAATTTATTATATAAAATTATACATGTTAAAAATCATTAAGTTGAGTTAGATAGCATTCAATAGAAGATCAACTTTATTTTTAGGAGGGATGACTTGCGTAAGTCTTTATTATGCAGGTTATCAAAGGTTTAAGAAAGCATAGTTTTCTTCTCTCTATGAAAATCTAGAATTAAAATAAGTATTAGAATTTATTAATTTAAGGATTATTAATAAGAATATTTAAAGGGTCATTCTAATATTGTAAGAGGATTTTGGAATAAGGTGATTTATTATGGAAAATTGTAATTTAGATTTCTATAATTGATCTTAACTTTTACTCCTCTTATATTATTTTTTCCTTTGGCCCTACTTTTCAAATCATGGTTGTATAAGTATTGGCTGAGATTATTAATTAAGACATTAGAGATAGTAAGTTCTTATTATATAAGGCTGGTCCATTATGGATGAAATTGGGATAATGGGCAAGTCATAGAGGAGATGTATTTGGCTATGAAGTTACTTAAGAGTTAAGTAAATTAAGAGATTCAGCTACACCTCATATCTACTAATATACAAAAAAATCTTTTGAAGAAGAATTCAAATAAAAGATTGAAGNAATATAATATAATATAATATAATAAAATATAAATTAAAAAAAATATGCATATTTAGATTAATTTATTGTTGAAGAAAAAGAATTAAATAAAATTGTATAAAAAGAAAAGATTTTCCCTAGTCTAAAAATAAAAGAAATCAAAATTCTCTTTTTGTTTTAATTAAAATTTTTAAACTTCTTAAAGAACTTTATAATTAATATTTGAGGTCATATAACATTTTTTACATTATAATTAAATAGTTATAGTAGTATCAATAATAATCATAATAAGAATAATGAAACGAATCAACTGATGTTAAATTATAACAATAGTAAAAAATAGTGAAAAGTTTCTGATAAATTAATCCAAATCAATAATGAGAGGTTTAGATTTTTAAACAAAAGAGATGGAAAATTTATTAAGAATTTAATAAGATGATGAAATTGTTTATTTAGAAATTTGTTAAGAAAATAAATAAAATATATCAAGGAATTTAGCAAAGAATTACAGTTTTAAGTTAAATTTATTATATAAAATTATACATGTTAAAAATCATTAAGTTGAGTTAGATAGCATTCAATAGAAGATCAACTTTATTTTTAGGAGGGATGACTTGCGTAAGTCTTTATTATGCAGGTTATCAAAGGTTTAAGAAAGCATAGTTTTCTTCTCTCTATGAAAATCTAGAATTAAAATAAGTATTAGAATTTATTAATTTAAGGATTATTAATAAGAATATTTAAAGGGTCATTCTAATATTGTAAGAGGATTTTGGAATAAGGTGATTTATTATGGAAAATTGTAATTTAGATTTCTATAATTGATCTTAACTTTTACTCCTCTTATATTATTTTTTCCTTTGGCCCTACTTTTCAAATCATGGTTGTATAAGTATTGGCTGAGATTATTAATTAAGACATTAGAGATAGTAAGTTCTTATTATATAAGGCTGGTCCATTATGGATGAAATTGGGATAATGGGCAAGTCATAGAGGAGATGTATTTGGCTATGAAGTTACTTAAGAGTTAAGTAAATTAAGAGATTCAGCTACACCTCATATCTACTAATATACAAAAAAATCTTTTGAAGAAGAATTCAAATAAAAGATTGAAGATGTTTTCGATAGTTTTGATAAAAATCCAATAGCATCAGGATCAATTGGTTAAGTTCATATTGCATACAAAAATGGTGTAAAATATGCAGTAAAAGTTAGACATCCTAAAATAGTGGAGAAGCTTGAGTTAGATTTAACTATTTTATATGTTATATCAAATATTTTAAGCTCGACTCAACAGATATTTAGAAGATTGGCTATGCCAGTTACTTTTCAAGAATTTAGTGTAACTTTAATGAATTAAGCAGATCTTTCATTTGAAGCTAAGAATCTTCAAATATTTGAACAAAAATTTAAAGATTCAAAAAATGTTATCTTTCCTAAAATACTCAAATAATATATATCTAAAAGTGTAATTGTTGAAACATTTGAAGAAGGTGTATCTTTGTCTGAATTTATGAAATTGGAAAGAACTAGAGAACATAGAGTAGCAGCTAATTTAGGATTAAAAGCATTTTATAAAATGTTAATCTATGATAATTTTATACATGCAGATCTTCATTCAGGCAACATTTTAGTAAGAATTAAAGATAACAATACATCGAAATTTGATTAATTTAAAAATATGATAGAGGAGGGATTTTATGATTTAGTTGAGGATGCGGCAGAATTAATTGTACCTCTGTTTGAGAGATTCATTTTAAAGAAATCAGTAAAGGTAATTAATATAATAAATATAATGAAAATAGGTTTCAATATTGGAGAGAGAGAAAATATTTGATGAATAGTAATTTTGGAATTTCTTAAGGTAGACAGATTACAATTAAAAAAGTTTAGATTTAGTATTTATAGATCCAGGAATGGTTACAATATTGAATTAAAATGATAGAATAAATTTTATAAAAATCATAATGTTTGTGGCTTTAAGATAACCAAAAGAATGCGGATAATTAATGTTAAGTTTGGCATCATATAATACATAGTTGAAAGATGAAAAGAAGTAAAAGTTTTTGAAAGACATAGAGGATTTATTTGGTGAGGTTTGTAATGCACCATTAGCAAAAATGGATTTAGGTTTAATATTTAAGGGAATGCTTGAGATATTAAGATCAAATGGTCTTGCAATAGAAGGTCATTTTGCAACACTTTTAACAAATATGATGATATTAGAGGGTATAGGAAAAGAATTGGATCCAAAGATTAATATAGTATCTAAGGCAGCATCATTTCTTCTTTAGATAAGAACAATTGATAGTACAATAAATGAATTAATGAATATATCATAATGAAAAAGTCGTTTTATTTAATTATTATAAATGAAAATTATATTGAGTTTATTGTTAAGCTTGTTGATAATTCGATGTGAGAAAAGTTTGGGTTCAAAAATAGAGAGTTTATTATAAACATAATTAGGTCATACATTATTATCAACAGCATAATTAGCATTATAAACAAATACACCTTTAGATAGGTAAATTGGTTATCTACTATAGAATAATAGATACTTTGTAAGATTTAGAAGATAAATATTAAAAAGATTAGAAGGAGGAAGATTAGGAAAATAGAGAGTTTCAATAAAAATGTGATGAGGATCTGAAAAATTTGAATGATGAGATAGATGGAATAAAAAGATAGAAAGTAAAGATTTAAGGAGGAATAGATTAATTAAAAGCAAGTATAGAGTATATTAAAGAAAAATATTGAATAGATCAAAGAAAAAGATTTTAGATGATAAAAATGCATTGAGAAAGAACTTGAGAAAAGGAATGAATGAAGTAGATGTGATAAGAGAATATTAAGAGAAAATATATGAAGAGAAGAGAGGTGAAGTAAGTAAGATAATAAAGACATTGGAAGAGGTGAAATTAGTTTATGCTTCAAAATTAAGAACAAACTTTATGGAATTATAGACTGAGAAAACAAAAGTATAACCAGAAGTTTTTGGAGAAGTAACAAAACATTTAGTAAGTGTTGGTAAGTTTAAATCATTAGGGAAACCTTTTTAAAATATAATAGATTTTATGATTTAGATGAGTAAGAATGGAAATAATATTGGTGTATTAAGAAATATAATAGATTTAAGTGAATCTTTAATAAGATAAATAGATGAAATTTGGTAGGTAGAAAGAAAAGCTGAAGAGGAGAGAGTTAGATGGTATAGTGAATATTAAAAATTTATGGATACTGATTTTAAGATATATGATAAGGAAATAGGAGAATTAGAAGCTTAACTTTAATCATTAAGAGATAGACTATCAGAGAATTAAAGGAAAATGGATGATTTGAATTTGAGACTTGAATCAAAAGAATATAGTAAAGATGATAGAAGAGAAGAATGTTAATAAGCAGCATATGATTATACTTAAAGAAGAACATCTAGATCAGATGATCGTAATATTGTATCTGAAGTGGTTGGATTACTAAATGTTAATATGAGAGATCTTAAAGAAACTCTAGCTTAGAAAATGGCTGCTGGAGATCGTATTTGATATATTTGAAGATGGAATTTACAATATTTATAATATATCATATTAATTTCATCTTTCTCATTACCATCATGAATTCATCTTTACTTACTTTACCATCTTAATCAAGATCTGCAGCATATATCATATCTTTTAATGTTTATTCATCACATTCTTCACCTAAATCAGCTGCTACTCTTCTTAATTTCTCTAAATCTATTGCACCCTATATATATTATTTTATTTTTATCACTTCATTATCATCATCAAAATAATTAAATGCTTTCTCTATTTCTACTTCAACATTCTTATCTTCTAACATCTTCTTTTTCATCATTTCAACAAATTCTTAAAATTCTATTGTTCCAGATCCATCTCTATCAATTTATTCAACCATCTTTTAAACTTCTTCTTTTGAAGCATTAAATCCTAGTGCCTTTCTTTTTAAATCAATATATTTACTTTCATTGCATTTCTTAATTCTGATTCATCTATTGATCCTGATTTATCAGTATCAAATAATGTAAATGCTTATTATAACACATCTATTTATTCTTTTGTCAATTTTGTTCTTTTAGCCTTCTTATTATTCTACATCTTCCTATAACTAATTATATATTATTAATTTATTAAATTATTTATTCATTTCTTTGTCTCTAAACATTACTTAAACTAATGATCAATTTATTTTACACACTCTCTCTCTCTATAATACAACTTATTTTCATAATTTATTATTATATCATTACCATAATATTAATTTTATGTAATAAACTACATCAATTAGTCAAAGAATTGCTACTTTATTTCATAATGTATTAATGACATACATATTTTAACACAGATTAAGGGAATTTACAAAAATGATCCTTCAGCTATTGAAATAGAAGGATAAAAAGAATTCAAAGAATATGTCGATTATTTATTAGATAAAGGTATGACAATTAATAATTTACGATTGGCTTAATTTAAAACTAGAAACAATTTATCTTATTTAGGATTATAAAGTATATTTTATATCAATAAAATACTTAGCAATTGATAAAATTGAAAAAGATTCCATTCTTGTATCAGTTCCAAAACAATTAATGTTAACAACTAAAATTGCATACTTTTCTGAGATTCAAGAAATCTTTGATGCCTTTCCTTAATTTTTCAGTTAACATTGTGCTGGAGGATGGTAAGATAGGATTCTACTTACCTATATTTTATATCAATCATAATTAGGAAGGTATTCATTATCTTATTACATATTTATTTAGATAATCTTAATGGTATCATTTAATATCCAATTTACCAAGAGATATTGATTATTTAATCTTTTGGTCTGAAGAAGAATTTAAACTATTGAAGGATGATAAACTTGTTTTAAAGGCTAAAACAGAATTACAAGATTTCTTAATAATTTAAAAAACTTTAACACATATCTTAGACTAATATCCTTAATATTTTAAAAAAGAAACATATTCTTTTGAAAATATCAAATGGATTTTTATTCATTTGGTTAGTAGATGTTTTGGATCTACATTAGAATAAGTTGCATTTGTTCCATTTTGTGAAATGTTTAATCATGAAAATACTGATGTTAGATACAAAGGTTAATATTTAGAAGACAATTTAAATAAACCTAAAGATGATGAATAATAAAATTGTAATGAATCAGATGAATCAGATGGAGACAGTGATTAATATGATTCAGATGATTATTAATTTCCTAATGAAATCTTAGATTAAATCAAAAACTATAAATAATAGATTCCAAAATATAAATAAATTGAATAAGAGTTAACTTTATATTAAAATTAAGTAGATTTTTAAGATCCTGATGCTGTTTAAAAAATGAGACTTTTTCAAGAAAAATGTAATAATAGAATCGATCTATAAATTTAATATTTGAAAAATAAAAGATGGTTTTAAGAGAATCTAAATTTAAGAGATAATTTTACAATTATTTTTGTATCTAAAAGTCTTGAATACATTTAAGAATTAATAAAATAATATGAAACTGATATTTTGACTTATGATTAAGTATCATCTCTTCTCTAATCAGTTTTAGATAATTCAGAACTCTATTTGTAAAATATTAAATAATACTCTCATGATAAAATTAGAGTCAAAAATTATTAACTTAAATAATTTGAAATTCCAGAATAACCCTAAACGATTGAAAACATTGAGGAAATGTTATAAGTTAACATTCCTGATAAGTTCAAACCTTTTTAAGCCAAAGAAGATTGGAAGGAAGATTAATTTGATAATTTTGTGATCAAATGTTCAAGCAAGGATGAATTTGAAAAAGGTGCCTAAGCATACTTTTCATATGGAACAATTTCCAATAGATCCTTATTATTGAGATATGGTTTTACTCTTGAATATAATATGTATGATTATGTATATGTGAGATCATAATATATATAACACATACCTTATGCAACTGATATTGCTGATGTAAGTAATTATAAGTATTCTTTTTAGTATTTCTAATTGGCCAAGGTTATGAAATTCAAAATTAAATATACAAGGATTAATGAGGATTTATTAATGTATTTTAAAGTGTTAAATTGGTCATATGAGTAAGGAATAGAATATTTATTTGATGATTAATATGATTGTATTGTCATTGATTAAGCTTTAAATTTGATAAAATCATATCACACTGAAAATTTCAAAGAAACCCTAAAAAGTTAATAAGAAAAGCTCACAGATCCAAAGTTAAATTATCATGATTATTTTGCTTTGATTTATCATGTTGAATAATAGAGAATAATTGAAGCTTAATTGGAGGCATTAGAAATGTTGAAATGCAAGATTGAGGAAAAAGAATTTGGTTAATAGTAATTTGAATGGACTTCATATTTGGTTGAAAGATTTAAAATTTGAAGATTATACAAGCAAATGATTATTAATAAAATTACATTAATTAAATACTTATTGTTGGAAATTCTTAGAAAATATAATATCTGTTAGAAAAGTTAATTGATTTAAAAATATTTAAAAAAGAAAGGGATTTTAATATATTTAGTTACATATTTTAAGATCATTTGATCGAAAGATTTTGAAGCAAATTGTTGTGCCACTTTTTAACAACTTCATCTTTAATAAAAGATTGAGTAGGATCTTTTAATACTTATGGCAAATATTTTTTAAGGACTTCTCCAGCTCTAAAATAAAAATGAATATATTACTTTTGATTTTCAGAAAGTCTTAAATAACATCTAATAATATGTCTCAATAATCTTTAATCATCTTTTTAAGATTAATGCAAATCATCAATCATAGTTTATAATACTTGACTTACTGCAAAAAATCTTTCAGGAGTTTAACAGATATAATTGAGACCATTATCATCGAGAAGAATCTTCTAAACAATAAAAGTTGCAACAGTTCTAGATAGTTCTTATCCTTTTTTCATGATTCTTAAACAAAGTGGGATGATTTCAGTTTGCATTAAAAAATTAATAGCTTCTGGATCATCACCCTATAAAAATTGGAATTAAAAAATACTTTGACTAAAGCTCCAATAACACCTAAACTGGTAACTCTTAGATTTTCGAAAGCTTTACTTTTATTACTTGTATTTAGAAATGGATATAAAAATAATGGTATATGAGCTATATTTAAATTGAAATGATTACCTCTTAAGAAACAAGATCTTGTTTAAACATGTAGAGCCAAACATTGTAGTAATCCTAGAACACTGCAAATTCTAGAAGATTGAGCTGGTGTAAGTTAAGCTGGTTATAAATGTTGATATACAACTGCTATTTCTTAGAGACTAAAATATTTAAAAATCTATATATTACAATATAGCAATGGTACCAACAGAATGCCATAACAATGGTGCCAAATGAGGAAAGCTTTCTCTTTTTTTTGATAATTCTGATAATGCTTATTCTCTTTTCTCTGTATCTCTTAATTATAAAATATATTGAACAACCAACTCAGTATCTGAATCCTTTTGCATTTTACCAAACTAAAATATGTTTTAACAATATTTATACTTCATCAATACTTTATTCTGATAATTGTGTACTCAAAGTTTTTTGGAGACTAGGAGATGGTGAATAACCACCAAACATCATTTATTATGGAGGTGATTTCTATTTAGCTTAAGCTTATTCAAAATATCTCTTATCAGCTGGTGAAATACTAACCATACTGTCACTTCGATAATTTTGAGGCACTATGACATATTGATTCGACATTTAGAAATTATTTATTATATTTATTATTATTATTATTATTATAATATAATATATCACTATAAAAACTTTAAATTTATTAAAGATTCTTTTAAATACTTTTTTTCATTCTCTAAAATCAATAAATATTTCTACTTATTTTTTATATTTATCTATAAATAATTTAAATACATTATTTTTAATCTAATTAATAAACATTATTTTATTATTCAATTTTAATAGAAAGAATTTATATAATTTTATTTTAATTATTTTAGTACAAATAATAGAGTGATTTCTATTCTATTGTATTCAAAATATGATTTCAGTTATCAATTAAAGAAATATTTTTAACTTCTAATATAGAATACTGAAATTTAATTTATAGTATGCCAATAATTTACTTTAATGTAAAATATGATCTCATATAAAGTTATAATTTGTTCATACTTAGAAAATAACATAAATATATTCATTCATCAAGATCCAGTAATGATATATTGAAATATTGTTAGATTATATGAACAATTAAAATAAAAAGTTTTGAAATAACTGAATTCTTTTATTTTATAGAGAAATATCACATTGATTAAGTAAAAAAAAAATAAATTTATCTGTTGTATGTCCAATTCTGAATTGAATTAACCTTTAAGAAAAACTTGGAGCATTGAAGAAGATCAAATGCTTTAAGACTTGAGATAAAGCAAATGTTTTGATTGGATTGAAGTGGCTAGAAGAATTGGTGGAAGAAACCCATCATAATGTGCTTAAAGATGGAAACGAATTAAGGGATTCAAATTAAGAAGATAATGGACTTAAGAGGAAGATGATAAACTAAAGAATTTAGTGAAAGAATATGGTTATCATTGGAGCAAAATCAGTAGATTATTACCTAATCGTTCTGGTAAATAAATACGTGAACACTATCTTAACTAATTACATCCTGGGTTGAATAATGAACCTTGGAATAAAGAAGAAGATGAGAAAATAATTGAAATCTATAATACTGTTGGAGGTAAATGGAGTGTTATACAAAAACACCTTCAAGGCAGATCAGAAAATAGTATTAAAAACAGATTCTATTCATACCTTCGAAATAAATATCTTAACATAAAGAACCCATATTACATTATTCCAAAAAAAGAATCATTGAATTAAACAAAACTTGAATCAAAACTCAACTCAATCGCTTCAGTTTAATCTTAGGAATATTCCCCATCTATTAGTATAAGTCCAACCCAATAATATTTAATGCCAATCAATATGTGCAGTATCCCACCTATCAGTTCAGTGAATTGTTTTCCACAATTTTAATTACTCTATCCCTTTTATTAGATTCCTCAACCTCAATATTTCTTTTAATGTATATCAAATACATTATAATAATGATTAAAGATTTAATATATTTTATGTTCATCGAGTGTTATCATATTAATCAAAAAATAATTTTATTTTCATTTATGACTCCCATTTTAAATTATAATTAATATATACTTTTTACTACTCTTATCGAAAGCTTTAATTTTATCTAAAACTTATTTAAAGAATATTCAGAAAATACATTGTGTTGCAATTTTTTTTTTAATTATATAAATAGTTTATAGAGTTTAATTCTCAAATGAGAAAATATATTTAATTCTTTAATATTACAATATATTATTTCTATGATTATTGTTCATTTCTTCATTTGCATAAATCCTAATTAGAAGATCAAATCTTCAGAATTTTAATTTTTTAAGAATGCTTATCCAAACATTAGTATTCCAACATTAAATATGAAATTCACAATATCTTTTTCTATATCTTAACCTTGAGATAAAACAGTCAGAAACATAAAGAAATCTTAGATGGTTGAGCATTATGGATAACAATCAAATTAGAAAAGTAATCCTTAAAATTTAAGGTTTATGTATTCTTTTATTTTTTTTACTTAAAAAAGATCGAAACATACTTATTAAATAATTTTTAAATACTTTATAGGATATTTCTCTTTTATTTTTTGAATTATATTTGTATTTGAAAGAGTATAAGTAGTAAGATCTGCAAGATTTTTAGATGTTTTAACATTTTTAATAATTGTTTAAATCTCTTTAAAGTTTTCATCCATCTTCCATTGTTGATTTTATTAAACTAATTTTTAATCTAAAGGAATATTATGAGATTTTAAATTCTTTTAATATTCCTTTTGATTTAAAGGTGGATGATATTATACTAATATTTCTTCATCTTTTTCTATATTCTTAGCACTAACAACAATTAGAAGTTCTCCTAAGAAATAATAAAAAATATTTGGAGTTAAACTATGATTAACCTAAGATAACGTGAACCACAATCCTTCATTTTAATCTAAATATTTGATTTATTTATTATGTGTAAAAACTTTAACTAACTAGAATGCATGTGCATTGTATTTAAAGATCTTTTCAATTCTATTGATATCAACAATATAATTTTATAATTAATATTCGAAATCTTATTTAATAATTTTAAGAGAATAATTATTAGATCCATCATATAGTTTAAATAGTTTTTCAGCAAATTATTTATCATTCAATGCCTATTACCTAAGATTTTCATAAACATTTTCTCTAGAAAAACCAACAGTTTAGTTTTCATTAATTTTATGCATTGGATGTTCAACTAGTAATAATGTTCCTTTTGGAATAGGTTAATTAACAAATAAGCCTAATCCTCCCAAATTACTTTTTTTTCTTTCAATACATTTATGCATAAAATTATGAATTTTTTCAAATGAATATTGTTGCTAATTGATGTATTAATTTAAAACAGATATTAGATCAATATTACCAGATTGATGTTTAATCATTAATTCACATTCAACTAATTTGAATACTATATCTTTATCAGTTTTATGATTTGGAAGAGATTCAAACAATTTTTTAGCGTCTATTGGATTCTGCAATTTTAAATAACATAATGCTAATCTTTGAATTGCTTTCTCATTTTAAGGATTAAGTTTTAAAACTTAATTAAGATCATCAATTGATTCTTGGAGATAACCAAGTTGATACAAAGATTGAGCTCTGTTATTATAACATTATTCAAGTATTAAATTTGTTTTATTGATATGATCATATTTGATAACCATCGTATATGCTTCATAAGCTAATCGATATTATGATAATTTAAAATATTAATTTCCTTTTTCTTTTAATTAATTTGGATCTGTTAATTCAATATCAGAATTAATCATAGCTTCAAAAGTGAATTAATTGATAGCAACAACATCCTATGAATCTTGTATAAGTATTCCAAACTCTGTTAATTTTGGATTTTTAACAATTAACCAATCATTAACTTTATAATTGCAATTTTTATTTTATTGAAAAATAGTTAGATTCAGCCAAATTTCATTAAAATCTTTAACAATTAAATATTAAGTAATATCTTTCCAATCAATCTAATATACTTAGACAATGATATATTAATTATTCATATTTTTGTTTTCCATTAATTCTTCTACATCTATTAATTTCATTTCTGAAATGGGTAATTTAGGCGTTTTTTCTAATTGTTAAATTTGAGGATCTTATTTTTGAGAATGAATTTAAATTACATGAGGAGGAATATCAGCCATTAAATGCTTTTTTGTAATTTATAGTAAAAAATTATATAATTATTAATAAATATATGGATCAAAATAAATCAAAAGAATAAGACAATTCAAATTAAATAGAATAAGAATCATGAATAGATTATAAATTAAACTATATAAATTGCAAAAGTTATCATATACAGAGTAAAAAATGAAAACTGATTTATTAAGTGATACCATATTTTATCATCCATATCTATTATAAATTGTTTATTGAATATTTATCATAGATAGAATGAAGCTATTTAATTTGAATTCATCAGATTATAATAGTTTTATTAGTTGTAATTAAAAGTAAAAAAACTCCTAAAATTCACTAAGATGAAAAGAAAAAGACTATGAGTATGATCACAAACATCTTTAAGAATACTTTAGACATAATTAATTAATAATAAATAAGATTTAGTTAATCATTTATTAATGTATTCAACTTTTATTATTTCTCTTGCTTAAATAAAATAAATTATTTTTTATCGATTATTTACTACTATACCAATTGTATGTTTCACTCTAATTATTCAACTCCTGTCAAACATGTGATTCTCACTCCTAAATTACAACTTATTTGGAATTATGATTTGCTAATGAATCATTATTAAGAATTAGAACTCTAAATTAATACTTAAACATCTGATCATAAAATTAGATATCAACACATTCTATCTAAAATTGATAAAGTATTTAATGATATTATCAATAATATTGCTGAACTACAAAAAACCACTTTAAAAGATTACTTATCATTCTTATTAGAACTAAGAGTAAAAAGAGAAAATAATTTATCAAAAGCAGAAAATGCTTATAAAATGTCTTAATCTAATTATTTTGATGAAATTGAAAAAAAGGAAATACCTTAACAAAACATGTATTATTCATAATAACATACTCTTAAAGCTTCTAAATCAATACCAATAACTTCTACATTTATACCTAATCCTAATTTAATTTCTATGAATAATCACCAATCATAAACCTTACCAGTTATTTAAAAAGATTAGAATAACGATCACCTTAATAATAATCATAAATACTTATATGATTAAGATTAGATTTCGATTAATTATATCCCCTAGAAACAAGCATAATCAATTAATTAATCATTATAACCATCTAATTTTAGATTTAGAGCTTCTCCTTCTAAACAACATTTATCTAATTAAATATTAAAGAAAAATGAAATTGATGATATTGAACCTTCTCTTTTGGTTAATAATTAAAATCATATTTAATAAATAACACTCTAATCTTTAGATTTATAATAGACTTAACCTTCTGTACCTCTCTACGATTAATTTAAACTTCAACCATATAATCATCTTACTTAACCAGATTAATAATCAATATATGATGATTACGAGTAATCTATTTCTTAAGAGTTATCTTAATCACAAAATAATGTACTTCAATCTTAGAGCAAAATTTATAAAAAAAAAAAAATATTTGATGAAGATTAAAATGAGAGGATTTTAAAAAATTCTTATAATAATGATTAATTTAATTTAAAATCATATTCTTAATCAAACTTTTAAAAGTAGACTGTTTCACTTCATAAAAATATGGTTCCTGTTAATAAAGATATTATACCTATTGATTAAATGATAGATAAATAAGACTCAAAATAAAATTATATTAATGATGTATGTGGTAATTTAGGTTATGATTAATTTTATTAATATCTTTGTTAAAGATATCCTGTATATAGAATTTTGTAAAAGTCTTATAAAAGTAAAACCAAAAGAGAAGATTAAGAAGGATTTAATTAATAAAATTAAACATCAAATTATTTGTAAAGCATTTTTTGCACATAATGTGATCAATTTATATCTATAAATTAAGCCAATAATCATACAAATTTTTGTATGAATAATAAGTAAAATTAATAAAATCATGAAAGAAATTATTTAGATTATTTAATTTGTTGTAATGGGTTAATAAATAATTAATAAAATACAAAAGAAGAAAAAGATGGAAGAATTGTAAATGATTTGGCGAAAATAAGATATTTAATGGAAACGAATTTGAAATTATTTGATCCATAAACTTAAGTCCATTAAAAACAGAGAGAATATTGTTTATTTGCTTTAGAAATATTGAATTAAATAATAGAGAATCCATAAAATTTATCATTGAATTAATAAGTGTTGGATTTAATAAGCATTTATTAAGTTTTAGATTAATAAGAATTTAACTTCTATTAATAGTTCGTGTTTTTATTACAAAAGGCAAATGTAAAATTATAGAAATTAATATGATTAAATTATATATGTTCTTAATCAATATTACTAAATTTCCAATTAAGGTAGCTAAGGATTTAGGATCTCAATAATTTAAGTTTCTAATTATTAACATTTTTCAGTGAAATTTACTTACCATGGTATATCTTATTCACCAATTTATTATACAATTAAATTTCTAAGATGAAATTCTGCTACATTATGAATGACAGCTGTTTAAATTTCTTCATTCTAGAGAAAAAGTTAAAATAATAAATACTTAAGGAATGAATGCAGTAGCTTTAGTGTCAACAACTGCTTCTGCAAGATTTTAAGGATTAATAATTTCTTCTTCTGTGGCTTCATCTTCAATTTATTTTTCAATTCTAGTTTTTCCTGATTTAGGATGAAATCTTAAATTCTCCATAGCTGGTTATAATTTGACAAGACATGGTATTTTTTGAAAATCAATTTAATTTTTAATTTTTGACCATTTTATTTTAGGTCTATTTTCGAAAAGAGTTTTAATAACTGTATCAATAATTAGATTAACATTTTGTAGAAATTCAAATTATGACCAGTGTTATTATAAAGAATAGACAATATTAGATCTTATTGCATTTTCTATACCTTTTGTTAACTATTCTGGAAGATTAGCTAGAGTCAATTCAGCTATGAGTATAAATAATAGATATTACGTTCAATATCTGCTAAGTTTTGATCTATTTATTCTCTTAAACCAATTTCAATATTTGTACCTTCTGGCAAAGCAGCAATAGAATTAGAAATTAATTCAGATATATCCTCAATAGATTCTCCTACTTATTATAAAGCATTTATAATGATAACAAATTAACCAATTATGCCACCTAAATAACCAATTGTATTTGTTCCTTAATAATAACCATCAATATCAGAAATAAGATTAAACCATTCCTTTTCTTCTCCTTTAGATATCAATAATTCTTAAATGGTTTCTTTTAATTTTTATCTTCTTTCTTTTTCTAATCTAATTTTTCTTCTTTCTCTTCTTTATCTATCAGATTCTTCTTTAGCTAATCTTTAACGTTCTCTTTCATCGAGAATTGATTATTTTCTTTTCCTCTCTTCAGATAAGGTTTTAGTATGCTATGAAAACATTTTATCATCAATGTCATCTAACATTTATGTGTATTGTAAAAGTATATTATTAGAATACGATAATTCAGTAGTGACATCTTCATAAATCCAAGGTAAATAATGTGATACTAATTGTATTTCAATTGGATCTCTAAAATAACCACTTAGTTTTAATTTTTATAATGCTAAATCTACACATTTAGATAAATATTTTTTGGCTGAAGCTCTACTTATTAATTTTTCATGAGTTTTTATGTCCCTTTATTTTTAATTATGAAATTATTATTTTAATTTAATATTGTCATTATATAACTGTTATTCTTTCTTTTCTAATCTATCTTATTCAGCCATTTCCATTTATTTTAATTTTTAAAAATGTTCTTACTTTTCTTTCATTTCTCTAAGTTCTTCCTCTTATAATACTTCCATACGACTGAGATCTAAAGTTTTTAATACTAAAACTTGTAAAATAGGTTCAGCCTCATATTCAAAATTAAATAGTTCTCCATCATCCCAAACTTGAGTTTCTTAATCTATTCCTGTTTTTTCTTTCATGTATAATCTTGGTACAATTTTTTCAATTATGAATTCTGTTTGAGTTTCTTTAAGATGTTTAGGTGGTTTATCAGTTTATTCTTCAACATTTGGATCAGTTTAGGTTTCTTCTTCATGAACAGTTTCATCCTCTTTCTTTTCTGTCATAACTTTAGTGTGTTGAATCCTCTTAATAGTAGTTTAGGTAATAGGTTCAGATTTATTCAAAACACTTGAATATGTATTTCCTCTGATTACTCTTTTATCCCACATAATGTTGCAAGCATCTCTTTCCTCTCTATATTTCATTTTCTAAACAACTCTAGGTGGAGCATTGAATTCATAATTCTCTTATAATAATTCAGTGGCCATATTATTAATTATAATATTAATGGATGATCATCATATTGAATAAGCATGGTAATTCTATAGAAAATTAGGATCTCCTAAATTCATATGTAATTCCATTCAATTTATATTAGGTGCTCCAATGGTTGATTAAAGTGAACTTGCTTTTAGAATGTTAACTAGAAAATATGGAACTACTTTAGCATATACTCCTATGTTAAATAGTAAAATCATGGTAGAATCTAAAACATTTAAAGATGAATTCTTCACTACTTGTCCTGAAGATAGACCTCTTTTTGCACAATTATGTGGTCATAATCCTTAAATTCTTATTAAAGCTGCTTTAATGATTTAAGATGAATGTGATGCTATTGATATTAATCTTGGTTGTCCTTAAGGAATTGCTCGAAAAGGTCTCTATGGATCTTATCTTTTAGAAAAAAGAGAACTTGTTCTGTATATTCATTAAATTTTAACTTAGAACTATTGTGAAAGAATTAAAATAAAATATTAATATTCCTGTTACTTGCAAAATAAGAATCTTCAAAGATATAAAAAGAACTCTTGATTTAACTAAAGACATTTAATAATCTGGATGTTCTATTCTTACTGTTCATGGGAGAACTAAAGAATAAAATAAAGATCTTGTTGGTTAATGTGATTGGAACATAATTGCTTAAATTAAATAACTACTATAAATTCCTGTTTTTGCTAATGGTGGAATCTATACATGGTCTGATGTTGAAAGATGTCTTTAAGAAACTAAAGCAGATGCTGTCATGTCTTCTGAAGCTCTTTTAGAAAATCCTGCACTTTTTTCAGGATAAATCAAAGATCTTAATGAATTAGCTATTGAATATATGCAATTTGCTAAATAATATAATGCTAAATTACCTGAAATTAAAGCACATTTATTTAAACTTCTTTACACAAGCTTATAAGTTCATACTGGTATTAATCTTTATCTAATATCTCTAGATTTAAGATCCAAACTTGGTTCTGCCAAAACCTATGATTAACATCTAGATATTGTTATTCAATTAAATCGTTTAAGGGCTCATATCCCTTTAGAAAATAAATTTGGCTGGTATAAAAGATACTAAAATTTTAAATAACCTTAACCTAAAGATAAGGACATTCAAAAATTAGAAAATATCATCAAATAATAAGATTTATCGTTATAAAATAATAACTAAGAATGATGTAAATAATTATAACTAAAATTTGTCAACATTTTTTTATAAATTAAATAAAATGAGTAATCTACTATTATTTATTATTCTACAACCTTTGAATCGAAAATTTGTTCTATTCACTTTCAAAACTATCAATAAATGCTTCTATATCACTATTCTCAATACCCCAATTCATTGATAAAATAAATCTCCAATTCAATTTATTCTACTTTTTTATTAATTAATACATTTTGCTTTTATGTAAGTGTCATCAATATTTCTATTTACTCTTCTTCTATAATTGTCTGTTCAAAGATCTTTATTAGCGTAATTGCAATCGAATAAAAATAAGATAAACCTTTTCTCAGTAACCCATCTAAATACATTTAAGAATATTCGAATGGTATTTGCTATAATAATAAACTTAAAATCCATTATTAGAAATAAAATTGAGTTAAAACTTACTTCTCCTTAAGCTTTTCATATAATTTAAATTATAATCTGTATATATAGAAGTCTAATATTTTTGAATATTTGTTTAAAGAATTCATACACATTTAATACATATCTCTAATTCTGATTGAATCAATAAGTAAAAGGAATATCCAAAAAGCGACCCATTCTTGTTTTGCATGATTATATAACACGGTAGCGATATAATTCATTCCTTAAATATATCCAATTGAAGGATCAAAAATGGAATAAGCTAATAATATATTTTTAATCTCTTTTATATTTTCTTCTGCTAGCAAAGTTCTTTTTAAATCTTTTTCAATTTGATGATCTATATTCAGTTCTGGTTTTATCAATAAAATCTTTTCGTATTATTATTTTAATTGATTAAAGTCCTAAATCAAATAATATATACTTTTATCTCATATTTATATTTTAGCCAATTAATACAATATAAAGGAGTATTATTCAAATCCTTTTTTGGCTCAATAAAATCGCTCTGTAAATCCTTTACAGAATTAATTTTATTTTCTTTAGGTTTAGTTTGAATTTTTTTTGAATTTGGAATCTTATTAAAAATGGGGATATCATATTCAATAAAATTATTGTGTTAATTAATATCCCCAGATGAATAATTGCAAACCTAAAGAATTTTGGAACAAAATGATTTACTAAAAATATCACAAATGTTCATACTTATCATCAGCTCTCATATTTAATTATAATCAGTTATAAATAATTAATTATAAAAAGAAAATAAAATAAATAATTGTTTTTTTTTTTAAAAAGTATTAGAAAATTCTAATACTTTTAATATATTTTAATAATCTAAATTTGTTTTTAAAATGTAATTTCTTGGAAAAATGGATAGCGTCTAAAATAAGGATGATTGAAGTTTAATTTTTTATTTATTTAAAAAAAATGAATGTAAAAGAATTATATTAATTTTATTAATTATGTCTAGAAACTATTTTAAATAAAAAGTATTATTGACATTTGGATATAATGGAGCAAACTACCATGGATTACAAATATAGAAAGGAGTCGAATTTGAGACAGTGGAATCAAAGCTTTTTTAAGCACTTAAAGATTCTGTAATAAGAAATTTAAAAAATAGAATTTAATAATGGAACCTAATGCTAATGATTTATCAAAATCAGGATGGAGTAGAGGAGCTAGAACAGATAAAGGAGTTCATGCTTTATGTAATTCAATTGCAGTTAAATTATGCATAAATAAAGAATTTTTTAAAGATGAAGTTTAATAAAATGAGGAAGAAAATGTATCAAAACAAAGAGATAAAGCAAAAGTAGATTATAATAAAGTATTAAATGTGATAAATTCAAATTTACCAAATGATATTAAAGTTCATTCAATAAAATTAGTAACTCAAGGATTTGATGTTCGAAAAAATGCTAGATATAGATTTTATGAGTATATTGCTCCTGTCTAAATTTATTCTGATAAGAAAGGAGAAGAAATTTTAGAGAAGGTTAACAATTTAGTAAAAAAATTTGTTGGTACACATAATTTCCACAATTACAGTAGAGGTATGAAATATACTGATCCTTAATCAATGAGATATATATTGTCTATTTAAGTGGAATTGTTCTAATATTAAGATAAAGAATTCTTTAAATTTTTGATTCACGGATAAAGTTTCATTTATCATTAGATTAGAAAGATGATGGGAATTGTTATTTAAATATTTTAAGAAGAATTGCCAGATACATTTATTGATAACACATTTTTCAAAAACTAATTAAGAATTATTTTAGCTCCAGCTGATGGATTATTCCTTAATAGAATTAGTTTTGAGGGATACAATACCAAATTTGATATTCCTTAAAGACTTGAAATTGAAGAAGAAGATTAGATTAAAATTGATTAATTTCGACCAAGTAATATGTATTATATGTTTAGTTATTGTGAATTTTATTTGTGAATAGGAGATTAAAAATTAAGTCTTCTCAAATTGGTTAAAAGTCTTAAAAGAAAAGAATTTCAATATTGAAGAGGAAGAAGAAAATAATAATAAGGCTGAAAACGATGATTGATAATATAAAACATGTAGATTAATTTTTAATTTATTAAATCATGAATAAAATATTCTCACTTTTACATTAAAGATGAGGTGATCTTATTCAAACATTTAGATATCTACAATTAAATTGCCTGATTAGATTTCTTTTGGTAACATTTGTTCTGGTGGTCTGTTAACAATAGTAGAATCCCAATTATTAACAGTATTGGGCATAACAAAACCAAATTTAAACGAAAAATGTTCAACTTTCTTGTCATATAAATAAGCCTATAAAATAATGTGAGTTTTTTTATACATCTTAAACTAAGATTAAATCTTACAGCAGTTCTTTAGTAGAAAATTAGATTGATCGAGTAGCAGCTTTTGATGTAATGATTTTAGGATCTAAAGTTATATCTATGATATCTTAAGTTATCTTTAAAATATTATTATGTTTTTATACATTTTCTGAAATGGAATCCCAATAAACTTGTTGTGTTTCAGAATCTTTCATAATAACTCTTTAAATTTAGAATCCATCTTTAATTTATTAGATTTATTCTGGAGTCAATTCTCTCTTTTTTTTCTGAGTTGCCATTCCTATTATTAAAATAATAATATAAAAAAATGATTTTAGAGGGATTTCAATTTCTACTATTTGTTCTCCATTTATTGCTAGGTTAATTGATTCCAATTTTGATGGCTGTGTTAGCTTATGTATCAAAAGACAAAGAAAAAATGAGTAGATGGTTAATACATTTTTTCCTAATAAATGTTTTGAAGCATACTGTTTTTCAAGTTTCATCATTATTTGGATTTTGTAATAAAAATAAGTAACAAATAAAATAGATGCTTTAAATGATACTTTAGGTATATGCATTTTGATATTGCCAATGTATATTTCATTTGAAACATTAGAAAATTTAGTTGAGAACATTTATGTAATTGATTCTAATATCAAATAGAATAATATATTTAGATCCAAAATAGAGTTTCTAAGATAAAGGACATATGAAGGATTATAAAAATTAAATTTATTATGATGATGAATTATTAAAATATAAAAATAATTTAATAAGACAGAATAAAAACCTTCTGATCAGAAAAATTACGATATTAATAAATATTATATCATTATAATATTGAATATGGTGTGATGACCTATTATCAATCCAGTTAAATTGGAGATTTCTTTAAATTTAAATGAAATTTAATAAACCCTCAAAATGACAGAGACTGTAGAACATCTTCGTGACTTTAATTATTATAAGTTGAATTCAGACATAAAATAAGTTTTAGCTGAATATATTTGGATTGATGGTACTGGAGAGAAGATGAGATCAAAAACAAAAGTATTGATTGTAAAATATTAATAGGTATATAGAGACCCAATAACTAAATTATAAGATTTGGATTGGTGGACTTTTGATGGTTCGTCCACAGAATAAGCAAATACAAAATGGTCTGAAATATATTTAAAACCTGTAATATATGTAAAGGATCCATTTAGAGGGAATCCACATGTTTTGGTATTATGTGAAACATATTTACCAGACAAAAAGACACCAGCCAGATATAATTTTAGGTAATATTTCATATCGATATATTTTTAGATCAATTGCAAATGAAATAATGGAAAAAGCTAAAGACTTTAAACCATGGTTTGGAATAGAATAGGAGTACTTTCTATTAAAAAGGACAGGGACAACTCATATTTGGCCTTTAGGTTGGCCTACAGGAGGATTTCCTTATCCTTAAGGGAGATATTATTGTTCAATAGGAGAAAGAAACAATTTTGGAAGAGCATTAGCAGAAGCACATTTGAGAGCTTGTTTAAATGCTGGAATTAAGATAGCTGGTATCAATGCAGAGGTTGCACCATCTTAATGGGAATTCTAAATTGGTATTGCTGAAGGCATTGAAATTGGTGATCATCTGTGGTTAGCTAGATATATATTGGAAAGATTAGGAGAAGAATTTGGAATTGATATTAATTATGATCCAAAACCAATATTAGGAGATTGGAATGGATCAGGTGCTCATACTAATTATTCAGATATCAAAACTAGAGGAATAGGTGGATATCAATATATAATCAATGAATTAATGCCTTTATTATAAAGGACCCATTAAGAAGTCCTAAAATTATATGGATCCAATAATGAATAGAGATTGACAGGTAATCATGAAACAAGTTCATATGATACTTTTTCATGGGGAGATGGTTCTAGAGGAGGATCCATTAGAGTACCTGTTATTACAAAAGAATAAGGAGCTGGGTATAAATAGTGTTTATATATATAATTTAGTTATCTAGAAGATAGAAGACCAGCTGCTAACATAGATCCTTATTTAGTAAGTGCAGTCATTGTTGATGTTGCTTTATTAAATAGCACCTATGTGAATCAACTTAAATAATTATTAGTTGATTCTGCCAAGCAATTGTGAAAAATTATTATATGTTATGTATTCAAACATTATATTTTAAATATATTCATCATTAATAAAAATTACTTGTTTTCGGAGGTGTTAATAAATACGGATGAATTTACGTATTCTCCTATTACATAGGACGACTTTATTCCTATTTGAATTATCCTTATTTAACTGGATATTACTTTGGACCTTCAACTTATGTTTCAGTATTCGTCAAAGGCATTAAAGTTTAATTTTATTATAGAGGCTAATTAAATTAATTATATATTGGTTAAACTGCCTCATTTAAAGGATATTGAGGAGCATATCCTCTTGATACTTATTTCATTACAGGTACTTTTTTTAAAGATACAAATTTTGCCAAATCAATATTTAATTCGTATAATGCACTTTTATCTAAAATAATTTCAGGAACACATTTATTAAACTACTTCATAAATTAATTAGATTCATGATAATATTCTTCATTCTCTTAAGGAAGATTAGATGTATAATATTTGACAAGAGTTTTCACACATCTATCTGTATTCAATTTTTCTAATAGACTCATTAATGTCTTCCATCTTTATTATAAGTATTTACTAAAGTTTTAAGATTAATTTGTCATAAAACCTCTATTTCCTTCTATTTCTTAAGCTAATTCTGCTTCCAAAGTATTAAAAAAGTTATCAATAACTTAATAACATTATTATCTAGCTTATTTAACTTTATCCATATAATAATTTATTCCTTCATTTAATGCTGTTACCTTATTCAATTAACCCATTTCATCTACAAACCTATTACAATTTACAGCCACAGATTAATAGACTTCTGTCAAACAATTCTCTAGAGTGTCGAAATCTCCATATGTATTGTATGCTTAATGTTCTTGAGAATGGATCTTTACGCACTATATTTTTTACATCATTTCTATACTTATGGACATAAAGGCATTTAACATGTTTAGCATCTACAAAACATTGTTATGTATTAATCAACATGATAATGACAATTCACTTTTGGCATGCCTTCATATGTAAATTAATAATTTGGAGCAATTTTTTATGGAAAATTATTAGAACTAACAAATCCTTTTTAAAAAAATGTAGATTGCTAAAGTTATTGTTATGACTTATTAGGAGTTAAATTGAATAATCTGTTTTCTTACTTTTGTGAAGCCATTTTAAAAATAATAATAATTTAACGAAAAAAAAAATATTAAAATAATATATACTTAATCTGTTTTTTTATATTCAAGTCCTAACATAACTTATAAATTATAATAGAACTTCTATATTATAATCCAAAATTTACTTATTAAAGTTTATTAATAATATTTTATATTATATGTATAATTTCTTTAAAACTATTGATTAATTCGGAATCGAACAAAAACTTTCAATACCAGCTATAAATCCTACTCAAAGAAGTGCAATAGGAGGAGTAGCAACTTTAGCATTATATGGATTAAGCTTCGCTTATTTTTTATATGAATTTATAGATTGGTAATAAAATAATAAACTTCCAAAAATTACATCTTTACAAAAGTAAATTGAAATAGCTGAAAATGTAAAAGCAGAAGGTGTATTTGCTGAAATATCTCATTTTGGTTCAAATGAAAATAATATTGATCCATTCGATCCAGATAATTTAATATTCTATCCAATATTAACATCCTAAACTAATAACAAAGATGAGGTATGATTAAATTTTAAATTAGAATTAAATATTTAAAAGCAGATTAAAACATTAAAATTTTGAAAATGGATATGTATCAAATAAATTTTTAATTGAAAATGCTAATTTTTTTGGTTCACCCTCTTATGCTTCATAGCTTATTTATCAAGATTATTAGATCCTATTTGGATTTTGTGATCCTAGTACCTTAGAATAGGGATATTCATGTGCAAATTAAGATACTGTTGAAAAATTCAAAAAATAATAAAACCTTTTTCAAATTTCTATTTATATTTAATAATACGACACAAAAACAAAATCACTTATTAAAATACCAAAATTTTACACCTTAGATTTATCAATAGATTAAACATAATCATGTACTTTTTATATACAGGCAAATTAAATAGATGTTGATGATGGATTTCTATTTCCTAATTCTAATAAGTAAATTTTCTTCTCAGATTTTATAATGTTTAGTAATGTATAAGATATCATATAAAGTGAAAAAATTTATGGACAATAAATATTTTTAAGTGCCTATTTCACAATGGATTAAATTAAATCAGTTGTTTATATAGAATACCCTAAAATATCAGAAATTCTTGCTAATGCAGGATCTATCATCACATGGATCCTATAGATATCCTTTATATTTATAAAATACAATGAAATGATTTGCACTTAAAATGCCAGAAAAGATGTTATATAAATGTTTTATACAGATTATCGTGATTTTTCTATTAAAACAAATTTCTTAGGAAAAATGACTGAATTAAAGATTAAAGAAAAATATTATGATATATAAAAGATTAATTCATTTTTTGAAAGTTTACATTAGATGGTGGATTAGAAAATGAGCTATATAAATTTATAATTTGAAGTCTCTAGGTACTTATAATTAATTTTTAAGAATTTAACTAATTTTGTAAGAGTTTTTAGGTCTAGATTAGATGAAAAAATATTTGCAATAAAATCATAGACTTGAATCTATTTTGGATAAACTTGAATTAAATGAAGTTCCATAACCAAAAAAATTTAAAATTTAGATTGTATTTTATTTGCAATAAATATTAAGTAACCTGAAGAGTAACAAAATAATAACTTAAGATAATAAGAATAATAAGAAGGAGAACGAATGATGTCAAATGATATATTACCTGAAGGTGATTTAGAATCTCACATAGGCTTATTTTTAATGAAGGAGAACATATTATATACTCAAGCTGAATTAAATTAAAGTCTTTTACCTTAAGCTTAATCTTAAATTGATTTAAAACTAAATGCGGAAAAATAACCATCTTCTATTTCATGAGACAACTTTAAAAATTACTAATGATTATTTAAATAAATAAATCTATATTATATAATAATTTATTAATAAATGTCAAGCTTTTTACAATCTATAGATTAATTTGGAATTGAGGAAAAAGTGCTTTTTTAAAGATCAATTACATCAAAAAAAAGTGTATTTGGTGGCATAATGACATTGTTTATATATGGAGTTACTTTAGCATATTTTTTATATCAATTTATTGATTGGATAGATAATAATAAGTTACCTAAAGTCACATCTACCTCTAAGCAAATTAATCATTCTGAAACTGTTGGGGCCAAAGGTAAATTTTTAGAAATATCATACTTTTCACAATCTGATAAATAGATTGATCCATTCAATCCAACATCCCTAATTTACTATCCAAAATTAACTCTGAACCCTTCTTAAGTATTTATTTGTTATATTTTTAAGACAGAAATTTATGATATTTAATTTGAATAGGAGATTTCAGAAGATGGAAAAACAATTAATAAATTTGTCCTTTATGATATCGAATTAATGGGATCTCCACCTTAATATTTGAAATTGAACTAAAAAGATTATTAAATATCTTTTAAAAGATGTAATCCAGAAATATTGAAAGAGGGAATGTAGTGTGCCAACGAAGCTACATTTAATTAATATAAAGAATAATTAAGTTTATTCTAGATTTAAATTTATATTGAACAATTTAATATAAAAACTAAATAGCTAGATAAAATTCCAAAGTTTTATATCTTAAACATGCTTACAAATAAAATCATCTTTTATACTTTTTAACTTGAATGCAGCCTTATTTCAATCGATGATGGATATTTATTCCCAAATTCTATTTTTTAAAAATTCTTTCACAATATGTATTAGCTAATATAAGAATATGATGAAGATTATGCAAAAAAGTATTTTGATAAAGATTTAGTTATGGTTGTATTTTTAACTTTAGATTAAATTAAAAAAGAGAGTCTTTATGAATATCCTAAGATTTCAGAAATTCTTGCTGAAACAGGATCTATAATAAGTTGGGTTTTCACTATATCGTATTTAGTAACATGGTATAATTAGGAATTGAGTATGTAGAATATTAATTCAGAAGTAATATTAATGTACTTTAATGATTTCAAAAATTTAACAATAAGTAAAAATTGGTATGGCAAAATTACAAATCTATCTTTTAAGGAGAAATCTTGTGAAAAACTTAAAATGATTAAACTTCTGAATAAACTTCAAGAATTGGCAAAATAAAAGTTAGACTTTAAAACTATTTTGCTTGAATTATCAAGGTAAAGTATTTTACTAATCACAGAATAGAACGAGTTTTAGTCTTATTATTAGGATAAGAAAAAATTAAGTAATTATTAAATAGACCATAAAAATTAGAAACCATAATTGATAAATATAGTATCATAGAACATAAAGATGCTTCTGATATTTCTAATTAAATTGTAATTTTTATTATATTATTCTAAGTATCCTTAAGGAGAATTGTCTAACGTTAATTTAAAACCTGCAGAAATTTTAGATAATGAAGGATTGTTAAATATTGAATTATCACTTGAATAAGAATTAGAATAACAGCTTTGTTTTTTTAGCTCAATTGATACTTTAAATAATTAAATTCAAGATAAAACTTAATTCGTAAATATTAAAGATAACTTTAAATTAAAAAAGATTGACTCCAATATATTTCAAAAAGGAAATTCTCCCTTATATCAATAAGCACCTTGAAATATTTATAATATATTTTATTAATTCTAAATTTATCTTGATCTATATCTATCCGTAATTATTATTTATAGGAGGATATAAAGATACAAAAATCCAAGTTTTGAATTTTTTGCTTAAAAGTATTTGTTTAATTATTTATATAATTTAGTATATTAAATAGATAAAAAAAATAATAAGAAACTAAATTGAAATTAATTAAAAATTTGAGTTGGGCCGATATCTCAGATTAAAAGCCAAATTATAAAATTAAAAATATCAGATATATTTATGTTAACTTATCACAAAAATAAAATAAATACTCTTATTTCTCATACAAAAAAAATAAAAATTTTATTCTAAAAAACTTAAAGAAATTGAATCTATTTTAAGTAAAATGAATGTCGAAATGAATCTCAAAGTATGATTACCCATAGAATTTAAATAATTAATATATACTTTTGATTTCACCAAATTTATGATATGCTGGGATTCACTTATGATTCAAATCACAAATATTATAAACAATACTTTTTTCATAGTGGATGCATTTTAATATGAATTATAATGTTTAATTTTTAGAAAATAATTTGATAAATTAAAGTCTAAGTTTATGGTTTAATCTAATCTGCTTTTCTTTTATTATATTTTAAAAATCTAATTATTTCTAACTAATAATCAGTTATATTAAGTTGTAAACATCATGTAAGAGTTTGAAGATTTTAATAAATTTAAACAAAGATTTAATATTTTTCATAAATGAACAACTCCAACAAGAATTTCAAAAAAGACTTTAACATTGTTTAAAATATGAAAAAGTACTTCTAAAACAACATCGGATAAATAAAATAGCATTTTGAAGAAGAAGCTCACCTTGATATTTCATCAAACTCAGAATATATTTTACTACCTGATTTAAAGTCTATGGTCTTCAACATAGTTGATTTAGAGAGAAATGATTTCGATTAACTAAGTATTAATCAATCTATGTTTGTTGTTTCCTCGACAGAGGCTTCAAGTATTGAATTTATTTATTTAAAGGCATAAAAATTTCAGTGAATTCACAAAGTCTAACTAATAATTCTTTTTCCTCAAACTCTGCTTTAGAAGATTTTTGAATTAATCATAAAGAACTAGGATAATAATAGATGATAAATCTTTACATTAATTATTACTATACATATAAAATTTTATTAACAATCAATTTTATTATCATAACCAGAAAAAGATTATGTTTTTCTTCGTTTCATGTTTTATTAAGGCAAAATAGACATAATACATACATTTGTTTTCTAATATCAAAAGAAAATGTAAGCTAACAATCTTTTATATAGAAAAAAAATTTTTGAACTTTTTTTTTTTTCTTAAAAAACCCTACAACTTAAATTTTATTTTACATTTCAAAAAAACATAGAATGATTTCTTTCTAAACCAATTTTAATCCATTTAATAAAGAGATTATAATTAAATAATATCCAAAGTAATATGAGGTTTTTGTTAAATTATTTGAAAATTTTCTTTCTCTGTTTCGCTCTGAAAAATATCATCTAAAAGGAGATTATAATTATGACGTTGAATTAAAATCAATATACAGGAAAATCTTTTATCTATTTTAAGATTGGAATGTTATTATAATTGGTGCTTTAGAGATTCTAATCAGTTTTCTAATAAAATTAAGGCTGATTAATTTTATTTCTTGTTTACACAACCATAAATTTAGTAAATCAAAGAATGTAATTAATAATTAGAATTTTTATTCTATATTATATTTTATTTAGGTAATATTTAATTATGATGAAGGCTGGTATATTTGATAGAATTAAAATAAAATTTAACTGTAAAATTTAATAATATTTAAAAAAAACTTTAATCCCTATTTTTTCTAAGAATTTTGATTATTAATATTAACAATTAGATTGAAATAAAAATTTATAAGTTCTATAATTTTTTTCACCTCTGTAAGCTATATTCGAAGATTAAAAATAATATCCCAGAATAAATAAGTATCAAAAAAAGAGAATGTGAAAGATAATTAATATAACATTCATTAATATCTTTGCAATTTTTTTAAATATTTATAGATTTTTTAGTTTTTTTATGAGAGTTTCTAAAGATAAATAGTAAATATTAAAAATAAAAAAATAAATTTTAAATAAATGATTCCCTTCTATTAATTATAGTCAGAGACATAAAAATGAAAATGAGGATAGTTTAAAAACTAAACTGAACTTTTTATGATATTTTTACTATAGTAATTCCAAGTAATTGTGTACGATTAGAATAGTTTGTATCAATTATGAAATGAATTAGTATTTCGAATTGAAGATGGATTCTCCAACTTAATTAATAAATTAATTTTTAGAATATTTTGTTTATACAATAGATATTTGGATCATATTACGAATCGATTATAATAATAAAATACACAATAGATAATACGAATCAATAACAAGTTAATAGAAGAAATGATTCTCTTTATATAACTATTAATAACTTTTTAGTATGTAACTCTTATTTTTGGTTTCTTGAATTAAAATATATTAATATATAAGATGGTAAAAAAATAAATAATATTGAGAAGATTTATATCCTATAGCATCAAATTTAGCTTCTAAGAAATTTAAATCAATAATCGTTATATATTCCTGGTTAGTAATTTTGTTTTGATAAAAATGATCAAAATTGGAAGAATATTTAGCTAATACAAAACAAATATACAAAAATATAAATACTAGTTTTTATTGGAAAAGAAATATAACTTGATTGGTATTCATCCTAACAAATAATGATTTAAAATTATCAGATCAAATTTTCTTTAGTGTTTTTATTATTCAAAGAAAAGTGGTAAATTAAATTATATATTTATATTTTTTGTATTTTTCATTTATATATAAGTCATTTATTCATTATTGACTATCATTTGTCTTTTTAACGCTATACTCGATTGAATTAAAATAATTGTTAAAACATGTTGACACACATTTTTCTGAGAATTATAGAGATTAATCAAAACATTAATTATGGCATAATTTTGTCATATTTCTTATTGTTTATCCTAAGCACAATAATTTTTCTTTGTCTTATTCATTTTATGGATCAAATCTATAATTTTAAAATAAATCATATTCTTGTTTTGTGATATCTCTATAAAAATTCATTTTAATTTATTCTAATTTAAATTATAATTCAAGTGATTGTTTAAGCTTTAATATTTCTTTAAAATTATAGAATTATTTAATAGAAAATTTAACATTTCTTCATTACTTTTACAAAAAATAATTCGGTATTCCTATAATTTTTTTTATTTTTTTGCTAATGCAATTGAACTATTAAAAAATGGATTTAATAAAAAAAGATATTCTTAAATTCAAATATGTTAAATTTATTCAATTTAATAATCTAGTATTTGATATTTAATTTTTATATTGTGTTTTATAACAAATTTTAAAGTTTAAGTATAATAATTCTATGTAAACTGATTATTTCGATACTATATTAATTAAGTTATATATCTATATCATGAGGATTTTAAATTAAAAATTCAGATTCCTTTAATAATGATAGAAAAGAAAAATAGTTCACTTATATTCTGTCTTCAAAATATTTTTGAGGAACAAGTATTTTATTGAAAAGATTTTTATAATCATCCTTAAAGAAAAAAATATAATTTATTGAATTAAAATATGAAATCAATCTATCTTTATATCAATAAAAATCTAATTAAAGTTAAAAACATGAGGTTAGCAGTATGGCAAAGATAGATATGATATCATTAATAATATTTCATTAAAATAGTTTATTTACTAATCTTTATTATGAGTGAGACATTACTCTACTAGCTGAATGAGAGTCTCTGAGATCTGCACTATTATCTTACCTTGAGAGAAGTGGTCTTGTTTTTATGCGAAAATTTTATCCAAAAGTAAGATTTAGTTATTGAGTGTTTTGTACATTGTGTTAAGATAGTTTTCTGTGTATTTTTTCATTTTAACACATTCTTTAGCGAATAAGTTTAATATTAAAGTTCTTGAGAATATCTTTTGCTTTATCACATTCTAGATTAATCTGTTACTTTTTTGATATTAGAATTGGAAGGGCTATTCCTAATCTCTATTTATTTTCTTTAGGTTCTTCTACGCTGCGATGAGTTTAATTTATTTTTGGTTCCAAACTTGGCTTATATGAAAGCATTTTAGCTTATCGTATCAAGTTGCTTTTTTGTATCCTGTTTTCACCCTACAGCAATTCCTTGAATGCGGCAGTCTATTGAAATTACATATATAAATAATAAATTTTTTATTGAAAGTTGCAGAACAAGGAAATAAAGAATACCATTCTTTATAATCATTTAAATGAAATAGCCTTTTAATATTCTACAAAACAACAAATTGGAATAAAATTTCTTAGAAAAAATAAATTTTCAAATATCTCTTCAAATTTTTCATTACTCATTAGATTTGACTGACTTTATTTAAATGGCTGTTTAATTCTAAGATTATATAATTTTTAAAGGCATGAATATTTTTCTAAATTGTTTTATAAAAAAATTTTTGAATTATAAAATGCTAGATAAATCAGGGTGAGAAACCTAATTTAATTTTTAGTTTTTTTTTTTTAAAATACACTTCTAATATTGATTTAGAAAGCAAAAATAAAAGAAAATGAACAAAACTTACTTTTTTGTATAGAATTTGATCAAAATAAGAATATAAGTGATAATTCAAGATCATGTGAAAAAATGAACAACATAAATATTTTATTTAAGAATATGAAGGTTGATTATTCATTATGATAAATTATTTTGCTTACTCTATTACAGTATGAAATTTAGTAGATCTTTCTTCTTTTAATCAAATGATAAATTTTTTTAAGAGTTGATATCTTACAATTTCTAAAGAATTGTTTGAGTGTTATAAATTGGTTCTTTTATCTTGAATAGTTATTTGAAGGAATTACTTTAAGAATGAAATCATCTCGATTTTCGTAAAGCTATTATTCAGAATAGGCAACTTGCTTTTTCACTTCTTCAGCATATGAATTTATATCATTAGAAAATAATTAAGCAGCTCTTGGGTTAAATGATGTAACACAATCATAATAACTAACATCAATAAACATTTCATAGAGTTTGTTTAATAAATTATATACCATGCAATCTTATCCATATTTCCATTTTGGAATAAGTGTATCTACATCTACATTATTATATTCATCAATTAAAGGATGGAATAGAGGATAAAGAAATCTAATTTTAGGAATAGATTCTGGAAAGGTTTTTGGAAAATTTAATAAAAATTTAAATTTTCCTTTAGCATAAAGCCCATAAGAAATGCTAATCAATCCATGCCATTCTATTTTATTGTTTTATGTTTTTACCTGTAATTTATTCAGTTTTAGGCAATAAAATGATAGAAAATTTATGAGCATATACTGATAGCAATTTACTAATTTTATTAATAATTTTATTACTATTCAAATTTAATGATATTGTTTCTTGTTTCTGGATCTTTGGCAGCTTGATTAATAACTTCTTCAGTCAAATAATTTGATGATTAAGAATGAAGTAAAAGGTCGTTCATATTTCAATAAAACTATTTAATATAAATATTAATATATTGTAAGAAAGTGTTTTATTTATACATTAATAGTTGTTGATTTGATTAATTATTTAAATAGTAAGAGGAGAGTTCTGTTAGGAATTGTCTATATATTTAATTTTGAATAAATATGAATAACATAATTATAATTATTAAATGGAAGATTGCTTGTTTGAGATAAAAGGAGCAGGGTAAGAAATATAGTAAAATAAGTTCATAGTAAACGATATAGAAGTAAATGGGAAATGATGCTCAGAGCAATGATTAAAATATAGTGATTAATGATAATAATGATGAATTGATGCCTCTATTTAAAGTGAATGTAGATGGAGTTTAGAGAATATTGGAGATAATTAGATCTAATATAGGGAAAATAGAAGAACTAAAAAAGGGGTATACAAGTGCAACTAGATCAGATGCAGAGAAAGGTTGGTATTAGTGAATTAAATAATATGATAAGATGTAAGCATGAAATTGGATAAGATAATATAATAAAATAATCAGTAATAAGAGAGGTTGAAAAGATTAATGGAATAAGTGTCTTAGGATGTTGAAGAGGCTAAGGAGAAAGAGCCAGATGAACCAGAAACAAGAATGAAAATGGATATATGGGCAGCAGTAAATCTAAAGGTTTAGGCTGTTTTGTAAGAGAGTTAAAAGGCTTAGTTAGATTTCCAAAATAGTATGAGAAACAAAATAAAAAGACAAGCAGGTTGTTTAGATTCAAATCTGAATGAGGAATAAATAGAAGAGTTATGTGAAGATCCAAATGTATAAATTATTTGATGTAGAAAATATAAGAATTATTACAAAAGAAAATCTATGGGTAAGCCTCGATTCAATTATAAAATGCAGTACAAGATATTTAAGATAAATATTAAGACATACTTAAATTAGAGAGAGTATGATTACATTAATTACAATTTAAGAGTGTTTAACAGGTATATTAACTCTTCGCAGATATGGCAATTTTAGTCAAGAATCAAGGAGAACTGATCGATAATATTGAATAAAATATGATTAAAGCAAAAGACTACGTAAAAAAAGGGGAGGCATAATTAATCAAAGCTAAAAAGGATCATTAAGCTGCAAGAAAAGTAAAAAACTTAATTTGACAATAGAAAATGTGTTGTATTGTCATGATTGGTTTGGTGTTGATCTTGGTTATAGTTGGTCCAGTATTAGGGACCTCTTTATGAATTTAATATATATCTATAAAGATTTATTATGTTAATTAAGTAGAGAGTCAAAATAATAAAAATAGTGAAAGTCTAAATTGAATCTACCATTTAAATTCAATTAGAAATGGGAAAATCATTATACTTTCATAAATCGTTATTGAAGTGAATAACTATAGATAGTGCTGAGTCCAACAGCAGCACTTTTTAGTAAGTTAAAAGTAATTTTTATTCCATAAAGTTTAAATGGATTATTTCTGGAATCATATTAGATGATTCTAATATTATCATCCAACTCTTGAATTATGGATTTGATGACTTCTTCTACCTGATTTTCATTTTGTAAGAGTTATTTGAATTTTTTATGAATGTAATTTTAGGGTTCTTTGTTTTGTTCAAAGTACACATCTTTCATTCGTAATAGATCTTAGTAAATTGATTTAACATCTTAGAGAGCAATTTCGCATTTATCTAGATAAGTATTCAATTTAGCACCTTAATACAGATAATAGGCAGTAAAGCAAACTATCATTATTGCTAATTCACCTAGTAAGACTAATTGAAAAAAGTCAAGATGAACAAAGTCTAGAATTAACAATAAAGATAAGAATATAAGTACAATAAATCCTAGAAAGCAGAGAGAATAAAAGCCTTGAGTTCTGAGATTATAAGTTTGACCATAATCGAATGAAATTGCTCTCATCATTGACCATGCTTACCATGTAGTTATATTATTGAAATTAAGAGTTGGTAGTAATTTTAATTATTCAATTTGATCTTGTCGAACTTTGATTATCAGTAAGAGTTATTCAAGTAAAAAGAATTTACGATTAAAATCATAAAAGGCTTAATGAAAGAATATGTTGCTACCCCAAAATCCAATAAATGAAGCAATGATATTCAACACTTAATTTATATTAAAATCAATACCCATTCGAAACATATCCAAGGCTTGAACAGAATTTAATAATTGTCCAATTCTCAACCAAATTGGGGTTGTCGAAAGTATAAAAGCTTCTAATACACATATTAATAGATGAGTATTTGGTGAATTTTTAATTTGATAATGACTTACTAAGTAGCCAAATAATTTAAAACCTGAATACTCATCATTATCTAAAGAAATTCCTGTGTCTTTATAAAAATTGATATCAACTTTAGCTATGGCAACTTTTGTTTCTTAATGTGGCTACACTATAAAATCCATCTTAAATAGAGAGATTTCAAATTAATAACGTAAGAGAGAACGATAAGGTTCTAAAAACAGAATCTTAGGAGATTATTCTCTCCATTCTCCCATCATAAGATCAAATGAAAAAACATCTTCTGGTAACAATGTACTTTTGTATAACATTATTACGCTCCTACTAAAAGTAGCATATTTTGCTGCTATTACAACACTTCGAATTGTTAATGCATACCATAAAAATAAAATTTCAGTCAATGTTATTAAACTTTCATCCCATAAAAAATATCCTAAACCTCCTATTACAGATCCAAACCATAACAAAGTTTACATATAAAAAGCCATTGAATTTCCATAAAATTTCATGTTTCTCATTAGTGTCATACCAGGCCATACACTAAATAATATTACCATAAATGGTCCCAAAATTGTGAAGAAAATCTAAAATCCAAAAAGTAAATCATACCTAATGGTATAAAAAAAACTCTACAAATACACCCCAGTTCCATTCACCTTTGTATCTTTCCATTTGCTCTTTTTGAATATTTTCCAAAGAAACAGATTAGGGAATTATTTCCCATTAACGTTTCTCGTACAAAAATCTCTCTTCATCTTAAACATTAGTTAGGGATTCATCTGTTGGATGTACCACTGAAATCTTAAGAGATCGTCTATTGGTTTACAAATTTGATTTTAGCATTGTTGGAATATCATTATTGTTTTCCATTTTATAAAAATAAGTATATTAAAACAAAAAACTCTATTGCTAATCATATACATTTGTTAGACTTGAATTTAAAAAATAAACAAAATTATGAACTTAATGTTAATTCTCTAAATAATAGAAAATCTAGATTAATGCTATTATTATGGTTTATCAATAAATTTGAGACAATTTTGAATAGAAATAATAAACAATAATTGCAGATAATTACACTTAGGTAGAATATTAATTAAATTACGATGATTGTGTTAGATTATAGTTAAATTTTTAATGATAACAATTTTGAATAAGTTTGCTGATAAAAATGATGAGGATTTGTATTTAAATTAGAGAGAGTTTAGAAATTGTAGATGAATATGTGAAATTTTTGATTTTGTTATTATTAAATTAATTATTAATGTCAGAAGAATTAGCAAATACCGTCTACCTTGGTGGGATTCCAGAAGATGTGACTGTTGAATAAATAAAACATTTATTTATAACATTTGGTGAAATTAAATCTGTGGATCTGCCTATTGATAGTGAAACATGTATAGATAATGAATATTCAAGAAAAGAATAGAGGATTTGCATTTATTGAATATGAAGATATTGAAGATGCTGAATCTGCAATAGATAATTATGATGAAGGTGAATTGTTTGGGAGAATAGTAAAAGTAAAGCCAGCAAAGCCATATAAACCAAAGTCTTTTTATACTAAACCTGTATGGCATTCTGAAGATTGGTAAAGAAAAAATAATGAAGAGTATACTTACAAAGAACGTATGAGAAGAGAAAAGTAAAAAAAGAGAGATGAAGAAGAAAGGAAGAAAGAAGAGGAAAAAGCAAAGAAATATTAAAAGAAATAGTGAAATTGCAAATATTATATAATTTAAAGTTTATGAATTTAATTATTAAAGTTTAATGCTACTTTAAGGTAAAGAGATATTCAAATTTAGAAAAAAGTACGAATAAATTACTATAATCATTTTTTAATTTTATTTTTTTTTTCAAATATCCAAAGCTGTGGGCAATTTAGCATGTGCTTTAGCTGGTTAAAGAATGTTTTCCATTAATAAATGAATTGAAAGGACAACTCCAATACCTGCCAAGAATAAATAGATAACATCCACATTTTTCATAGGATCAATACCACCACCAATAGCATACACAAAACCAGAAATCATTGGAACAACAGCCATACAGAAATTCTCTATTATACCTAATAAACCTAAAGCAGTTGCTAATTTTAATAATATTTATATAATACCTAACATATCTTCTGGAACTGTAGATTATAAAGCAGGCATTAAAACACTTGAAAAACAGGAATATGACAATCCTAATGTAATCAATCTATAATTAATATTATATTATTACCCAAAAACTGAATAATAATTAGGAGAAGTCGTCAAAGGAATGTAATAAAATTGTAAATGGGAAATAAAAAACATGATTGTTGACACTACTATAAAAAAAGGTCTATAATTAGTAAATTTATCTGATAACCTTCCAACTATTGGAGATGTGATTGCTAAATTAATCATATAATAAATTATACTCTACCTGCAACAACATAACCAACAGTAACTATTTATCCAGCATCCATAATACTAAATCCAAAACGTTCATGATAAAATTTATTAGCATTATCTAGAAATGGCACATATGATGCTAACATTAATGTTGTTATTATGCTCATTATTACAAAAGGCTTTGTCAATTTAACTAAATTTTTAGACTACTAGTTTACAATTAAAAACTGAGATTTATTCTGTTGTTTTTACAGTCTCTACTTTTTCATATTTCATATCTACATATATCATCATCAGTCCAGATAAGAAAGACTATTTAAATTATTCTAATATATACTAAAAAACACAAGAATAATCCAAACAATAATGGTATTTTTAATGAATTGGTCTTCTCAAATAAATAAGGGGATAAAAACGAATTAAGAGCAGCTGCTAATTCTGGTACTGTTAGTATCAATCCCATAGCAGTTCCCATATCTTTTGGCATTCGTTACGCTACCATTTTAAATACAGCAATATGTAAAATATCACTTGCGATACCAAATATAGCTCTACCACAAAGCATCATACAATAATTATGATAGCATCCTCCAAAAAAAATAAATAATTATGATAAACCCAATAAAAGACTGAATGTGAACACCTAAGCTATTACATATATTCTTACACCCCAACGACCACCCATATTGTCTATCATGATTCCTCCACCTATACTTAATCCTATATTAGGAATTGCAAACACACTGTAAAGCAAATTGAATTAAGTTTATGTTAATTAAAACTCCTCTTCTATAGGAACCTCAAGAGCTTAAGGAATATCAAACGCATAGTTGTTTCCAACCATTAAAAGAATGGCTAGCAAGATGATTAAACGATCCATTTTTAATAATTAATATACACATTAATTTTAATTCATTGAATGAGATTTACCTTACATTCTATGAATTTTTTCAAATTTAACAAGTCAATTTTATAATTTTTATTTTCCAATCATTCTACTTTCTCAATCTATCAAATAAATTCTCATTCTTGCATCAACACTATTATTATAATTATGTCAAATTCCTAAAATATTTACTTCAGTGAAGATCCAAGATTTGTAAATAAACATTAGATAAATGTAGGTATATATTTTTGATATAATGTTACTAAAACATGCAGTTGATTTCTATTAATTCCATAATATCAAATATATGGAATTTAAAATAGCAATTTCTGTTAATTCACAATTATACTTGATCATAAAAATAATTTAAATTATTGATCAAAATTTTTAGATATTAATTTTCAATACATTTTCTTAATAAACCTAAGGCAATACTTCAAATTTTGTAAAACAAGATTAGACATCTAAAATACAACTAATTTTTAGTTTCACTTATGAAAGAAGACTATCTTTTACTTTTAGGAATCATATAGTGTTGAATATTCCTTTTTTGAATATATATTTATTGTTTATGGTAAAACGATATTATTTAAAATTAATCATAATTGATCTATTCTCATGTTGAGATAAGAGTAAATTCAATATAAAATATGTGGGAGTAATTGATTGTGTATTTCTTAAAATGTAAATAATTATTGCTCAATAATGAGTATCTTCTTCAATTAATATTTGGCTTAATAAATTAGGGAAGTGAGACATCTATTTTGTTATCTAATAGATTTTAGACAATAAATTCTGATTGAATCATTCAAATACTAGTATTCGTTTAATGCAGTTTGAAAGTATGGTAAGTGGAGAGTATATGATAAGTTTATAAAGAGTTTATTTTGAAATAAATAAAATGGATTACGAAATCATTGATTAAATAGGGAAAGGAAGTTACGGTGTGATTTATAAGGTGAGATTAGGAAGTTAAATGTAAGTGTTGAAGGAAATCTCACTAAAGAATCTTTCTTTGAAATAATAAAACGAAGCTTATAGGGAGGCTCAGATAATGCATACATTAAACCATCCAAATATAATTTCATACTATAATTCTTAATTGAAAAGGGATAAGTTAAATATCTTTATGGAATATTGTGAGGACGATCTTTATAATTATATATGTCGAAATCCATCTCCAGGAGAGAACTAAGTTTGGTAGTGGACAATGTAATTGTTAGAAGGTCTTGAGTATTTACATTCTTAAAAAATAATGCATAGAGATATCAAACCTAATAATATTTTAATGAAAAGCAATGTATTAAAGATTAGTGATCTGGGAGTTTCTAAAAGTTTGATATCTACTCAATAACTTTAAACAACAAAAGTGGGAACTCCTTTATATTTGGCTCCTGAATTAATTCGAAATAGACCTTATGATAGTAAAATTGATATTTGGGCATTGGGATGTGTGATTTATTTTATTTGTTAAGGTGATCCTCCTTTTGGGGGAAGCAATTTAATCTCATTGGGATATAATATAGTGAATAAGTCTCCAAAACCTATTAATAGTAAATATTCAAGGAGGTTGTAGAGTCTTATATTTAAATTGTTAAATAAAGTACCAGAATTCAGACCAACAGCTACTCAAGTATTGCAATAGATTCGTGAAGATAATGAAATGAAAATGAAACCTCAATTTTAGAAGATCTTTTCTGTTCACTCTTAACATGAGATAACTAGAGGAGATGATATGAAAGAGTAGAATAAGACTGTTTAAATGATATAGAGTAGAAGGTTAGAAAGAATTATTCAATAATAGAAGGATGCTTAATTCAGATTATGTGAGGCTGATAAATTTAGCAAAATTGTACTTTTAAATAGAATTATTAAACATTAATCAGAACATTATGCACAATGATAAATACTAAAATCATAATACTCATAGTATTGGCTTTCTGTTAAAGGCATTTAATAATTCATCCAATTTACTTTAATGTTAATTTAATTAGAATGGTTTATTCTAAGATATCTATGTTTTGCATGAAGTTTGGGTTTGTATTTTGGCATACTTGTTTTCAAAATCTTATTTTCTATTCTACCAATCTAAGGAATTCAATTCTAATGCTAGATTTGCTAATCCATCTTTTTTACTTCCATGAACTACAAGAAAACAATTAAATTAATATACTACTTGCATCTTATAAATAATTCTTCTTTCGTATTAAATCTGGAGATGTTCTAATTGCCGAATTGGGTCTATGATTACTAGTAAGAGAAAACTGGAATTTTTAATTTGCTGATTCTGGAGTACTAAAAAGATCTAATCCTAAAGATTTTCGTTTATAGCCATCATATATAATATCATCGAGAGGTTTTGTTTTTACTCCAGAAATTTATTATTGTTTTTCTTCATATTTATTCATAAAAGAGATTTCTTTTGTTGGAGTTTAAAATTATTTACTAATTTATATAAATAGATTTTACCTTTTTATTAAAGATTCTTTTATTGGTTATATGTCAATATTATCATTTTTATTATTTTATTATTGTAAAACTCTTTCATATTGCTATAATTATCTTAAGAACCCATTATTAGGATAGACTTACCATCTCTTTTTTTCAAGTAATTTTAAGGAATCTTAAGCACTCATATTATTTTTTTTCATTAAATATGCTGCAACAAGAGTGGCTGATCTAGATATACCAGCCATACAGTGAATCAATACATTCCCACTTTATCGGGCTCGTTCAATGAATTGATTACTACTCTCAAAATGTCTACTGATATTTTCAGATTCACAATCCTCTAAGTATATGTGTTAATAATTTTGGAGTTATGTTTGTACTTAGAATGGTATCTTATTCATGCAAATTGATAAAACACCATTGATTCTGTGCCTCCTTAAATTCTCTAGACTAGCTAATGTATTTATTTTATTCTTACATGCTGATTCTATATTTCCTAAGTAAATTGATCCTGAAGTTCCATTGTCAACAATACAAGTCATATCATCCATTTATTATTGATAAGATAAACAACTGCTTTGATAGGAAGATTTTTGTACAATGGGTTAAAGGTTAAACATTAATTAACAATAAAAATTATTTCACTAAATGTAAAAATTGAAAATTTAGCCTCAATTATAATAAATAAGGCGTTCATCCTCAATGGGTACAGTAAATATAGAACTTATACATTTTGAAAAGAATGTTTCTTTAAGTTAGAGCACATTTTTCAAGACATTCTCTGAAATGCAATAGAAGTATTTAAAATATATGATGATATAAAAAGGGCTGCAATAACGAATCAAGTAGCTCGAATTCCATCACCAAAGGAAAGATTGTAGGTTTCACTATCTCACAACAAAAAATAGAGTGAAACAATAATAAATTAAAGTAGAGAAAGATTAGAAATAGCAATGATTGAAGCTCTTTCTTTGACATAGAAGAATAGAAATAAGAATTATTAGAAATTAAAAAGGCGGCGAGATTAAGGTCATAAGAAAGCAATGGAATTAAAACCATAATAAAAAGGTATAGGATAGCAATTAAAGAGAAAGTTTTTTAGTTGCCTTAATTAGACAGTCCTTTAGAGAATAGTATAGACAGTCCTGCTTAGTTAAGTTTTTATTTTGAGTCTCAACGTGTAATACGTGATATAAAGACATTTAAACCATCATTTACAGAATAGGCAGCATTTGGATTATTGAATGATTAGCTATATTTATATGGAGGCATTGGAGGAGATGGTGTTAGAAATTAAATGTTGAAATATGATATAAGTATATAAGTGAGTATTATTTAAGAATTTTAAGTATGGCAAATAGTATAAGGAAACGGAGAACATCCAAAGTAAGGTAGAGCAGGTTTGTCAATCGTATAATACAAAAATAAATTTGTGTATTTTGGAGGTTGTGGATAATTCAATCCAAAATTAAAGATAAGAGAATGTTCTAATTCAGTATTTGAATATACAGTAAGTAATTCATATTGGGAGAAATTACATCCCTAAGGAGATTTTGTGGAACCGAGGAGATAACATAGAGCATGTTTAATAGGATCGAAATGGATGATGATTTACGGTGGAATTAATCAAAATGAAGAAGTACTCTCTGATACTTGTGTATTGAATATAGAAAAATAATATTGGAAACTATATAAAGTAAAAGCTACACCAATATGTTGTCATGCTCTAGTTAATATATCATCATAAGGTAAATTTTAAGATATTATTCAAAATGAATTAATGCCTTAAGATATTGTTTATTCATTTGGAGGAAAGGATGCTGAAGGCAATTCAGTAAACACAATTAAAAAATTGAATTATTGTTCTTTTAATAATATTCCACTTTCTTGGGATGTTATTGAATGTAAAGGTATAGCTCCTCCTCCTATGCATAATCATACTGTTGAGTATTTAAGAAAAGTTTAAGGTATAGCAATAATTGGTGGACTTAGAGATTTTATATTGAATGGAACTTTAGAATCAGATCAATATTTCATATTTTATCCTCATTTAAATCTTTGGTAAGAAGTAATAGCTGAAGGTTAAAGAATTCCAAGATGTGCACATTCTACTGTTTTACTTAGCTCTAAAATTGCAGTCTTTGGAGGAATTGGTAATGAACGCTATTTAGAACCAGATGTGGGATTCATTGAAACTGATTAGATGCAAGTTTTTAATAAAGTCACTAAAGATAAAATTAATCACAATACTAATATACTTTCTAATATTGAAGAACCTAACAAACTTGAAAATTCATTTAGAAAAAGGAAGTCTCTCTTCCAAGATGAATCAGAAATCTCTGATACATAAAAACCTTTCAGAATCACACTTCGTAAGACCACTTAAGCTAGAAGATCATACTTGCCAAATCCGCATCGTAAATAAGTACTCATTAGATATGATATTTTGATTGGATTCATCAACAAAGTCATACGTGACAATCTTCATATACTCTTGAATTTTGATAAATATCTAGAAAGATAAATTATATGATTATATTATTAAATCTTATGATCATCATAAAAAAGAGAGAGAATTGCTATCTATAACATATTATGATTAACACCTCAATTTCTATTCTAATTTATCATCTCACATTGATTATAAAAATTTATCATCTAATACATTTTGCTATCATCTATATAAGAATAAAAATATAAATTGATATCTAACATAATGATGTCTTTTTCAACATTTTTTTAAAGTTAAGTAATAAACTAAAAGAAAAAAAAGAAAATTCATAATTAAGATTATTAAAATATATTTAATTATTTTAAAATATTATAAAATTTATATCTAATTATTTAAGCAGAAAACAAAATACTTTAACAATAATTTGTTCATTTCTTACTCTCTTGTCTAATATCTAATAATTTAATTTTCAAAATATAAAGATATCATATAAAAAAAACAATTAGTTATAATTTTAATTAAACAATTAAATATTATATAATAGATTAGTATAAATATATATAAGTTTTCACAGCACTTTCATAATTTATACTTAAGTGGTGTTTAGAATTCTTTGAATTCAATATTATGTATTGAAATATTATTTTATTTGTAAATACAATTATTTATTTATTTATGAATGATATTTAAGCAATAAAATTTATGTTAAGGATATATAAATAAAATTAACAAAAATCTTTTATCCTCAATGTCATAAAGACCACCTGTCCCATAAAGTAATATAGACATCTAAATCATTAGATTAAGCACCTTAACCATAATAATATCCACCAGCCCCATAATATGCTCCAACATTAGCTCCATAATATGCTCCAACATATGCTCCATAATATGCTCCAACATTAGCTCCTTAATATGCTCCTCTTACAAGCTATGTTCCACAACAATATGCACCTGCTCCTATTGCACCACTCACATATAGTGTTGCCAGACCTGTTGCTCCAGTTGTTGCTTAACCAGTTGTTGCTCAACCAGTTGTTGCTTAACCAGTTGTTGCTTAACCAGTTATGTAAGCCCCCGTTTTGTAATAATCTGTCATTGCTCAGCCAGTCGTTTAATAATCAGTTCATGTATAAATATTCAAATCTAAATTTTAAGGCAACTATTAAAGGAGAATCAAGAATTGAATATATTCCTTATCAAAAAGCTGTTATGGAATATGAAGAATAAGAAGTTGTTTAATATGTCCCAAGAGAAAGAAAAGTTACAGATTATTATGCAGTTGAATATTAGACCGAATATATCCCATAAGTCTTCTAAGAAAAATACACAGGTATGTAATTATTATAAATTTAGAATACGTACCAGTTGACAGATATTAAGAAAGAGTTGAATATTATCCAGTTGAAAAATAAGTTGTTCATGTATAAAAATTGTTTTAATTAATTTTAGCAATAAGTTCAACCAGTAGTATAACAAGTTGTCTAATAACCAGTTGTTCAATAAGTTGTTTAACAACCAGTTGTTTAATAAGTTGTTCAATAACCAGTTGTTTAATAAGTTGTTCCTCAACCAGTTGTTTAATAAGTTGTCTAATAACCTGTCAGTGTTGTCTAACCAGTTTAATCTGTTCCAGTGACATATGCACCATAATATGCTGCACCATAATATGCTGCACCAATTGTCTCATCAAGAGTTGTACCATCATATCCCTAATATCCATCATATCCATCATATCCTTAATATCAACCAGCACCCTAATAAGTCTAACCATAATAACAACCACCAAGATCTAATTTGAATGTTGCTTGAAATATTAAGTGCACATAAATAAATTATATTGTTATTATCTATTTCAAATATTCATTTTTTAATTTTGAAATAATCACAATCAAAAATCATTATTTTATATATACCTAATATTATAAAGAAAATATTTCAATAAAATGCTTTGTTTAGATCTTTCAATTTATAAATAGTTCTTTAAGTCAAAATAATATTAAATAAATAAATTTTATTTTCGAAATAAACTTAATTTAAAATAAAATTTCCTAATACTACTCCTTTCTTTGTAATTTTAATCCAAAATTAGATAATAATACTATGAAATTTAAAAATAGTACTTTTTAAGTTAACTGAGTACCCTTATTCATGATATTGTAAAATTATATAGTGTGAATTAGACAATCCCATATTTATTTAATAATATAATTTATCAGATTAAAAAAAAAAGAAAATAAGAATTAATTAATGATGACTTTTCACTTCGCAGTGACCCCCATGACATATCATGAGTGTAAAATCTTCCTTAGATGCCTGATATTATATATATTTTTATTAAATTAATCACATTAAAAATATATATAAATATTTTACCAGAATCAGATGAATGATAAAATGTGTACAAATTTTCCCTTTCTCAATTGATTTGAGTTTATTATTATTTGTATAAAATAATTAAAATATATTAATATGATAGTCTTGTTAAAATGTAATTAAATTCTGAATCTAACTATTTACTTATTGTTTATTGTTAAAAGTATTTATTTGAATTTAATTTTTAACAATATCATTTTAAGGTAGGCTAAAAGTTTAAGTGATTACATTTAATTTCAATAATTAGAATATTTATTAAGTATTCTTTTATTAATAATATTCAATCTCTTTTGTTTTTTGAAGAGTTTTTATGTATTTTATTTGCATTATTCTTGAATTTAATAGGGATCATCAACAATTTTCATACTAAACATTGGTAAAGGTATATCTGTTATTTATACAGTTTTAGATTCAATTCTTCTTGGAGATGGAGTTAAGTTTATTCTTTTTTTTTTGGATGGAAGAACTGGAATTTTATTATAATTATGAACAGGATTCAATTTAGATGGGTCTTTGATATGTCCCAAACGAATCATCATAAACATTTTTTTTCTATCTAACTCTTACAAATATCCAAAATCCAGATCATTTAGTTTTTGTGCCATTGGTGATCTTACTTTCCTTTCAATTTTAATAAGAGGTTTTGATCTAACAGCCTCTACACAAGGAGGAGTAGCATTTAGAGTTCTGGATGATTTTGGTTAATTATAATTTAATCTTGATGAGATTTACCTTTCGTTCTCATTATAATAGTTAGATATTTTTGTTAGATTAATTACATCCATTTTTGTAATTAATAAATAAATTATTGTATTTATCAATAAACTTTATAAATTCTTTTTATTTGAATAGATACTAAACGTTGATTAAACAACTTAAAATTAAATTAATTATAATTTAAAATTGAGTTTGATGATAAATTATAATCATAAAAATTCTTTTTTATAACATCAAATCTTGTAGTTATTCAAAAATTATCAAATATTTTGCAAGAAATAATGATACCTTAAGATAGCTTCTTAAAATTAAATTATTTAATAACAAAAGCCAGAATTAACTAAAGATTATAATTTGACAAAAATAAATTAAATAGTTGATCATATTGCTAGAAGAATTTCATTAAATCATTATTCAATAATTTAATCTTCTTCTTTTGGTTCAGGTGAATATATAATTGAGTCTCTATCAGATAGAATAAAAGGCAAGAGATCTGATAGTTCAATTTCTTTATGACTAATACATTGCCTTTGATTAATCAAGGTAGGTTTGAGATGCCAGTATAATATATAATAATTGAGCTTGAGTTTATTCAGTAAAAAAGTAATCAAAATTAAAAGCACAATCTTTGCAATTACGATTATTATGACATGAATACTTTTCAATTTATCTCGAAAAACAAAAATAAAAATTGCCAAGATAATCAACACAAGAAAGACAATCACCATGAACAGAATGAGCCACTTTCCAATAGTATTAATGTTTCTCCTAATTCTAAACCATTTCATACATATAGTATCCTCCTATTTGAAATGAATAGGAACATTCGTTTTTGCAAATAAATGCTAATTCTTTATACTTTTTTGCGTTCCTTCTAGCGGTATCCTAAATGCACTTTTCATGATATGTAATTCCTTTACATTTACAATATTAATAAACAACTCCAAAATCACAATTACATTCTTAACAAGCTTTAAAAGGTTAATCTATCTGTCTATTAGTGGATGACAACATATTCAGTACAATTGTTTCATGACTTTTCACTAAAATTGTTCCTTTATGCCTTGTAGATGGTGAAGTCAAAGGTGTAAATCTCAGACGATAATTGCTTGATTCTTAAACTGTTAAATCGGATAGATTTTAAGAATTTCTTCCTTATTATCTCTACTCTGAAAGTTTATTTAATGTTGAATTTCTCATTAATATTTTACAATAAAAAAATCAAATTTTAAATATAAACACAAAATTGAAATATTATTTCTTGCTTTAGTTTTTAAAGATTAAGCTCATTCCTTAAAAAATCCACAGAGCATCACATAATAACATTGTATCCATAAATGAGTCAATATTTATCAATATTTAAAAGGAAGTTTTTCTTTTAATTATTTATCAAACACTGCAAACATTGCAAAGACTTCCTAATTTCTCATTTTTTAATAATTTAAAAAAAAAAAAAAATTATCTTTCTAAAGGATAAAAAGTTATTTTAAATTTTAAGATTTTGAAAATAAAGTTTAGCCTTAAATAATCCTTTGTTGAGTTTAATTTTGGATTTCTCTATCATAATATTTATGAAATTTTAAATTTACTGTATTTATTCAAATAAATAAGGTTAAATAAAGTTAATCTATTAATATATAAATTGAAAATACAGCGTTGTAATAATTTGAAGTAAATTACAATAAATTTATTAAGGTATCCAAAAATAAATACAAGAATTAATATTTATTTAGATAATTTTAAATTCCAGTTTGACTTTTAAATTTATTCTAATATTTAAATTGATTTAAGTTTCATCAATTGATTAAAAATAGTTAATCTATTTTTAAATTACTTTTTATCTTCTTTAAAAATTTTTTTATGGAATAAATAATAAAATATTGAATCTTCTATTCTCAAATATTTTAGATTGCAGGAATTATTGATTAGATTTAAAAGGAGATTCTCGGGAATAAAGTGTTGTCAAGTTATCACATGAAATTTTGTTATTTTTAAACAATTCTTAGTACTATTTTTATTTTGGTTCCTTTATAATGCTCCAAGTAAAATTTTTATACAGCATTTTCTTCAAAGTTAAAAAAACTTTTAAGACTTTTTGAAACCGAGATTGTTAAAAAATAATTTTTAAGAAAATTATGGACAATAGAATAAATCTCAAATCATAAATATTATTTAATAAAAGAGACCGATCAAGCTCTCAAGGAAGTGTTAATAACAATATCAAAAAAAAGGGTGCTGCTCTATATAATTATTTAAGAGAAAAAAAACTATATTGATGGAGTATCCCTTTTTTCCAATTAATAAGGTATTAATATTTGTATTAAATAACATCTTAGTATAATATAAAATTAGGCCAAATTTTTCAGAAAATAATAGTTTTATATCAGCAGATTAATCTCTATAACCTGTTAAGAATACTTTTTAGATCATTTCTATACAGAATAAAAAAAGCTTAAATCTAAAATAAATTGTTTTAAGTATTTAATGCTGGCCTTGATAAGTAAATGAAAACAATCAATAAAATATAAATTAAAAAAAGTAGTATATATTATATATAAATTTACATTTTTTGGTTTTTTTATAAATATAAAATTCAGAGAAAGCATATAATCACAATAAAAATTATCCAACTTATTTAATTTTTTCAGTTTAAGCTAAGACCTAGTCTATTTTTTTTGGATCCATTCTATAAGTGTTAATAACTATCTTTGTGCTCTTCTTCTTTGCTTTTCTACGTCTATGAATTGCTTTGGGTAAAAATCCTCTTTGAAAATCCATCGAAAGGTATCGATCTTTTTGTGTAGGGTAATCTAAATCACATTAATTAACCTTTTTAAAAATAAATTGTACTTCTTTTTCATATTGACTATTGAAAGAAGAAAATAATTTTAATATTTCAGCTTCTTATTTAAATTCTTTCATTCTATTCATTTGATTTTCAATTTCAACTGGATCTAATTTACTAAAAAATTTTAAGTTTTTTTTAACTGGTGAATTTAAATCTTACGTAAAGGATTTTGATTATCCATGTAAATTAGTACATAATTAATCTTCAAATTTTAAAAATTAAATCTTTGATGGGTCAACATCTTTTCCTAATAATTTTAATTTGTGTTCTGATATATGTGATATCTCTTCATAGCAATTTGAAGCGTTTTTGTTAAAAGTTAGTTCAATTTTAGAAGCGTTTTAAATTTATTCTTATCTTTATTTATCTAGTAAATATAAAATTGTTATACATNAATAGAATAAATCTCAAATCATAAATATTATTTAATAAAAGAGACCGATCAAGCTCTCAAGGAAGTGTTAATAACAATATCAAAAAAAAGGGTGCTGCTCTATATAATTATTTAAGAGAAAAAAAACTATATTGATGGAGTATCCCTTTTTTCCAATTAATAAGGTATTAATATTTGTATTAAATAACATCTTAGTATAATATAAAATTAGGCCAAATTTTTCAGAAAATAATAGTTTTATATCAGCAGATTAATCTCTATAACCTGTTAAGAATACTTTTTAGATCATTTCTATACAGAATAAAAAAAGCTTAAATCTAAAATAAATTGTTTTAAGTATTTAATGCTGGCCTTGATAAGTAAATGAAAACAATCAATAAAATATAAATTAAAAAAAGTAGTATATATTATATATAAATTTACATTTTTTGGTTTTTTTATAAATATAAAATTCAGAGAAAGCATATAATCACAATAAAAATTATCCAACTTATTTAATTTTTTCAGTTTAAGCTAAGACCTAGTCTATTTTTTTTGGATCCATTCTATAAGTGTTAATAACTATCTTTGTGCTCTTCTTCTTTGCTTTTCTACGTCTATGAATTGCTTTGGGTAAAAATCCTCTTTGAAAATCCATCGAAAGGTATCGATCTTTTTGTGTAGGGTAATCTAAATCACATTAATTAACCTTTTTAAAAATAAATTGTACTTCTTTTTCATATTGACTATTGAAAGAAGAAAATAATTTTAATATTTCAGCTTCTTATTTAAATTCTTTCATTCTATTCATTTGATTTTCAATTTCAACTGGATCTAATTTACTAAAAAATTTTAAGTTTTTTTTAACTGGTGAATTTAAATCTTACGTAAAGGATTTTGATTATCCATGTAAATTAGTACATAATTAATCTTCAAATTTTAAAAATTAAATCTTTGATGGGTCAACATCTTTTCCTAATAATTTTAATTTGTGTTCTGATATATGTGATATCTCTTCATAGCAATTTGAAGCGTTTTTGTTAAAAGTTAGTTCAATTTTAGAAGCGTTTTAAATTTATTCTTATCTTTATTTATCTAGTAAATATAAAATTGTTATACATAGCATTATCTGATATTTAGCATCCTAATCAGGATTAAACTCTAACTATTTCATTAATTATTCAATAATTGCTCTTTTTTATAATAAGGGCATATCATCTGGAATTTTAAATTATTCCATCAGCTCTCTTTCATATTTCATTTTTTCAACTTGCTTTTAATATTCAATTTATCTTTATTTTTCTTTTTCTTGTTACTCAAGCTTTTTAGGCTAAAATATGATATAATTAAAACTCTTACATCCATAGGAGATATCTAATTAGATGATTTTCTCCTCGCAAAATTTAATGCAACTGCAGCAGCCGGTAATTTTAATTATTTTGCATTTTTCACAATTTTAGATCTATTGGATTTATCACCTTAGGAAGATTCAATAGTCAATTTACTTTCAGGTTAACTATCTTCAGATCTTTGTTATTATTGTTAAATTGAATCTTTGATTTGAGATCTAGATTTATTATTAGCCCTATTATGTTTAATGCTGCTCTAAGTATTATTAACAGGAATAAGCATTTTTTATTATGATTAAGTACCTGGTATAATACTAGATGTAGGAATATATGAATTTGAAGGAATATATCCATTACGTGGAGATAATGGTTATTTTTATTAAAGATAAGTTTAAGTAGGAAATTGTTTTTAATCTTCCAATCTTAAGAGGGAAAAAGAAGCTATAGAATTTTAATAATTTTGGACCTTTTAATTAGGTGAGCCTTCTATTGATTCTTCTAAAATTATATTATTCATATGTTGATTTGGTTCACATTAATTAACTTATATATTAATTTGTTAAGTAAAAGTTTGATTACTTTAAAAGTTTTCTTCATCATGCATGATAGAAGTAATGCTTGTTTATTATTATAATAGTTTTTGAGTAGATTTTTTCATTTAATCTAAATTATCTTAAGTTTAAAATAAAGGATAATCTTATTATTTATATGCTTCAATGTGTGTAGTGGCTGGTCTCAATGAATTTGAATGTTGATGATGATTATTTTACATATTTGAATGTAATGATTATTCTAATAAGGAGATTTATGACTCTTCTTTTGAAATTGAATTTTCATTTTATTATTCCTAAAATATTTATTGATCAATTAATTTTTAATCATTTGATTAAAGTGTTTTGAGTTTTGTTTTTGTTGATTTTGCAGAAATCACAGATCTAGCTGATTAAGGAGGAGACAGAAAATTACTTTATGGATGTATTTCTTCTAAACTTTTCTTTGGACTTATTTAATTTATATTAAAATTGCTTGTAGACGATACAATCTCCTATGTTTTACCAGGAATAAATGAAAATTTAGCCTACTAAGATTTTTATTACATTTTATTTGATTTTTTATCATTATCTAAAAATTTAGCACTTTATACAATTTACTGTTAATTTTCTGTTTTGATATCTTTTATATTAGGATCCATTCCATAATTAATATTTTTTAATCTATCACTTTAAGTCATAGGTTTTCTTTAAGTGCTAAAATCTTCATCATTGCTATAATATTTTTATAACTTTTCTTTGAGATCCATTTTACTGGAATCACTTCCCATAGGCAAATTTTATTATTATTTTTTGGAGTGACTTTATAATTATTATGATTATTATATATTATTACTATCCTACTTTTCAAATTTTACAATTTATTAATCATTCTGGTTCGATTAAAATTCTTAATGAATTTTTTTTGAGTTATCATCAATTTTATTATCATCTTTCTTTTCTTTATCTATATTGTTATTGTTATTAGTATTTTTAATAATAAAGTCTTCTTATTGTTCTATTTCTCCATCTTAACTTACTATATTAATAATGGCCATCTCATTTTTAGGAACTTGAATATTTTCATTGATTGTTGACTATTTTAGAGATGGAAATTCTTTCATAATATTTTCTGCTTGTGTACTATTAGGACTATTTAATTAAAAGGGATTAATGCAACGAGCTGATGAATCATTCTATTATTAACTTCTATTTGTGTGATACTTCGCAAAACCACTATTGTAAATTTTATCTAATTTCAAGTTGCCATTCTTATTTGATTATTGTTATCCAATAAATTAAGGATCTATCTCTGTGGTTTATTATTCTTTGTTATTTAAATTTCTATTGCTAAATGTATTAATGTAGTTCCTTCTCATATCTATTGATGATGAAGCTACAGTCCTTATCTCATATGGCACTTTTTTCTCAAGATATGGTGTTTAATTTTTTATCAGATTTTTTCTTACTGTTCCTAAAATCTAAATGTGCAAAGGTTAGATAACTTTTTTTTCAGTTTACCTTTTGGTTAATAATTCACAAAATTAAGCTTAATCCACAAATGAAATTGATTGTAGATGCCCTGCTAATACTCTTTCAACTATTGTCAAAATAAAAAGCTCTTCTCTTTAAATATTTCTCTTATTGTCAACCTCAAATTCGTAAGCTTTCATTTTTATATTATAAAATATAAATTAAAATTTTAATAGATATTATATATAATTATAGAAAGTGTATTAGACTTTGAAATTTAACTTAAAAACACTATCAATTAATATCTCTAGATTCATCATCTATAGTGAACCATAATTAAAAATAAGTTTTAATTAATAGATTAGTTTCAAGAAGATGAAACTCAGCTCAAATAAATTATTCTTTATCTTTAAATTATACAATTCAATGCTTTTATTTACAAAATTTAGTTTTATTTAAAAGACTGATTCAAATTTCAATTAAGAGTAACTTCTTCATGGTTCTACAAAATTAAAATTTATTTCCTTTCTATAAATTTTATTTAAAACAACATCAAATGTATAAATAATTGTGCATTCAGAATTATTGGTAAATAATAATAATTCGATTTGTTAAATAAAGCAATAATTTACTCTAAAAAAATTCATAAATTTTACTCAATCTATCCACTTTTATAAAAGTTAAAAACTCAATTATTAAAAGATTAAAAACTTGCTTTAATGAATTTCAAATAATCTCTCATTATTTATGATGAATAAATAGTGAATTTTTAATAAGCAAAAAGGGAATAAGAGCTCTATAGATATATATATAAGTAAGTAAACGAAAAATAATTAAATGATTACGAATATTCTAGTTCTAAGAAGTAAAGAAGAAGGTTTCATTTAAGATGAGAAGAAACAAATCATTGATATAATAATATAAAGATTTAGTGCTACTTGGACTTGATTAAATGTTATAAAAATTTTGGGTTATATATAACGACGATATAATTATTATTGAAAATTATTTCAATCATAAATATTTTATTATGTGCTATTTTGACATATTTTTTCATAATATACACAATTATATACCTTTTAGAAAAATGTTGTAAACATAAGGAAGAAACAATTAGAATATTTTAAACAATAGATCCAAAATATTTAGTATAAATAGTAATTATAATAAACAAAAAATACAATCACATTTAAATAGGAATTTCATAATAGAGTTAATATTCTTGATTTTCTGGTGGTTTTAATCTTATTAATAACTCTGGGTTTATTAGATGAAAAATATTGAGGGTTAATTTGAAATTTAACAAATTTAGCTTCTTCGTTAAAAAAAGGAGATTTAGAAATGCTGGTTTCCTTTTTTAAGATACCCTTAAGTGGTTGGATATGAAAATTATTTGATTCATAAGTTTTTTTTTTTTCTTCTAATTTTTAAGTATTTACTATGGTTTGGTACTTATCTTAGCAACCTATCATGTTATGATCAATAAAAAAGTTATCAGACTCAATTAAAGAATAATTAATAGGTGTACCAGGATCATTTACTCTTACTTCTATAAAAACTGCCTTTGCCTAAGGTCTTTGTAACTTATAAGATGGATGTTCGATAATTCTTATATGAGACTTTTATATTTGGCTTCCCATTTGTTTAAATTTATTAATCTTATAATCAGTTTGATTTAGCCTTAATAGTAATTATTGGATGAGATTTTAAAATTTATAGAATTCCAAAAACTAATAAAGTTTAATAAATTTAAATTAAGCTGGTAATATATTTGGCTATTAGATGCAGCATAATGTATGAAAGATACATTAAAATAATTTTTATTGTTAATAATTAAAAATCTTGAAAATAAAAAAATACATTATTAAAATAAATCTATTTTCTTAAATTTAAGTATGAGAATTATGCTAAAATGAACTATTGATATTTAATTTTAATACAGTGCTTATTGATTTGATATTTTTCATTTTTTGAGAATTAATATTTTCAGTATTTATAGCTTGGGAAGGATAAAATTTAAATTTCTTCAAAGAGTTTATAAACATAATTAAATTAGTGAAAATCGACATTACTTTGAGAGAAAACAATAAAAAAATTTCTAATTAGAAGAGTTGAGTAAAACTATGAATTTTATATACAAAAAAAAAAAAAAGAGTTCTTAACAATAGCAACTAAAATAAAATAATTAGAGCGAATGGATTAAAGTTGTTTATGATATCAACAGAATTATTCATTAAAATTGATTTATGTTTCTTTTATTGCATCTTTTTCTTGAATGCCTAGGATAAACCTAAACTTTCTTGAATTTAGAAATAGGAATTCATATTTTATATACATTTCAAACAAGTCCAGAACCAAACTCCAAAATAATAGTAAAATTAGAATAAGAAATTTTTGATTCAACCTAACTTTTGATCTGTGATTCGGAAATAACTTTGTTGAAAGAAAATTGTATATATGATGTAAATTCTTTCGATTTGAAAAGAAATACTTAAATCATTTAACTTGTATATGGCTTGAAATTAGAAAAGTATTAAGAATAGTTGCTAACAATGAAATATTTTGATGATATTCCCTAAGTTATTGGAACATATTCAAAAAAAATTTCAAATTTTTCAATAACAATAAGCAAAGTGGATATATTAGAATGTGCTTCGTATTTAAAAAATATAAGTAATTTAGGTATTGCTAAAATGATGGAATTTGCAAAGCTGGAATTTGTGAGTGCAAAGAAGGATACTTTGGATCTGATTGTTCTATCATTGCTTTAGATATAAAAAAATAATCTCTATTTTTGGAGGGTAGATTTTACTATTTTAATATATAAGAATGTGATTAAAATGCTTGTTCCCTTGACATCAAATTTAATTAGATTTGTAAATATAGATAAACTTGTTATGCCTAAGATTGGTATTTATTATAATAAGTTATCATGGAAAAAAGAGAGATTAAAATTACTGAATTCTAGTCATGTTTGTTAAAAATAAACAATTAAAATTTGAATCGTTAGCAATTTTCTTATTTTATTTTTTATTTTGAGACTGAATGTGAAAATTCGATAGATCCTAATAACTTTAATACTTAGATTATATTAATAATTGTAATTACAACAGTTGGAGGATCTATTTGTCTTTGTTGTTGTGTAGTTTGTTACTATTACTTGTGTAAAAGAAGAAAAGAAGAACATTAAGTACTTCCTACAATTTCTTTATATCCAAAAGCTGATATACAAAAATATTTACCTAAATAACTTTATAAATGTTTGATTATTTAATATCCAGGTTTAGCATCTACAGATGAGTGTTTAATTTGTCTAGATAAATTGAAAGAATCAGATTATGTAAGATTGACTTATTGTACTCATATCTTTCATATCTAATGTATTGATAATTGGTTGGAAAAGAATAGAATTTGTCCAGCATGTAGATCTGAATTAGATGAAATAACTTTAATTAAAGTGACAAAATAAAGGAAGAATGATTCCTTAATGTTTGAAAACAAAGGTAGTCGCTTATTTGGAGATATGGGTACACCTAATTTTACAATGACACCTCCACTTCGATCAGTTGAAATCACTCATAGGTTATGAGAAATTCATAAAATTTTCGCTTAATGAATTTATATTATATCCTTAAGTTCATTAAAATTTAATTTATTCTTCAATAATTCCAATAACACTTTCTCTATATATAAATTACATATATCTTTCTATTTTTATTTATAATAATTTCGTTTCTCCAATCTTATCACAATATAAACACATTATAATAGCTGAATTTTTGTAGCTTAAAAAAATAATGTGATTCTTGTTATCAATATTAATTTTATTGATAATATTTTCTATAAATAAATATGATAGACAATTTATAGATAGTGTCAATATTAATTAATGCATAATATTCATTCTAATTGTACTAATTCTTATTTATTTTTAAAGGTTTTTATTGATTTTGAGTATAAATATGAGAAATCTAATCTTTAACAATCATATCATTAATTTTATTAAAAAATCTTATACCTTTTTACTAATTATAAGAATATATTATTTATTCTAAAAATAAATTTTCAATAAGGATTCAGATGCAAGCATTTTTCAATGATTTAGGGCCTATACGTGAATATGATGAAAGAATCGAAGAATAAGATGACACTATTTATTCTTAAATAGTTGTATATGATAGAGAATCATTAAAAATTGAGTAACAAAATGACAAAGATCTTTTTGAAGGTATTCAGAACACTTTCAACATTGAATTGCAAGAGACTATAGAAACAAGTATATTTATAATGAAATCGTAATTTTTAATTAGCTTATATTAAATATAATGAACTTATTAAAATTGCTACAGAATTAACTGTTCTATTTGGTTTATAAGACATGTTCACACTAAAAACAACTTAATTAACTAAATTATGTTTAATAGGTTAAATGTAAATCCAATAATTGATTGAGAATGTAAGTAAAGATTATTCTTAAATAATTGGCGAGTTTTGCCTTTATTCAAAAGAAATAAATCTTAATTATGTATATCAAATATTAAGTATTTTAAATATGAATTTGTTACCTAAAATAATGAGCACATGTGAAGAATTTTTTATAAAAAATCATACTAGAAAACCAAAACATATTTTGGTTGAATTACATTATAATTTATCAAAATTTTTATGTGTTTTAGAAGCTTTTCCTCATGCTTGTGCCTCTTAAGATATTCAATATGACTAAAAGAAATGTGTTATTGTAAAAGAACTTGCTAAGAAGGAACAAATTGAGCATGCTTATCAATTAATTTTGTCTGCAATTTAATCAGCTTAAGCAATGATGTAAAAGAAATCTGAAACAGAAACCAAAATATTTAGAGGCATAATTCATAATTTAGGACCAATTTATTATATGTTAGCTAAAAAATAAGGTTTATTAAAGGCACACTAATTAATGGCAGAACCAAAAGTAGAATTGGCTTTTGCTGTATGGAATATGGGTGAAAGTGGTTTAGCAAAACATTTAATGCCAATAATATTTCCATCTATAAAATATAAATAATGTATATATATTCCTAGATATTTTAAATTAATCAATCTTGAATATGTTAAATACTATTAGAAGCATTATATGGGTATAATCACTCCACCATAACCATTAATTGATAAGATTCCAAAATTATTATCATTTTATCAATTAATAGAAGCTGGAGAGGATAGAGTTAAGATTCGAATTTTGAATTCTGAAGCTTTAACTATAAGTCCTTCTTCAAGTTTATAAAACTATTATTAGGATCCATTGATTTAGTTAACAAGGACTAGTTTTATAGATAGATTATTTCATAAAACAACTAATAAAACCTATGAAAATATAATAATCCATATACATGGAGGTGGATTTGTTTCGATGTCTTCTAGATCTCATTAAACATATACAAGATTATTGGCAAATTCTCTTGGATTACCAATATTTTCTATAGATTATAGATTATCTCCTTAATATTCATTTCCAGCAGCTCTTGATGATTGTTGGCAAGCCTATCTTTGGATCATTCATTTTTCATTACATTATTTTAGTAATAATTTTTTAATTTATTCAAAGATATAACTCCAAAAAAAATAATATTAATTGGAGATAGTGCTGGGGGTAATCTATGTGCTGCTTTAACAATGTTATGTATTAGAGAAAATGTCTATTTGCCTTCAGGTATTATTTTAGCTTATCCTGCATTAAATCTTGACCCAAAAAACTTCAATATGTATTAATTTGTTTCGCTAGATGATGGATGTATTAGATATTATCATTTATATAGTGCTTCCTCATACATTTTTAAAATTATGTGTGAAATCCTATATATAAGATGAAACACTTGATTATAAGGATTCATTGATATCCCCTAGTGAAGCTATTGATGAAGTACTTTAATAATTTCCATAAGCTTATATTTTAACAGGTACAAATGACCCATTACATGGAGATACTTGGAGATTGTTAAATAGATTAATGTATATTATTTTCATATCTTCATTATTAGTAATCTAGGCAGGAAATGCAAAATGTACAAATATGATTATATGCCTCATGGATTCTTAAATTTTTATAATTTAATTCCCAATGGAGAGTAATGTATAAATGACATTATTCAAATCGTTAAGGACATACTCTCCACTTGAAGATTAATTATAATTTTATTTTACTTAGAATTATAAATTTATTTGTATTTGTATTTACTTATAAAATCTAAATAATTGTTATTGAGAAATTAATTTCTCGGAATTAAAAATAATAATGAAGAAAATTTAAAATCAATTAAAAAATATAGACTTTTTCAGTGTTACATACACCCCTGCTATATCAGATGGACTAAACTATAATCATTCTAGCATAATTGGAGGGATTATCTCCTTAATTATTGGTGCTCTAAGCTTAGTCTATTGTATTTACTATTTGTATCTCTGGTGGGATTATTAGTTATTACCAAAGGTTACTGAGGATATAAATAATTTTTCTGAAGATATTGATTTTGGCTTTATAACTAATAGAATGAAAGTAATTGCATATGATAAAAATGGATTATCTACAATCAATCCATTTAAAAGTGATGAAATCATCTTAATGCCATTAATTATGGATCTTGATGTTGGAAACCTAGAACCCTTGATTAGCAATATTACAGATGAATAACTACTTGATATAAACATTCTTATGGGAAAAGATAAATAATATATAATAATTTTCACTCTTTGTAAAGAAGATTATTTGATTGGAAATTATAAATGTGCCTCTCAAGATGCCTAAACAAGATACTTTAATTAATCTGGCAATATGTTATATACCAATATAGAATTTACTACTATAAATCCATCAACATTTGAACCTTAACAATTTGATCGAACCTACCCTATTTATATTCATACTGGTGCAGAATTATGCTCTTAAATTACTTTACATTACTAATTGAATCATTACTTAATAGATAAAGCCTTTTTATTTTCCTCTAACATACAAGAACAAAATTATATATCAAACTCTCTTAATTATCCATAATTTGGCACGAAAAGCTATTGTGATAAAACCTTTCTACAAGATACATATGGAATCTATTGGATTTTATTTTAATAGTAGTATCGCACTGTTTAAATTGGATATCCATCAATAAGTGAAGTATTTGCAGCGATTGGGTCTATAATTAGTATCTTATTTTCTGTTAAATATATAATAACGATATTAAATTTGTCTTAAATGAGATAATCTGTATTAGATGATATAATGAGACAATATTATCCTGAAATTAGATAATTTCACATCAGTAAAAATTTTTGGGGAAAAATTAAATAAGTTAAATTTGATGGTATTTAAGTAGAATTACCAAGTTATATAGCGTTTTAAAAATAAATTCATTCTCAAATGGCATGTAAACTGAATTATAAAAATTTATTGTATGAGATATCACGGTTTTAATTTATTATTATGTCAATGAAAAGAAGAAAAGAGATCGAAAAAGTACATAATGTAGGAATTAAAGTTCCCATGGAATTATCAGATTCAGGAGAATCTTATGTAATATCAGAGGGTCTATAAAATCAGTAGAAAACACTTAATTTAAGGCATATGAATACAATCAAAACCAAATATGACATTTTAACAATTAATGATGCACTGATATTGAGTTAGGAATTTAAAAAACTTTAATAATAACCAGAAACTTAAAATGGTTAAACAACTCGTAATGTTGATAATTGTAATGAGAATGAAGAGATAGAAAGAGAATAAGATTTCTATGATGTAAATTTTGTGAGATAGCAAAACTCACCCAAAAGTAGAAAAAAAATTGATTTTTGAATATTATACCTTATTAATTAATTCAACTTTCATCTTTGTATTAAAAATTATCAAAAAATAATTTTCAATTTGTCCTAACATACTTACTCAAATTAATTTAATCAAAATTATTAAAAATACTATCTTAAATCAAGATCATTTAAAATTTTTAGTATATGAAGATAAAACGAAAATAAATTTTTATGACTTTATGTCTAAAAAATTAAATTATTTACTCTACGAAAAATTCATGCTCTATGATAAAGAGAATTAGTATATATAAGTAAAATAGCTTATCTTATAATTATGCAAATTTAGTTATTTACTCTCCTTCTTTTTTGAGCATAGCTTCAAGTAGATATTAAGAATAGAAATTAGTAATAAGTTTAGTAACGAAGAAAATGAACAAAATTGAATAAATATTTTGAAATTAAAAAATATTAAATGGCAACACACTATATATTAAAATTTATATTTATTTTGATAAATTAGGATCTTTAAAATTAAGTTTATTTATTATATTGTGTTGAATATACTAAAACATTAATGATTTCTTTAATTCAATAACAGTCCTCAAAGTTTTGGTTAAAAGCTTCGATCCATTTAATTGAAAAATATATAAATATCTTTTGTGAGGATTGTTCTTATGAAATTTTCAGAAAAGATTGATATTTCATTAAAAATTCTATAAATATTAAATGCAAACTCGTAATTAATGTAGATAATTTTAAATAATATCAATTAAAGATATGACATATAATCATAAAATTTTCAGTCTTTTGTTCTCTCTAAAGAAACTTAACAAGTTATCAATAGAGTAGATAAAAAATAAATAAAATTTTGAATTAGAACTAAATAGAGAATAAGATTTTTATAATATAAATTCCTTAAATTTACATGATATAAAATATAAGCCTCATTTTAATTGAAATATAATAAACAAATGGATACATTATATGACTTAATAATAGTAGGTTTAGGTTCTCATGGTAGCAATTGTTTTTCACATTTTTCAGGTAAAATGAGGGTATTGGGGATAGAGTAATATGTTTCGCCTCATACAAAAGGGTCTCATAATGGTGAGACAAGAATTGTAAGAGAAATGGGGTATAGTGGAGAATATGTAGAAATAGCTAGAAGATCTGTTGAATTATGGAAATAATTATAAGATTCTACAAGTGAATAAGTGTATGTGAATTCAGGAGGAATATTATTTGGAAATTAAACAGATAGTTAATTTAGAGACTATACATAATACAATAATCCAAATCTCTAATAATTAAAACATTAAGAAGTTGAATCTAGATTTCCAATAAAGACATCTTAAGATTAATAATTTTATTTTGATAAATCAGCAGGATTTGTGAAACCAGAATTAGCAATATAAATATTTATAAATTAAGGTAAAGCGAAAGGAGGAGAGGTAATAAATAATTGTCGTTATGTAAATCATATATATAAAGATGATGAGATTCATGTTTATACAGATTTAGGAGTATTTAGATCCAAAAAATTGATTTTATCACTTGGAATGGGTTTAAAGAGATTATAAAATACTTATTCATCATTGGATATTGCTTTATATAAACAATAGGTGATATTCTTAAAGACTGATAATAAGAAATTTGATTAATTACCAGTTTTTATGAGTGAGAATAATTCATAAGAAATATATGGATTTCCAAGAGTGAATGGAGAAGTAAAGATTGGAATACATCATTTTGGTCCATCTTTAGAACATCCTGATTTATATGATCAAACAAAGAATGAGGAAGGAACAGTCAATATGATAAGAGAATTTTTAATTAAGTATATGCCAGAATTAAAAGATGCTATAGTATCTCGAATCTAAACTTGTGTATATACAAGTACAAAGGATCATAATTTTACAATAGATTTTGATCCAAGATCCAAAAATACAATAATATTGAGTGCATGTTCAGGACGTAATTGATATATATTTTATATATATTAGATGGATTTAAATTTTGTATAGTAATGGGAGAGATTATTGAAGAGATGTTTAATACAGGACTCTAAAAATACAAAACATTTTAATTGAGTAGATTTTAGAAGCCTAAATTTTGAATATTGATAAGAAATGAATTAAAATAAAATTTAAATAAATAAATTAAAATTAAATATCTTGATGTAATTAAGAGTAGATTTCAGAATAAAAGATATAAGTTTTAGTCAAGAAATTTTATAAGGAAAATATGTATCTTCAAAAAAAATGTAAGTGTAATTTGTAGAATTATTTAATGATAAAGAAATTATTGTTAGTATAAAAGTAGATAAGGAATTTGAAATGACTTTAACAATACAAATTAATTATAGATAGGCTAAATAAGGAGCTGTATTATAGATTTTTAATCGATTACCTACCTTCTTAATAGACAATTCATTTAAAGGAATAGAAATTAAAAAAAATATCTTGAATGAAATTGCTTTAATTATCATATCTTAATTTATTTCAATAAATCTATTGATATTTTTCAAAAAGTCTGAGAAAAGCGTTGGTTGCTATTTCAAGGGATTAAATGAGAATAAATCATCTTTGAAGAATTTCTTCTTATATAACCCTTTTATGTGAATATTATGTCAGTCTATAGGATCAATTACAACTAATTTTGAAATATAGCAAGGTTAATCCTTAAGGTATTGTATAATATTAACAAAAATTCCTTTTGTTCATGTTTGTGTTACTGTTAGAATTCAAAATTTATCTATCAACTCTTAACAAGTAGAATGATTAATAGAGAGATTTAAATGATTCTAAATGGAATCTATTAACTTAATTAAGTCAAATATTAAAAGTTAATGAAGTAATTAGTATTAAGATAATATCAAGGAGGACAAATAGGAGTTTTCAATTAGTAATTATTTGTGAGTATTGATTGAGTTCATGAAATAATACGTAATATCTTCATTATTTATTTTAAATATATCATCATATAATTTAGTATTAATAAATGTAAGAAATTGGATAATTGAATTCCAATTAAAAAAACTTATTCAGTCATTTAACATAAGCTCCATCTGATGCAATCTTTGCAATTATGAATGCATATAAAGCAGATACATCTGAAAATAAGATTGATCTTGGTGTTGGTGCATATCGAACAGATGAAGAAAAACCTTATGTATTTGACGTGGTGAAAAAAATAGAATAAGAGATTGTAAACGATCCTTCACTTAATAAAGTATGAGTGTTGTATTAATTATATAAAGGAATATTTAGAAATAGAAGGATTGCCTGAATTTAACAAAGGTTGTTAAATACTTTTATTTGGTAAAGACAATCCTTTAATAACAAGTGGTAGAATTGTAACAGCATAATGTTTAGGAGGAACAGGAGCACTTAGAGTGGGATTTGATTTTGTTAAAAGACATTTATAAGGAGATGTTTATGTTTCAAATCCAACATGGGGTAATCATAATTAGATTTTGGATAGAGTTGGATTAAATTAGATTAATTACCCATATTATGATCCTATTACTAAAGGATTTAATTGTAAAGCAACTCTTGATTGTTTATCATAAGCTAAGGAAGGTTCAATTATTTTATTACATGTATGTGCTCATAATCCAACAGGAGTCGATCCAACAGAAGATGAATGGCTATAAATTGCAGATGTTTGTAAAACTAGAAATTTAATACCATTTTTTGATTGTGCTTATTAAGGATTTGCTAGTGGTTGTTTAGATAAAGATGTTTTTGCTGTACGCAAATTTGCTGAACTTGGATTTTAAATGATCATTGCTTATTCATTCTCTAAGAATATGGGTTTATATAATGAAAGAGTTGGAGCTATACATATTCTCACATCTTCTTAAGATATTGCTACTAAAGTTTTAAGCAATTTAAAAATGGTTATTAGAACTTTGTATTCTTGTCCACCTGCTATTGGAGGTAGAATTGTAAGCAGAATTCTTTGCAATGACAATTATTATTAACAATGGGTTTAAGAATTGAATGTTATTACAGGACGTATTATTAAAATGAGATCTCTTCTCAAAAATGAATTAGACAATCTTAATGTTTAAGGAAATTGGGATCATATTATTAAATAAACTGGATTCTTTACTTTTACAGGCTTAACACCTCAATAATGTGATTAATTGACTTAAGACCATCATGTTTATTTACTACGATCAGGAAGAATGTCTATGGTATTTATTCATCTAAATAATCTAGGCAGGAATAACTTCTAAAAATGTTAAGTAATTAGTTGAAGCAATTAAAATTGTTGTCTAGAATAAGTGAGATATATTATTAAATTATCCTATAATCTATTATCATTGAAGGCTTAGCTCAGGGGTAGAGCGTTGGATTCCAGGTCCAGGGGTCGCGCGTTCAATTCGCGTAGTCTTCATATTTTTATTTTTTTAATATATAAAAATTACAATTGATATTAAATTTTTTATTTCAATGATTAATAATTTTTCTTATGTATTGTCTTATTGATGCCGTTTTATGAATAACTTGTAATGGTATTATTGTTAACATTAATCGATTCTTGAGCATATCACTCAAAATGCGAAACACAAGGGGTATCCATATAAAAAAGTATATAAAAAAGAGAAAAATATTAAAACTGATAAAGAGTGCAACTTTCAAATTATTATTGTTTTAAGCACTTTTTTTAACTGAGTCAGTTAAGGCTTAATTTAAATACTGATAAGCAGCCTTAATATATCTTTCCTACATTAATCTCATATTATAAGCCTAATTAGTATTAACTAAATTCATCATATAATTAAGTCTTTTGTTCTCTGATATGTTGTAAATTAGATTATATTCATTAGATTCATTATACTGATTATAAGAATTTAAGACTTGTCTATAACTTTCAAAATATTTAGCCATTCCTATAGATAAACCTTACTATAAAACTCCATCACTAAAGTTTAAACAAATGTCATAATTGATTTCTTTGTCAATTTGCACAATGTAATCACAAGGAGTTAATATGAAAAGATTATTAAAAACCTATATAAATTAAGTCTAAGTTTACTTCTAAGTAGTCTTAATTTAGAATTTCTGAATTAGAAGAATGGATTTGATGAATAGCTGCATCTAAATTATACAATTCAGCAATCAAAAAGTTTAAGACTTCAACTGATTAATTGCCAACAAATGTATAATTTTCAACTTCTAAAGCTTTTCTCAATGCATTATCAGAATATCTGTAATAACATTCTGCAAAAGAGGTCTAATTGAAAACAGGTATTAATTCTATAATATTTGAAATTTGAGACTAAATAAATAAAAAAAATACTTACTTAAATTGCAACAAATAAATAGATAAAATAGACAGCCATAATAATTATGACTAAAAGTAAAGCAAGTATTTAATGTTTATAATGTTAATTTGAATTTTTAAATTTCCTTCTTTTTTTTCTTCCATTAAGTAGATGATCTCCTTCTTCTTTTTCCTTGTTATCATTTTCTTCCTCCTTTTCATCATTATCAGAGAAAAACTATAATAAATATATTAATATTACATCATCATCATCATCATCTCCTACTTGAAGACTTGTTATAAAATTTTCACATTTAATATAAATAGATTTAATCTTTTTTTCATTAAGATCTAAAAATAATTATAAAGCTGCTTAATTAACAACTTAGATTTTAATAATGAATAGAACAATTAAACAAATCCTATTATAATAAAATATAATACTAAAAAAACAGAATGATCGATGCTGCAGTCAAAAAAGCAGTTACTGAACCTCCTAAAATTTCTGCTCTTGATTCTATATTATATTTGAAATATTCAGCTGGAATAGTTAAACCCATTGTTAAAGCATTAAAAACATTGTATTCAATATAAAAAACATCATTATTTTGATCATTAATTTCATTAAGAGAACTACTATTAATTTATAGTGCTTTTGCAATTGCTGATTAAATTGCTTCATTAAATGTATAATTTTAAGTTCCACCTTCTAAAGTGACCATTTCAATATTTTAAGATAGATATTAATCTTCTGCAAATTAATAATCGGAACTAATTATACCAGAAACTAAAGTTAAATCTTTTTATAATGATATTAACTATTATAATTCTTTATCCAACCATCTTCTGAATTATTATTCAATATCTGAATATCCTATCTATTGATCTTTCAACAAAGGATATTAATCATAATGTACTGCCTTTAAATCTTATAAAACTGATTAGACTCCCATTAAAGTACTAGATCTTTAATTATTTTGTGAGATCAAGGGTAAGCTATCTAATAGATTTTGATTGAAATCAGAATTGATAAAATATTCAAGAAAAGTTATCAATACTAATACTAATGTCATTATATTTATGAATATTCGAAAATTCGTTGCTGTTCTAGGTATTTTTGATTAAGATAACAAATTTTCTAATTAATTTTTTGATCTATAAAGATTTATTGTATCTTTTTCATTCTTAGAATCTTATTCATTGTTATCATTCTATTGAAAAAGACTTTGCATGTTTTCATCTTCATAATCATCTGATTTTGATTCTTCTATTTCTACTATACGATCACCAATTAATCTAACAATCTTTATTCCTTCACCATAATTTGTTTGACTTTCGCTACCTTAAACTTATGGATCATTGATTATTTATTGTGATATTTTAGTTTAATCTTCCCAAATTATACTTTAATCTACTTTTACTGTAACATCTTAAGATTCTAATCCATTTCCAAAATCCAATACATAAGTTAAGCTTTAACAATTAAATTTAAATTAATATTGATTTTATATTGTCTTATTATGCGTATACAATTAAGCTTTTTCTAAAAATTTGATTTTCTCTAATTTTATAATATATCCTTATAATTTATTTTAGATTATTTCATCTTCTATGCATTAAAACTTTATTTCTTGAAGAAAGCATTAAAATTATATTTGTTATTTATTTGAGTTTTCAAATATTTATGAATGTTCTATTTCTAATTCCTATAATGAATTGTGAGATGCATTATTTTTAGAAGATCTCGTTCCAATTATATAACTTATAATACCACCTGTTTTTTATAAAAATTCATCTTTACGATCAAATATATCTGGAAAGATATCTGCTATATTTACTGGTTTAATTGTGATTGATTTTAATTCCAATCCAAACATTCTTATACAAGTAGAATTAATATTTTCAATAATCCCATTTGTTTAACATATAAATATACTTAAAGGTTTATGATAAATATCCTATTTGATTGTTCCACACATAAAAACTCCAGAATTTATGGTTTATATCATCCTTATATTTAATTAACAAGGCATTATATAACCTTATTTATTTTTTACATAAATTGATTTCTCTTTAACTTAATAACTAGGATTATTATCTTGAAACTTTTCTAGAAAATTTTCAAGAAAATGATCATGGTACTTAGAGAAACTATTGATTAGAAATTTATAATTACAGATCTGGTTATATTAAATTTAATTTTCTATTTACTAAATCAGTTTTAGCATATCCAAGTAAACTACATGCTGCTTTATTAAGATTACTTATTGTTCCTAATTTATCTACATCAGTCAATATTGTTATTGTAGGTAATTACTCATTCTGTATCTCTTCTAAATCAATTGCTTTGAATTTATCATTTTAACTTATTCTACTTTATTAAATCAATTTTTATCCCATTTCTTCATCATTCAATATTTAAGAATAATATTTTCCCATTAAACGATTTAACTTTGATGCTTTCTAATTTAATCTCTTTAATCTATTCCATTATTCTTAAACTAAATTAACAGAATCCAAAATCTTAAATCCTAAATTATTAATTCTACCAATATCTGGTATCTCTTCCTGTAATTATGCCCAAAAATCTATATATACAAGTGACGTTTTTTCTATTTATTGTATCAATTATTTGCTCTAAGTTTAAAATGCTATTTCAGTTACTAAGTCAACTTAATTTAAATTTTCTTATTATTATTCTTATAAGTCATCTTCCATAATTCTTTTATATCTATATATTATGAATTCATGATCAAAACTAGGTCCACTCTATTCTGCCTATTATAATTCACTTAAAGCTTATTATTTTAATTTTAATCTATCAATTAGAAAATATGAATAATTCAATCTTAAAAAAACATCTTATGGAAACTGTTTAATACCATCATAATATATTTAACTGATTAATTCTATGAATACTGTATATCTTTCCATATCTTGAAGTGCTGTATGTTTATTTCTATCATTCAGACTTTTTTTTGATTTTAATACACAATCATTTCTATAACATGTTTATTTATGTATTTCTATAAATCCATCTAACATTAATGATGAATGTTAATCATTTTTATCCAATAATTATAATAGATATTCGCATAAAATAATTATTTATTATCCTGATATTGCTCTATTAATATTTGAACTTAATAAATCAACTTCAAATATTTATTCATTTATAATAATCAATGTAATTAATGGTATTCCACCTATCCATCCCCAAAATACATCTCTAAAATATTAACCTTCCAAAAGATAAGCAAATATCATCATAATTGTTGTCCATAAATTTATAGCTGTAATAATTGACCATATTTTCTAAACAACCTTATTATAAAATGGTTTCTCTGTATGAATTTGATAAAATAAAAAAAAACTAGATAAACAAAAAATTGTTAACAACAATGAACTAAACCTTGGTGTCTCAAGTAATTAGTAAGACATTATTATAATGAAAACATTAATATGATAATATGAATATGGTCTTCCTGATCTTTATGCATAAGCATTCCCATATACACATTTACTCTCAAAATAAATTAAACATGTTGAACTAGTTAATATTTGAAATAATAGTATTCCAATTATTGCAAAAATACCATGTATATAATGTTCATTACTCCAACATTCAATATTTTTATTGTAAAACCAAATTTCAACTCCATTATTATTTACCTTACAAGATAGAAGCTAAAAAAGTAGAAATCAATTTTGTACTCCAAAAAATAAAAGCATTATTGGAAGAAAGCCTATTGTTAAAAAAAGTTTCAACAAAGATTTTAATAATAATAATGGAAGGAAAGCTACCTTAAAAGCAAATGCAAAAATTATAAATAACACTATTGAGAAAACTACCAATCCAAAGAATGTGTAAAATACTGCTAAGTAAATCTCAAACTCTTGATTTATTAAATGCGCTGATATTACGAAATAACTAAATATTATTTATTTATATTCTTACGAAAGAAATTTATTTAAATCAGCTGCAGCTTTTTCATTATTCCAAACATAAAATATTTTCGGTCCAAAAGCCAAATATACTAATTAAAGTAATTAGACAATTGAAAAAAAGACAGCAATATATAATGATTCTTCTTACCATTTCATCATCAGATAAATTACTCTAAAATATAAGTTTATCTATTTACTTGTAAATACTTTACTTTATTTCATTGATCAATCTGATTATTTATGAAATGTTTACATCAGAAGAAGATCGATTAAACATTCTTTTTTTTATTATAATAATTATCTAAATATAAATTGTTAAGGTTTTTGCAATTCAAAAATTTATTGCTTTATCATAATATTAAAATAGTAAATTCAATTTTACATGAGTCATCAACAAAACTTTTCATAAACTCTTTGGGATTAATTCAAACTCTCACTATTTAAGTATACATATAAATTAACTCTAGTATTGCTTATAAAATTGTTGGTCAAAACAACCAATCTTTATAAATTACTATTTTGTTATCTCTCATCTAGTTTATTCAGCTTATCTATTTACCTTTTTAAATATAGATTTAATTTGCATGGCACAATATTGTTCTATCAGGAGAAATCTAAAAATTTTTATAGTATTTTACCATTTTAAGAATCCTTAACTAATAAAAAACTTCTACTTATTTAATAGCAATGTATTTTGCTATAAGCGTTATACTCTTGATTGCAATTTTAGTATTTTTAGCAGCAATCTTAGAATAATTATTAAATAACAAACTTCTGATTATGACATTAAGTATTGCTTTAAAATTCTTAATGACTGTGGGATTCGTCGAAATTTTACGATTACATTTTGGAGTATACTTTATATATATTAATTTAGTTTTTAGTTTGTAAGAGAGATCAAAATGGATAATTAAAAATGTTGTATACAACAGATTAAATATGTTGGACTGGTAGTTATATTATACATGCATGTATTGTAATTTTTTCAATAATGATTATGTTTTTAATTGTGGTTATTGGATCTAAATTATTTATTGAGATTAAAAATAATAAAAAGAACTCATTTTCTATGAAAGAAGGATCTACGTATACTTTTATGTTTTTATATGCATCATTATCAATGTTAACATATTCAATTGTAGAATAGCCAAAATATTCTATAATAGTAATTTTAATTCAATTTAGTACAAGTTTTCTCCTTTTTTATAAAGTACATTTCAAAAAACCTTTTTATAATAAGATTATTTAAAAACTATGGTCTGTAATTAGTGGTTTAATTTTTTACACAAATTTTATGCTTTTAGCTTCTTATACTTTTGAACATATAATTTTCATAGATACATTGAAAGGATGGATTGTAACTATGCCAATGCTTTTGATTATTTTATTGTAAGATGAAAAATAAACTATAAATTTAATAAAAGCCAATATGATTGAACAACTTTCTAGTTAAGAAATAATATAACTATCTGAATTTTTAATTGAATTATGTGAATGTTATGAGAAGGATAAAAATAAAGAGATTCTTTTATTAGGTTTCTTGGAGGTTCATAAATTTACTTGTTTAAATCCTAAATGTGCAATTAAAGTATCTGCTGAAATGTCAAAGAAATTTAAAGACAATCATATATATACAGATAAAAAAATGATATTAAAAGAAATTATTCAGTAAATTTATTAACTTGGCATTCAAACTTATCCACTTAATGTTGATTTAAAATTAAATTATTCATATTTTCTATTAGAATTTAAATAATAAGGATAAAAGGCTTTAAAAGAAGTAGATATAGCTGAAATGGGTTGTCCATCTTTTGAATAATAGTTTTTAATCTTTAAAATGAGAAAAATAATAGATGATACCTATTAAAAATCTACAATTGCTGTAAATTAAATTAAATACATCTAAGGGAAAGATAGAAACATTAAATATTAATTTAAATAAATTAAATAATTGTCTGAAGAATGTGCTTATTAAAAAATTTCATTTTGGAGTACACTATTAGATGAGAATCCAAATTTATAATTATTATAAAAATATGGAAATTTAATTCTTGAAACTATTCAGACATTAAAAAAAAAATTATTCAAACTTTAAAGAAATATTCCATTAGATCCATAAATTTAAAGATTAATAGAAAAATTTTCAAAATATGTTCATAATTTAGATCATAATAAAAATATTCAAAATGCAAATAAAAAGAAGTTGCCATCTTAATAATCAGAACATTAATATTTAAAAAATTAAGAGGAATTAACATCGTACTCATATCCTGTTTTAGTTTTGGAATTATTTGGTAATTGCAACTAACCTACAATAATTAGAAACATAAATTAGTCTTTCCACTCTTTATTAGGATATTCTAAAACTGATATTATTGGAAAACCATTGTCATTAATCTTATAAAATACGTAATTAAATTAACCTATTAGTAATATAGATATTTAAAATTGCATAATGTTTTTGTCTAAAGTTATTTTTCTTAATTAAGATAAGATTAAATATAAGAAAATTAGGAAAGAATCCAATTTTTAATTTAAAAAAATAAATATGTTCTTTAAACTTTTAGTATTAATTCAATATATACAACTGATAAAGGTATTTTTTAGTTTTGCAGATTAAGATAAGATTTATGTTATAATAATTGTGCTTATTTAATTTTTACATTAGAAGGTAAAATAGAAAGTATATCACCAAGTTGCATTAGTATTCTGAACTTAGATATTCGTTTGTTATAAATTCGATAATTAACAATTTAAAAATTGTTTCCATATCTAATGGATAATATAGATGATTATATAAATAAGATGAATTAGATTGTTTTTGAAAATAATATTAATTCACTCAGTAAAAGTTCAGATTTTGAAGATTAATAAAATGATTAATGTGTTTCATAACTTTATTATGCATAACTATATGAGATATAAGCTAAAAATTATTAATTTCCTTCAATAGAATAACGTCCATAGATTTTTGGATATTATTTGAAAGTATAAATAAATGAAACTTTTGTACCGAAAGAGAATTATCTTATAAAAAGAAATAAACTTACTCACTAATTCAAATTTTCAATTGATTAAAATTCATATATATGTAAATATTATTATTATTATAATAGTTGAATAAGTTAGTTAAACAGCATCATAATATGAATCAATTAAAAATGATAGTGAACAACAAATTTAAGAAGAACCAAAAGAATTTGTGATTCTTTAATAATAAAGTTTTCCTAGTAGAAAATAGTTTTCAATGACTATTTTAAAGTAAGGCTTAGGTTGCGACATTAAAACAATGAGATTATTTAAAGGAGAAATCAAAGAGATTATTGATTTAGATTAAGAGGATGAAGAAGAAGAATAAATAAGAGAAAAAACTTAAAAATTATAACTTGAAGAATAAAAAGAGTAATATCAATAAATAAAAATATAAAATTAGGAAGATCTAATGTATCATCTCTTAAATGTTCCTTACTCTCCACTTCTTAAGAAACTTATTTGTATTCTTAATACTTTAATGATCTTAATGTTTGCTATTGCTGTAGGGATGTATTTGGTTATTATATAAACTTATAATTAATTTTAATCAGCCATTGACTTATTTGCAGCCTCAAATTAGAGATTTGCATCAATTTTAAAGATTTAATCCAATTTATAAGATTTAAGAGGGTGTTATTTAAATTTAGAATAATATTCTATGAAATCAACTGGTGGTAAGTTTGTACAATTAAATTATGTTGAATTAAGCCATGAATTAGAAGTTTTATTAGAAACTGATAAAATATTAACATCAGCTAATGTTTAAATTAACTAGGATTATTAATCAATTATAAATGAATTTTAATCATCCAATGTTTAAATGTTCACTAAAGATAATTCATATCAAAATTTTACTTTTACTTAAGCTATAGAATAAATGATATCTAAAGCTATTACTTTAAATAATTCAAACATAACAAGCTTTATTGATGAAAATGAAGACTTTCATTATTATCTTCATAATACTCTTAACTCTATCCCTAAGTTTTAATTAATCTCTCAAACTTATTATTACTCTAATATTTAAAGTTTAATAGATGATTTATATATTCAGGAAAATTCATTTTTTATTTTACAATTTTGTTGCTTAATATTTATATTAATATTTTTTTAAATTTACATATATTTTCATCAAAAGTAAATAAAAGAGATTATTGTATTGTTTTTAGAGATTAGAGAAAATTAAGTAAAAAAGATGATCAATTAATTTTAAATGTATTTATAATTGTTACAATTAAGTGAATATGATGAAGTAATATTTATTACTATATAAGATTGAATCAATAGAAGATGAAGCTGATGTGTAAGAGGAATAAGATTATTATTTAGGATAATCAAATAAATTTAAAAAAAGAGAATCAGTATTTTAAATGTATAATTATTAAAAAGTACAAGGGAATTTCCTATTCTTTTTTACTCTTTTTATTACGTATTTTACCTACTTGTACTTTTCATCCACAGTATTATATTGAATATTAATATTTAGATTATTGCTGAATAAACAAATTCATTGGTTCCTTTAGTAAATTTAACATCTTTTATGCCAACTCAATATAGGTTAATTGACAATAGTATTAAAGAGATGCTTTATGATGAAAATGCCATCTTATTTAATTAAATAAATTCATTATAGAAATTAAAATAAGAATTAGAATCTATCTAACTTTTAGATGCTGAACTTCATGAGTTGAATTAAAAAAATGAATTCATTTTGTCAGATTAATACAAATAGATTTTTGATGATATTTACATATAAAATCCATGTGATATTATTATGGCTAATGATCCATCTGTGAATTCTACAGCATGCTTAAATTTTAATAAAGATATTTTATAAGAAGGTCTTGCAGTTGCAATCACAAATTTTATTGAAAATGCAGAATATATGTTACAACAATATTCATTCTATAATAAAAATGCTATATATAATAATTTAACCTTCAATATCAGTTAAAATCATAGAAAAAATTACACATGCAATATTTATAATACAAGAAATGGAAATGCAAATAGAAAAATGCAAAAGGTATTTATTAGGATTTGTCATATGTAATTATTAAAGGAATTATAAAGTTATTTAAATGAACATTATACAGATTTATAACTGTAATTAACTTCATTATTTATGATATTTTGTGCGATTTCAATTTTAATATATTTTTTTGTCTGGATTCCATTACAATCAAGATTTTATAGTGAATTCAAGACAGCTAGAGAAATACAATCACTTATTCCGATAGATCTTTTTAATAATTGTCAATCATTATAAACATATCTTAGATATATTAAAGAAACTTTTTTTTATTGAGTAAGTGAAAGTTAATAATGAATGAAATTAATATAACTTTATTATAATTTTAACTCAACTCAAATATAAAATCAAGCCACCAACTTATTCTATTACAACATCAATTTCATCACCTGTTTCCATTCCAATCTATAAATAAGCAAAATAAATTTACATCAGCTGGAGTTTATGTTTCTAATATTCTTTCACCATCAAATAAAAATCTAACATTTTAAATTTACAACTTAATATATTATATTTTATTTACATTTTGCCTTGAACAATATGCATCCATTAATTTCTTAAATTGGGTTTGTTTTTTTATTTTAAAAAATACTTCTTCTCCATCTTATGATTTAACCTTAAGATTCAAATAATCAGCTGATTATTGTTCTGCCATTTTTAACAAATTTATCTATAAAAGTCTTTATTGAAAATTTAATTAGAATACTAAATAATATAATGATTTTTATTTGATTATTAGGTTATACTATAATTTATTTATGAATTATTAATATTTATTTATGTAAAGAAGAAAAAAACAAATTTGTGAAAGAAGAGTAAACAACTAAAAAGAGTTTAATTAATACATGTTCTGATATAGTATTATAATAAAATTTTATAAATTAATTAAAATTAATATGTTATTAGAAGCTCCATTAATTTTTGAATTCAATTGTTTCAAAAAGGGGTAAAAGGGTATAAAAAATTATAAAGGAATCATAAATAACAACAAATTAGAACTCTACAAAGTATTACGTTAATTTTATAAATTTTAGGAGAACGCCAAGGTTCCAAAATATGTTTTACCTATTTAATTGTAAACTCACATCAAATGGGAGGTTGAAGAAGAAAATGTTAATGGAAAAAAACACTATAAAATAGTGTCATTTAAGTTTTAATAAGTATGTTGTAACAATTAAATTTTAAGATTAAACAGATAAAAGACTCTTAAATTGCAAAAGTAACATGTTTTTGTGGTGATGATATTACTTTAACAAGATTAAAAGAGCATTTAAGAAATAAAATAATCTTCTAAAGAATTTAAGATTTTTACACACCCCTCTAAACATTAGGAAAAGGAGCATCTTCAAGAGTATTGTTAGTAAGACACAAAAATTCAGAACTTTATTATGCTGCAAAATGTGTTGATAAGTCATATGTGAATGAAACAGAAAATGGAATTGTAAATCGTATTTTATTAATTTAAGGAATCAATGTTTTAAGAGATATCTATCAATAATGATTTAGATCATCCTTCATTTATTAAATTACATGCAGTTTATGAAGGTGACAATACTTTTTATATGGTTATGGATTTATTAGAAGGAAAGAGTTTGCATGATGAATTAAATAGCCACAAAAATGGTTTTCCTGAAGAAATAGTGCGTAATGTGATGTGGGTAACATTTGTTTAAAAATTAATTTTTAGTAAATTCTAACAGGAATAGAATATATGCATAATAAAAACATAATGCATCGTGATCTCAAACCAGAAAACATTATGTTACAAAAAAAATCTGATCTTAATTCTTTAAAAATAGTTGATTTTGGTTTGGCAACCTATTGTAATCTTGAAAAGTAAACTATAAATCATTTAGTTCTAGATATTTATTTCCAAAATGTGGTACTCCAGGATATGTTGCACCAGAAATTGCAAATTTAGTAGATAAAACAGTAAAATATGATAAAGTATGTGATGTATTTAGTGCTGGTGTTATTTTCTTTAAATTGTAATTTATTTATCAATTTATTTATAGGTTAACTGGTAAAGATTTATTTCCAGGAGTTGGATTTAATTTAGTATTAAAGTTAAATAAATAATGTAAAATTGATTTAACTCCATTATAAATGAAAAAAATTGATCCTAGTATCATTAATTTAATTCAAAGAATGCTTGAAAAAGATCCTTTAAAAAGAATATCAGCTAGTGCATGTTTATTAGAACCATTTTTTGAAAAAAGTCATCATTAAAATTAAGAACTTAAACTTTAATAAACCTCCTCTTAAAAAAAATAATTTTTTTCTTCTGGAGGAAAGAATTTTCAAACTTAAGAATTTTAAAGTGATTCACCTTAATTATAAAATACAAAATAAGTAGAAAAAGGATCTTTCGTTACATAAGATTGTGCATTTAAAGGATTTAAAGAACCTTAACATGGCAAAGTTATGTAAAAATTCAACACTACTGAATTTGATCATGTCGATATCAATGGAAGCCCTAATGAAAAAAAAAATAGTAAATTTGCCAATACAGATTAAATAGAGGAGGAAGATGAAAAATGATATAATATAAATATTAAAAAATTAAATATTTTTTAATTTTCAAAACCCTCATCCAATAACAAACTTATTTATAATTTTTTTATTTATAACAATTTCAATACTTATCTATTTTCTTTTACTTTCTGAATATATTTATTTAAAAATTATTTCATTACATTATATCTTAAAATTCATTTATATTTTATAATTTTTATTAATTTAGCGTTATTACTTTAATTAAAAAATAAATCTATAACGAAATCTAATTATTGTTTAGATACAAACGATCATTTTTCTTCAATGATTGCTGTATATTAAGAGTGTATAAATATTTTATAATCAAATGAATAAAAAATTAGATGATGTAATGTAAGGATTATTGATTTTTTCATAATATGTTTTTTCAAATTCGTATTAGGTAATCAATGTGGCGATCTTGAATATTAATAGTTAGCAAAGAATGATTGAAAGAACAGTTTTATTAATTTGGAAAAAATTTGCTTATGCTTTAAGGTTAAACTAAATTTGAGAAAAACAAAAGTCTTTAGTTTCTACATAATTTAGTTAAAGAAAATTGAACTAAAATAAAAAGTCAGTTTTCATGGTAAATTTGACTATATTATTATGGATTGTTTTTTCAAACGACGATTAAGTATGGAGTTTTTGTATGGATTGTATGTGGTATATTTTTCTGTTGTCTCTTTTAAAATAATTTGAACATCTTAAAATTATCTAACTTGAGCCAGAGCTAGGTTCAACTATCCATTGTTTTTTTATATGTTTCCTTACAGACTCATTAAAATAAGTTATTTTCTAATAATCATTTTAAATCGATTTTAAGAATGTGATTTATAAATTTCTTTCGATTAAAACAATGATGAAACATTTCAAACATTAACTTTATTTATAATAATGACAAGTTAAGCAAATAAACAGACAAAAATTTTTTTGCTGATGTTAAAGATTATATGAAAAACATAATTGATAATAAGAAAAGATCATTCAGTTTAAGTAATTGGTTATGGGGAGGCTGGAATTTCTTTTAGTCTTCTACTTAATATGGGGTTTTTAAAGGGATTTAAATGTGATGATTAACTTGCTCTTTGTTTCAAAATCGACTCACAATCTTGGGAAAGCCGAACTTATGCAACAACCTTTTAGAGATCACCACCATGAGCTGGTTTTTATTATTTTGAAGCAGCACACATTCCCATTTAAATATATTAAATTAATGAAGATATTAATCAAATCAATTATTTTTATAGTGACTCCAAATAAATATTGTTCAGTTTCTACAATTAAGTAATGAAAATAAGTTTTAAAAACTTTTTACTTATAAGTAAATAATATATATCATTGACAAATAACTTCTGAGATCATAAACATGATAAAGAAGATCAAAATTTTAATGACACAATATTTGTTTGATTTTTCTAGAAAAGTATTAAAATTATATTTTCCGACTTTTTCTTTACAATTTTACGATAAAATAATTGGAAAGTAGTAAATTTATATTTACAAAATCTTAAGCATATATTTTATCGAATAATTAATTCTGAATAATTTAAAGATTTTATTGGATCAGCTTCTTGAAAATGGAAATCATTTTTTAAACAGAATTAAGTTAAAAAATATAATTAAAATTATATATTTATTCTATGGTAATGAAACTAAAATAAATAAATATCAGTCAAGTTTCTTTGAGAGACAATTAATATCAGCAATAAGAATTTTAGTTTAAATATTTATGAATGAATTATGATTAATTTGAATTAAATAAAAATAGTTTCTTAATTTGGTGACACATATACTTTGAATTAATAGTATATATGAATGCATTTGAAATTTGATTGAATTATAAAATGTTCAAAAAATTGTTTGGTTTGGGTTTGGGAAGTTGTTTAATAAATTATAGTGTAAAGTGTTGTGGAATAGTAGGTGTATTAACTACTGAGGATAATGCAGAGAAAATAATATTTGAAGGAGTGTAATTATTATAGAATAGAGGTTATGATTCTGCAGGAATAGGCACAATAAATAAATCTAAGGAAGTAAGAATATCTATATTAAAATAAAAAAGTTGAGAATATCAAAGCATGCTAGTGATTAAATAAACAAAATAGATTGTTTCGTAAAATTGAATTAAGAATTATAGAAACATATATAAAGTTAAGTAGGAATAGGACATACAAGATGGGCAACATGTGGTAGTAAAACTGATAATAATGCTCATCCTCATTATGATATTGCAAAAAGAATAGCATTAGTTCATAATGGGACATTAGAAAATTATGTAGAATTAAAAGATGAACTTATGCAATAGGGAATAGAATTTTCATCAGAAACAGATTCAGAAGTAATTGCTTAACTGATCGGGTTAGAAATATAAAAGTAAAATTTTTTAGAAGCAGTTGAATCAGTTTTAACTAGATTGAGAGGATAATGGGGTTTAGCAGTGATTGATAGAGAGAATCCTGCATAGATGATTGTATGTAGATAAGGAAGTCCTCTTTTAGTAGGATATGCAACTAATAGTATATTTGTAGCAAGTGAAAAGATAGCTTTTGAAAAATATACATAAAATTATATAGCATTATAAGATGGTGAAGTTATGCTATTGTAATTAGAGAATAGAAATTAATTATATAATTAAATAAAACATAGATTAATATTTAATGAGAATTAAGAAGTTGAATAAATTCATTTAAAACCTAAGCAACCTTATTAAACATTTTTTGAGATGGAAATAAATGAGCAACCAAATAGTCTTTTAAGATGTTTAGGTAATGGTGCAAGATTAGCAGGTTTTTCAGATTGCGCAAAACTTGGAGGTTTAGATATGAAAGAGAAAGAGCTTTGTGAAATAAAACATTTAATTTTAATAGGTTGTGGAAGTAGCTTTAATGCAGCTTAAAGTGTTTTAGCAATTTTTAAAACATTTAGAACATTTGAAAGTGTATAAGCAATAGAAGCAAGTGAATTTTAGAGTTATGATTTACCTTAGAATTAAGTAGGTATAATATTCATAACATAATCTGGTGAGACTAAAGATATAGTGAGAGTGTTAAACATTGCTAAATAATAGGGAGTAATAACAATAGGAGTGTAATATATTGGTATTATGATAAATTAGTGTAAATGTTGTAGGATCATTAATAGCAACAAGTGTAGATTGTGGAGTTTATTTAAATTCTGGAAGAGAAGTGGCAGTAGCAGCATCAAAATCATTTACTTCATAAGCAACAGCTCTGATATTAATTAGTTTATGGTTTAGTTATTATAAAGAGAAGAATAATTGTTTACCTTAAAATATTAAGATGAAGTCTTTAAGAGAGAAATATGTAAATTAATTAAGAATGCTTCCGATGGTATTTGGTTAAGGAATAGTTGAATGTTAAGCAGCTGTTAAATTAGTAGCTAAAATATTATAAAATAAATCAAGTTTATTTGTTTTAGGAAAAGGATCAAATTATGCTATAGCTAGAGAGGGAGCATTAAAAATCAAAGAATTAACCTATATTCACGCAGAAGCCTTTGCATCTGGAGAAATGAAACATGGTCCTTTAGCATTAATTGATTCTTCAAAAGATAAAGAAACTGCTATTATATTAATCATATTAGATGATGAATACATACAAGACATGAAATTATCATTAAGTGAAGTTAATTCCAGAAATGCTAGAACTATTGTTATAACTGATTCTCCATAGAAATTATCAAACACAATCAATAAAATTGACCATTTGATCTCCATTCCTAAAATTGGAGAATAATTAAATTGGTTACTCACTGTCATCGTCTTTCAATTATTATCATTAGAAATTTGTTATCTTTAAGGAATAGATCCAGATAAACCTAGAAACCTTGCTAAAACTGTTACTGTAGGTTGATATGATATAATATAATATCAAATAAAAATTTATTATTATTTTTCATTATAAAATCAATCCCTTTCTTTTACTTTACTTTTGTAAAGGTTTACATTAATTTGACATTTAAAATAATTCAAAATAATTAATTTTGTTCTATATGAAAAATAATGCTTACTCAAATAGATTTTTAATTCTTATAATACCTTAATTGATCAATTAATGAATAGAGGATATCTAAGTGAATTTTTAAAAGAATCTTAAAAAAAGAATAGTAGAAATGGATGAAGACAATAGATCTATTATATGTGATAAAATTTTATATCTAAATATATCCGAGAATCAAGATGAAAATTATAGATAATTATAAATTAAAGAAAAACAAAAATTCAACTAAGATAAATTTATCCAATCTGAATAGAATTCTGAAATAACAAATTCTTAGATATATTAAATAATTTCAAGGATCATATTTTAAATTTTGGTATGCAAATATAATACTCATTATGAAATTCACTAAACCTATTCAGATGAGAATTTCTTCATTAAAGTAAATTCAAACAAGATAAAATCAAGTTAAACATAATTATAGTCAGAACACAAATGCTGCTAGTTAATTAATTATTTAAATAATTAATTAAAATATCTACCAAAAAAAGTGTAAGGATTCCAATAAACCCTATTATTAAACAATAAAAATATTTTATTCATTTATTTAGAAAGCATCTAAAAATTTAGAAGGACAAAAAATTCTCTTCATATTTATTTATGATTATTTTCTATTAACTTTAGAAATCTTCAGAAAAAAAATCAAATAAAATTTTTAATATATATGTAGTAAAAAGGAAGCCCAACCTAAAATTAATTTCTTAACTAGAATTTGTTATATGGATGGGTAAATGGATGAATCAATATACAACTAGGTTGTTGAAACTGTAAATTCTAAAGAAGTAAATTTTACTAAAATGATTCGAATATCCAATAAGTTTTGATGACCAATATTCTTGGATTAAGAATGAGGAATTTGTATCTTGAATTCTTTAAAGCTTAAAAAGAATAATTATTTGAGTTAGAAATGATCTCTAGTTTGAACTTCTATTTTTTAAAAAAAAAAGAAAAATAATTCGAAGATTCCTATACCATTTATTATTTTAACTTGATGATCTTGATGAAAATCGATTAATTAAATTTTAGAATTTGATACTCTATATAAATAGTTTACCCTGATATTTATAATAAAGAATAAGGTTTAAATTAATTTATTATTTTTGAATATTAAAAGATAAAATGTTAGATTAGATTATTTTAGTTGTAATAGCAATAGAATTAAATTTATTAAATTGAGAAAAAAAATTAATTAATTAATATAGTCAAAGTAACTAATCTTTAATTAAGGAATGGAATTAGAAAAAGAATGAAATTAAATATCTTTATTAGTTTTCAACAGTGACCACAAAGTCAAATAAAAATTTAATTTACAAACTAAATAAATTAAATTTCTTTAATAAACAAAAAATACTCCAGTCATATTTTTTAAAGTATTTTAATATTAATATAATGAGTTCCTTAGGGGGAGCTATTAATTATTTGAAAGATCTTAAAAGAATCATTTAGAAGTAATCTTTAAATATTAATTTTAGTTATGGATTAAAATAATTTATAGATGAGAATGCAATAGGAAATATAAATTTATGAAGATCAATTTAAAGTTTAAATTAAAATATTCAATTTTCCTCATAATATATAAATCCTATATTATAATTATTTATACATTAATATAATAATCTGATGTCTTTTTCATCAATGTATTCGAATTAGTCCTTCCTAAAAACATCATTTTGAATTAAATACTTTCTTATTATTATATATTTGATCAAATAATAATTTCAAATCTTAGAGGGATGCTAAAAAGAATGTATTAGTAAATTAGTTAACTTTTGAATGGTGAAATACTTTAGATTAATTAATAGAGGAGTTAGATAGTCATATTTAGGATAATACAATTATCATAATATTTTTCAATAATTATGCCGTCATACAAGAATAAACTAGACAGTTTTCACTTCACTTCACTTATTACCATATTGAAAACATCATTATTGGATTATGATAGTATTCCAATCTTTTTAGGTTATATTTCTAGTGCCATAAGCATTACAATCTTAATTTATATACTAATATTAAGTTGTTTGAACATAAAATAAATTGCTATTGTTAAAAAGATCATACTAATTTATGTTGGATTGCTTCCTTAATATTTCTGTTATTTATAAATATCTATAACATCACATACATTATTAAAATTAGAAAATAATTTATTTGAATAAATGCTAGGAACTATAACTATTATAATAATATTTATTCAATCTTTTTTAAGCTTATTGTTTATGAGGAATACTTATTTTAGTTAAACTATATTATGTAGAGATTTAACAATAATAGGTTTAATATCTCAAATAATGAAATTTATGACAATTTTATTTTACTTTTACAATATTGATAGTAATAATACTCTCTATATAATAACGTTGATATGTGCCCTATTATGGACAATATCAGAAGTAGCTGATATTTTATACTATTTTCCTTATTGTTTATCTGACAATTAATTTTAATTTTGTTTAAATTCAATTAAAATTATAAGTACCATAATGATGATACTGGATGCATCAATAGAATTTGAATAAGCAGTGATAATATATTAATTAATACTGAGTGTATTGGGATATTATGCTAGTAGATAGGTTTTTCGAGTTTTTCTCTATAATAATTGCTTTAATCTCTTTTCTAAAGCAATTTCTAAGGATTAACAATCTCTTTATTTGAAAATTATTCTATTTCTAAAGGATTAGTAAAAAGAGTAGAGAAATATTTATCAGTCCTTTTTAAGTTGTAATGTGTTGAATTTGCATAAAAAGTATTGTGAATAGAATTGCTAAGTAATAATTTATTTTAACAAGGCATAAGTATATACAAACATTCTAGAATGCTTAATATCAAAGATTTTTTAAAATGAGGAGGAGTCCCTTTTTCTTTATAAAATTAGTTATATAGCATTCATAAAGAAATAATATTCATTGAGCTTAATGAAAATTAAATAGTATCAAATATTTAATGGGCATACTCAAACTTGGTACTTTAAATTAATGGTTCTTGATATTACTAAAAATATAGAACGAGAAATTTAATAAGTTCTTTATAATAGTAATATAGCTTAAAATTGGAATAGATATACTTATTTAACATCAAAGGATTTAGTTGAATTTGAACAATAAGAAATTGAATTAATGCCAATGATTGAACAATTGATAAATAAAAAAATAGATATTTGGTAATCACAAATAAGAGGATTTAAAAATATCTATGATTTGTAATATAAGCTAATTAATTTTGCAAAATTAATTGATTAAATAAGAAAACAATTAAGTAATATATTTGAAAAAGATATTAACGATATTAGTATTAGTTTAATAAACAATATTTATCATCTTAGAATTTTATCGTTATATTATTCATTAATAGTGAATGATTAATTGAACAGTTATTTATGCGAAAAATAAATTCAAGTTGTTTATTATTTTGAATAAACACTTAAATAAAATGAATTAACTTCTTTAGCTTTAATTACTGATAAAATTTCAGTGGTTGCTGTAAGTCTTGTTAAAAAGTAAGGTGAAATACTAAACAAGAATAAATAAAAAATAGGGAGTTTGTTTGGATATCATAAAAGCAATGAATATAATGCATTATTATCAGTTAATTAAATTATACCTGATTTTATTGGTAGTATACATAATGAAATGTTAACAGAATTTCTAAAAAAAGGATAGTCATCTTTTTTTGTTTAATTTAAAACAGTTTTTGGTAAAAATAAAGATTATTTTATAATGCCATTATAATTAAAATTTTCAAATGACTTTAATTTTGTGGATGATTTTGTAATAAAAGGAGTCATGTATTAAGGACAAAAATAATAGGATTTTATATTATTTGATGATCAAGGACATATTTAAGGAATTACTAAATAATTTTATGAAATTTTAATTCGAGATAATTATAAATCTTATAAAATAGATTTAGAATAATTAACTAAATAAATGTATATTTATTACTTTATGCCTGAAATCTTTAATATTATTTAAGAATATTAATAATAGAAATAACACAATTAATTAGTTTAATTTTTAGAAGACACTCAATTTATAGTGATATAAAATCTAATGGAATTTCATGAAGATTTTTCAAGATCAATTAAAAAGTTTACAAGACATACAGTTACTGATCCTGCTTTATATGCATCTAGTTATACTAATTGTTCTGAGTTGACAAATAATAATGTAAAAACTATGATGAGAAGAAGAATGTATACAGAAATAGATAGAAATTTAATAAATCAAGATTTTGCAAAAAGTGCCATAAAATTTATATATAATAATGTAATTTTAATGATTATGAATAGCTTGACAATTATGTGACTTATTTCATAAAATTTCAATTATAATATTATCCTATTCAGAATGAGAAAGTAAAAGGTTTTTATATACTAGAAATAATAGATTATAGAAAAAATTATGATAAAAAGGTAGGAAGTGAGGCTGTGTTTAAAGATGTTGAGTCTTAAATGAAATAATCAATAAAAATTTAAAGTTAATTTATATAAAGAGTTTAAAATTAAATTGAATTTGAAGAAATTAATGTTTGTTAAGTAGCTAAATCTAATACAATTACTACTGATAATATAAGATTAGACACAAATGGAAATACAAGTAAAAGAGTTATTTTTCTTAAACCTGAAATTTAAAGTCAACTTAATGATTTTGCAGGAGTAGAGAAATCAGAATCTAGTTCTGAAGAGAAATAGGAAGATTACTTTTCCCCTCCATAATCAAATAGATTATAATTTTGTAAGGAGAATGATAGTATTCAACCTAATTAACAAAGTGTTAAAAATTAGAAAAGGAATATTAGTGAAATGGAAATGGCAATAAATTAAAGCTAATCTAGTGGTGTTTCAAGATAATCAAGTCGAACTAGCACCTATTTCAATAATCTTTTTTTAAATAAAATCAGATATACAAATAATATAAAGGCAATAATCTTTATATGTATTTTAACTGTAACAATAAATCTATTTTTGTGCATATTTAATAGCATAAAATTATATTCTGGTTATTAGAACTTCTAAACCATAACTACAAATATGAAGGTTCCTATGAATTTAAACAGATATTATTCTAAAACTGCAACACTTGCTTGGATCTCTATATGCTCTAATTATAGTATATTAAATATTAGTTAGTTTTAGAAAAATTAAAATTAATATCAGTTGAATTAAATTAATCAATTTATTTTAGGCAATGTATCTTTAATCTATCCATCTTTAATTGAAACTGAAGAGTAGATACCATATATAAATTAATCTTTAGGATTATATCACTATGAAGAAGTAACGCTTACCTAATTTATAGATTACATGAATTTTTTCACTAAATAAATTTTGGTAAATAAAGATATTAATACAGATTATATAGAGGCTATGATTATTTTAAGATATAATGTAAAAAACATGAGAAATATCACAATTTAAATTATGGATTAATTAGAAACTCAATTTGAATTAGAGAGAGATTTCTAATTATCTAATCAACTGATTGCTATTATTACAAACTCTCTTTTAATGCTACTTTTATATACTGTTTAATTCATATTTTGTTTAAAAATTCAAATTTAAAATCAGACACTATCTTTATTAGTAGGAAGAGTAAAAGAATAAGAAATAATGAATGAGATTGTAAAAACATAGTATCTTTTATAATCCTTAAAAAATATTGCTGGTGAAGATTCATGGAAAAGAATCAATTTTTGGTCTTATATTTTTTAGAATGATTATGATAATGTATACAAAGCCAGATTAATTTAAAATAAAACAAATAGAACTTCTAATTTAAATTCAAGAATAAAACACATAAGAATTAGATTTAAATTTGAACTTTTAAAATTAATCATCTTTTTAATAATATATTTGTGCTTTATTTGGGGATTATAAATATTATATTCAACTTAAACTGAATAAATGACTCCTATTGTAGAATTAGAAGCATAATATGTAAAATTTAGTGTGAATATTGATATTCTAGTTTTCAGTGGATTAATTATAAAATCTCAACCTCAGTTATACTAAAATTTTATTGATAATAAAATATTTTCGGAAAAATAGATAAATTTGTTTGATGATGATAATCAAATTATTGAACTATTTAATTCATTATAAACTACATTTAGTTTAACAATGAAATCTTTATTTAATGATGTCATTTCAACTTTACCATCAAGTGATGATGTTAGTAATTTAAAGAAATTAATTGATTCAGATGTATGTTTAGTACTTTATAATGAAATTCCATTCTGTTAATTTTATAATATTTCTTAAGTTGAATTTATTAATAAATATGGATAGTTTTATGAATACGATAATGACTTAGATTATTTAAAAAGTGGAATTCTAGGAATAATGGCCAAATAGGCAAGCTTTTATTAATAAAATTATGGATATGAAATTGAAAATGTAAATTTTAATCCAAACTAAAATGAAATCAATTCAGTTTATAATGCGATTGAATTTCATTAAATAATTTTATCTCACTTTAAAGATTCGTATCTCTGTTTTGTAAAATTTTTAGCACTTCTCACTAAAAATATTTCAGATATCAGATACTCTGATTTCATTATTTTGTTACTCTATATTTACATTGCAGGATTACTATATTTCATTTTATATATAATATTCTACTATTTTTGGATAAAGAAATCCAATAAATATATAAGATCTTTAAAATTAAGTTTAGTTGTTATTCCAAATGAATAATTATTCAATAGTAGCATTATCAATATATTAAGAAAATTTGATTGAATTAATTAAATTTATATTAATTATAAGATTATATGTTTTTTTTAGCAGTTGGATTCTTTATGGGATTACCCCTTGGATTTTATTTTAGAGAGCACAATTTGTAACCACCAGTTGCTATAAATATGGAATCAATTAAAAAGGCTTTTGAGATATTTGCTGAGAAGGAAGATAAAGATGATGATTGATTACAATTAATCTACCTTATATTTTAAGGAGAAATTATATTGATTTAAATTAAAAAATGATTCATCATTGATCCCTAACAAATAAAAAAATTAGTTCATTTGAAACAAAACTATAATCTAAATGGGAAAAAATAGTCCATACATATAATTAATTTGTTTAAAGAATATAAAAAAAGATTTGCATAAATAATAAGGAAATGGTAGAAAATAAAATATAGTGTATTCATTTTTCTTTGTCCTAACAAAAACAACAATTCAAAAACTGAGAACATTTATCTAAAAATGATGACTCTTATTCTTCTACATATGAAGCATATTGTTTTTGAATTAATGGCTCTTCAGAAAGATCATAGATTTAGTTTCTTGAAAAAAGAAGTTATACTAAGTCTTCTTTAAATTTGATGATTTCTTATTGATTAATAGCACTAGTAAAAAATAATTAAGGATTTTAGAGTTTAAGTATTTTACAAATTGATTGCATCATAGCACTATAAGTATGTCGAGATAAATCACTTTTGCATCCAATAAAGAAAATTAGAGATATATCCTTGACAATATGATAATGATATTCTAGATATTGACAAGGATTTTAATCTTCAAGATTAAGAGCAATGGCAGCTACAGAAACACTTTACTGAATAAAATATTCTTATGAAGGATTACCAGGGTAATCATATATTTGCAATTGTAATTTATCTAATTAAACTTTTCTAAACTCCAAGTATTCAGTAGGATAAGTCTTTATCGATTCATTGCACAGAGCATTAATCAATGCAGTTTTACCAACATTTTAACTCCCTATAAGTAAAATGTGAGTTTATTTCATTTAGTTAATTTGATTATAATTTATAATATGAATATAAATTTCAACAACACAAATCAATTTTTTTATTTTTTAGTCAAAACAATCTCTATAGAAAAGTTAATTCATATTTTTCTTTGACTTTGTGACATTTTAAAATCATAAATAACTAATTAATTCATACTCCTGATTTTGAAGACCTAATTCTTTGTTTTATATATGATGGTTAGTTCTAAATATATTTTATTTTATTTTACTAAAAATTAATAAGTAATTAAAATAGTTGAGCAATGTGTTCATAATACAAAAACTAATTTATTTGCAATTTCAATATAATCATAATAATAAATAATTAAGATAGTAGATAACTGAGGTGCAGATTTAAAAATAATTTTTATAGTTTTAGAAAAGAGACTATATTGGATTCGAAGAAGCTAAAGCAATAGATGATGGTATAAATGCTGTATTCTAATTAAGAATAATAATATACCAGCAGAATATCTTTAATTTATTCAAAAGAAAAGGTTATTGATTGGAATAATCAAATCTTAGATTACACAAATAGAAATTTGAGGAAATTAGATACATCACTTAAGTACTGTATGAGCTGTATCATTTAAAAAAGTAATAATTCAAAACTTACAGTAGCACTTGTTTTTTGCTTTATAACAATTAGTTGATGCTAGTTTTAATACAAATACTGATGGTATAAGCATTGCCATTGTAACTATTATATTTGTATTTGCAATGTTAATATGATTTATAAAATTCATTTTATGTCAATTTTTTAATAATTATTTAATTAACACTCAAAAGAAAAATGAAGGTATTGAATTCAATTTTTAAAAATAATATTTATCTTTTCTACAAATTCAATTCCAGTGCCATAACTTCCTTTTTATCAATTTTATTTAATTTCAATATTTAAATATTTGTATCACCAAATGTGTTAGATGGCAATTTTAATTCTTACAAATTGGAAAAAAAAACACACTCTTTATTAAAATAATAAATTATGTTAATTTATATTATAAAGATTTTCTATAATTTAATTTATACATGCCTATATAATATCAATTTTAAATTTTCCTTATAAAGAAAATCTTTCTGTCTTAATTTGTGTTATTAAAGTGGAATAAAATCTTGAATATTCCTTATAAAATAATTAATATGTCAAATCTAGATCCAATTATTTATCCACACTTAAAAATGAATGTGCCTTCATTTTTAATAAAGACTTATGAAATATTGGAAGTATTATTGACTATATTAAAATAAGGATGAATCAATATAAGAAATCATATCTTGGAACAAAGAAGGAACAGCATTTATAGTGTACAATTCGCATGAATTATCATCAAAAGTTTTAGCCAATTACTTTAAGCATAAAAATTATCCTAGCTTTTTGAGGTAAGTAAATATCTGAAAGTAGATAATTAAATATGTATAACTTTAAAAAGACTCGAAATCAATATGGAGCAAGTGAATTTAGACATAAATGGTTTAGAAAGGGTTAAAAGTATTATACTATTAATTCTAATTTTTAGAAACATGATCTAGTATATTAGACGTAGAAATCAAGAAGAATCAGATTTAAAAGTAGAAGCAAGAGATTAAAATTAAGAATTCGATACTTATAAAAAAGAACATGAAAATATGAAAATATTGCTCTATGATCTTTAAGAGACTCACAAAATTATGTCAAACAATTTAGCTAAATCCATTCATTAGTCAACAGAAATGAATAGATAAAATTTTATCACTTTTCAAGTATGAAAATGTTTAATCTATAGAACATATAAAAAACCTAATTAGAGTTTAATAAAAAATATGAATATTTGTCAATCATGCTAACAAATGTTTTAAACAATCTTCCCAATATATGTATAATATACTCTCTAAAAAACAGTAACAAATTTTAGAGAGATGATCAAAATTTGCTAAGATGATTCAAACTTATAACAAACTTAATATAGTTTAGAAAATGGAACATCATATTAAAATCCATAAGTTATGTCCTATAATCAATTCTAATTTTATGCCTAAAAATAAAAGCCATGTATATTGTTTTGTTTAAATTTTAAGTTTATTTTTACAACGAGAAATAATAATATTTTTACAACAATACTCCTTAACTAGCCATAACTGACAAGTAGAGCAACTTTTGTTGTAAGTTTCATTTATTCATAATAAGCTCCAACCACCTATTCATTATAAAGCAGTCAACCAAATTCTCCTTATAGAATCTCAAATAATTAGTAATATCTTTTAGATTATTCAAATATAGATTAGGTATAAATTACATATTATTTTTAGTAATATCAATAAGTATGATTATATAATAAATCATTAATATTCAAATTCTAAATTAATTAATCCATTATTTTAGATAATTCTGTTAAAATTATATTGTTATAGATTCTCGAATTATTGGTGGTTCATCATTCTATGTTCTTTATGTAGATTCTCAATGTTATGAATGATCATAATTTTGGTTGATAAGATTTTCTATACTAAGGAGATCTAGTTCTACTGTATTATGAAGTATTTGAAAGTGATTAGGATTAAACACATTTGATATTTCTTTAGAATTGACATGTTTCTATTCTATATATTTAACGATCCATTTTTAATTTCTATTCCTAGTCTTTCTAATTAAAACTTATAATGGAAAAAGAAGAAACTTTTTTATAGGATTTAGATTTAGCTCTCTTATTCACTTTTTTGAATCAATTTTATCTTCACTAATTCAACATCTTTTATATCAGAATATTAGATCTCTCTTATTAAAAAGAGTCCATCTGATTAACCTATATGAATATATCTTAATATTAATTAATCATTAGTATCCAAAACTGATTTCTTGTTTCTTGTTTATTCATAATCCTCAATAATTTTTATATTTTGTTCTTTAAATATAATATAATTATAATTTCTTTTATTTCTATTACAAGGTTCTAGAATATACTGACATACAGGAGGTTATAAGTTACATTATTTTTATTGAATATCTGATAAATAAGTATCTCTATTATGAAGCACTTTGATTGCTTCTTTAATAAATCATTTAAATAACCTTTTTTGAATAATCTTATCTAACAAATTATAGTATTTTATTATTTATAAAGATTCTATTGTACTCTTTTACAAACTATTCTCTATCTTCGTAACTTTAGATAAAATTTTCAAATGACTCAATAAATTGTTAGATGGGAAAAATTAAACTAATCATTATATTGCAATAAACTTGTTTCTACCAACAATTTTGCATATGAATAATTAATTAAGGTATAAGAATATTAGAAGATTTTTAATTATGTAATTATTCAATTAAACTCCATAAAATGAATATAATAATTTTTTGGTAACATAGTCTCAAATAAAATACATAAAACCAGAAGGTTTCCTTATATAAGATCCAGTTTAAACCTCTTCATTGTAATGCTGAAGAAAATTATATGCTATATAATTAAATCCTTAACTGTATTCAATTTATGAATTTAAAACATTGCTAAATTTTATTTATTATTCTTTATCCTAAGTTGTTCTTACAACATCCTTTTTTATAATTTTTTTAAATTAAGAGGGAAAATGCTCAATATTCTGTATATTCAAATAATACTATGTGTTGGAATCCATATCATAATTTATATTTGACAACATTTTCCAAAATTATTTCAGAACATGCTCTCTTAAAATTATTTTCAGTGTCTAATTCACGCCACTATAAAAATTTTTAGATATTCTCAATAACTAAAATTTATAATTTTTATATTGCATCTTTATCTTCATTAAATAATTAGTAGAATTTTGTTTATTCATTGTTAGAAGATAGTTTCGATAGAATTAATTTAAATTAGAAAATAATAAAATATATTTAAGAATAATAGGTTTAAAGAAAACTAAACAATTTTAAACTCTCAGTATCATTAACAATAATAAATTAAAAGTATTTTATTCAATATTAAGTTCTTTAAATAATTATTTTTTATATATCTATTTTCAATCTAGAAAACTTCTTATTTTATATAATTTTTATTATTGTTACTTCTTTGAGTTATAAAAGAAATAATATTTATTGTAATTTAAAAATTTTCTAATTTTTTTTCCTCCTTCTAAGTTATGGCTTAAATTTTAATACTTATTTGTTTTTTGTTATTATTTTTGAAAATAAAATTCATTTGATTATTAATAGCTTTGAATAAATAACAATTTAATGAGAATTGATAGAGATGTGAAAAATAAAATAATAAAAAAAAACCTATAATATTCGATCATTTTTAATTTAATATTTCTAACAATGTCTTAAATTAAAAGTAAATTCAAACACTTAAATAGTTATCTTACTTGGTGATAGTGGAGTAGGCAAAACAACAATTCTGCACAAGTAACTTTACTGAATGAGATCAAGCTTTTTAGATATGAATTAATAACTTGAAACCACAATTGGAGTTTAACATCATTCATTTTCTAGAAATAATATTAAATTCTCAATTTGGGATACTGCTGGATAAGAAAAATATAGATCTATTGTCTCTAGGTTTATCATTTATAATTGAATATAGTCATTATAAAAGAGCGAAAGCAGCTTTATTAATTTATGATTGTTCAAATGAAGAAACCTTATTACATATAGATAAATGGATTGAAGAATTAATATTCTAGGTTGGAACAAAAATAATATTGATTTTAATAGGAGTATTTAAACCATTTTACCTTATTATAGAATAAAACAGACTTACCAAAATTTGATTTTAATGAATCTGTTTAGAACTTGTAGGATAAATATGAAATAATTTATCATACATAAACAAATCATAATGATCCTGAATTTAAAGATAAAATGAATCAATTGTTCGATTAAATTAGTATAAGTAATATTTTACATTATTTTTTATGTTTGGGATTACTTATTCAAAATTAACAACATTCATCAACTAAATAAATATTTGGATAGACATAAAATGTCATACCAATAAAATCATCTACACTTTTTAATAATTATTAATAAGGAGATCCTGAAATAATATAAATTGATAAGGATAAACTTTAGGATGTTTAAGGAGGTGTTTAAAATGATAGGGAATCTTGTGAGTGTTGATTATATTTTATCAAAATAACTAATTTTTAGAATTATTATTATTATAATATTCATTAAATTAAAACGTTAAGAATTTACTGAAAATTTTAGTATAATTAAATTAATTGATAGAATCAAGAAGTATAGGTTTTCTTTTTTATATAGAGATTATAAACTTATAGTTTTTATTCTAATGATTTTGAAGCTATTTACCGCTCCAAATTAATACTGTCAATTTATGTTGATTAATTTTATAAAAAACCGGTTCTCATCTAATTGTAAAATTATTCTAAGACTTCTTAATGAGCTTTAATATCTATTTCAATTAGATCTGATGATTTTTATTGATTACAAATTTGTTTGGCGCATAATTTTAATAAAACAATAAATTCATAAAATGGCTAAATTAGATCTATCTTTTCAACTTTTGGTTATATAATTTTAAACATAGATTAAATATAAATGCTACGCCAATTGAAATAATTATCCTTCCACCATTATTCTTATTTTCTTATTAATGTATTAACTGCTAATAACACTTCAATTGAGACCTAAGGAAGTTCCAATATAAATTACTTAAACAAGTTGGGCTTAATAATATTGAAAAAGTTCTACAGCATTTTCATTAAAACTAGTTTATAGTTCTTAAGCTTCTACTGAAACTTCTATGAGTTATTTAAGTAAATAAATTAATTAGATGGCTGCATCAGTTTCTTAATTAAAGTTCCTTATTAAAATAACTGTTTTATTGTTTAAAATAGTTTTAACTTCATTAATTGCTACCCAAGTTTTACCTTCCTTTACTATTCTATTTTTGTTAATATGTTTAGATAAAAATGCTGATAGATCTGGGAAATTTAATTTTTCTAAACTTATCGAATCAAAAAAATGCATCAATTCTCTTATTGAACCAAATTATGAACTTAGATCTGTTTAATCTATTTTTTTGACTGGATTGTTAGTATTTTTTTAAGATTAACAAGTTCCCATAATAATAAAATAAATAAATTTGATAATAATAGTATATCGATAATTGACGAAAATATATTGTATAAATAGAAAAATCATTATAATTGATTAAGTGCCCATTTTCTAGCAAATAGAAAAGGATCATTTTGATGTTTCACATTTTCTTATAAAATATCAATTAATATTTAGAAATCTGAATTTTCTTCTTTTAGAATTATTTAATTCATAAGACTCACCAAATACATACTCAATAACTTACCTTAATCTTCTAATTAAGAGTTGAAAAATATTTGAAAAGTGTTATCCAAAGTGAAATTCAGATTATGTTATACTGTTTCATAGTAAATGCTTAATTAATTCATCCATTAACCTAAAGATTCTTTAATAGTTTTAGGTGCAAATGAATAGAATGCTTTGGCTTTGATAGCCAATAATTTTCTAAATAGAAAATTACATTTTTATTTCTATTCAGTTGAGCAATCCATAGTATTAATAATGTTTTCTAAAAATATACAAAAGTTGTATGTTGGTAGAACAATTGCTGGTAATTAAGGCTATTATATTTTCAATTTTTAAGTATTTTATTTTTTATTAGTATTATTACTGTTATTATTATTTAGAGCTGAGAAAGAGCATTCTGTTGAAAATTAGCCTATTTATTCATGATTAAAAGGAATCTTATTCTTGGTTGAAGTATTTGAAATAAATTTAGGATGATCTTCCATAGTATTGAAATTAGAAACAGAATTAAGTTTATTTTGTATTTCTTAAAGTTTATTAAAGTTTAAGAACTTTACTGAATCAAATGTTTAAGCTTTTTTGTGAGATTGAACTTTATTATGATATTTAATTCTTTAATTCTAGATAGGTGATTATAATTATTTAGGTGTGGATAATGGAGAACTTTAATTTGATTGAACAAAATTATAGGCTATTTTAATATATGGCTATGAAATTCTTGGGGAAATAGTTTCTGGTGTTTCTTATGATAGATAATGAAGAATTTAGTTTATGTTATCTCTAATGTTAGGTTCCATTTGTAACATCCCTAACAGTAATTATTTAACTATAGCTTAATATTAAATATCTATTGTCAGACTTTTTTTTTATATATCCTCATGGAATATTCTAATATCAGCTCTGAATGGAGGAATACAATTAAAAATGAGTTCATATGACATAATACCCAATGCCCATATATCACTCTTTTCTGAATATTGATTGTTTTATAGAATTTCTGGAGCCATGTAAAGAGGAGTACCAACATTGAATCTTTGAATGATGCTTTCAATTTAATCTTCAATTAAGGCAAATCCAAAGTCAGCTAATTTATATACATTGTCATGTATAAGAATATTCGCTGGCTTAAGGTCTCTATGAATGATTTCTAACTTAAAAATATTTTCTTTACTTTTATCATGCAGAGCCTTTATTCCTAATGAAATCTATCTTAAAATTGCCAAGACTTTAGGTAATGTTAATTCAGTTTTTTTCATCTCATGCTCTAGATTTCCTCCATTACAATATTCTGTAACTATGTATGTATTATTAGCACTTTGACTTATTTCATATACTTTCAATAAATGTGGATGATCTATTCTCAAAAGTATAGATATCTCATTTTTTAACAAGGATCTTTAAATCGGAGATGTATATGTCCGAGAACTAATTACTTTAATTGCTACTATTTATTTATTTTTTAAATTTTCTCCTAAATAGACTTTTGATGAATATCCAGAACCTATATTTTTATTAAAATCAAAAACATAATCTCCTATTTACTTTATTTTTGTTTCATTCTAATCATTCATTTTATACACTAAATTTACTGTATAAGATTTATAATTAATATTTTATTAATTAAGAAATATTAAATCAAGAAAAAAGAATATATAAATTTTTAGTTACAATTTTCTTCTTAATTGAAAATAGATTGTAATCTAGATTTTTTAAATAAATAAAATACAAAGCAATAATTAAATCAATTTTTATATTTCTAATTACATGAATTCGTTAGTTAGAATAAATATCTTTAATCAACTACAAGTTTATAAAAATTAAAGCTTTTGTTAATTAATATTATTAGAAATCATAATTGAAAATTAAAAAGAATGATGAATGATTTATTATTATTTAACTAGATAATATTAATTAATATAAGGTATAATGGGTTCATGTAGTGGCTAACCAAATAGAAAGGTTAATTCAAAAAGAAATAGCCTGATGACTTTTCATAAAACTTAGGAAGTTTCTACGATAAAATCGAACAAAAGTTTTAGAAAACAAAAAACAGATTTTAAGGTTGCTCCAAGTATATTTGTCTCCTTAAAAAATGGAGATATTTATGAATACTATGATATTGAATCAACTTTAGGAGAAGGTATGAAGATTATATATCTAATAAAAGGAAATTTTGGAAGAGTTAGCTTGATTAAGTAAAAATCAACAAAAATTCTTCGTGCAATGAAATAGATTGCTAAAGATAAAATATTAGCAAGTTAAAGAGAAAAGATGATTCAAGAAGTGAATATATTGAAAGATCTTGACCATCCTAATATAGTGAATATTTATGAACTTTATTAAGATGAACGTTATTATTACTTGATAACTGAGTAATTAGAGATGTTTAATCAAGATATTTAAGTGGAGGGGAGTTGTTTGATAAAATCTAATAAAGGAAGAATTTAAACGAGAGTATGGCTGCAAATTATATGAAATAAATATTAAGTGCTGTTAATTATTGTCATTAGAGAAATATTGTGCATAGGTAAAGTTAAAAATATATTTTGTAGGGATTTAAAACCAGAAAACATTCTATTTGATTAAAAAGGAACAGAATAGAATATCAAAATTATTGATTTTGGAACAGCCAAGTAAATTCTTTCAAATACTAAATTGAAATAAATGACAGGAACACCATATTTCATAGCTCCAGAAGTTATAGATTAAAATTATAACAGTAAATGTGATTTATGGTCATGTGGAGTTATATTGTATATAATGATGAGTGGAAAGCCTCCATTTAAAGGAATCAATGTAGATGATTTATATAGGAATATTAAAAATGGATATATAGATTTTACTGGTAACTTTAAAATATAAGTTGTAATAAGGTTCTGAATGGCAGTTTGTATCTTAAGATGCTAAATCTTTTATTTCAAAACTATTACTTGTTGATCCTTCTAAGCGAATGTCAGCTGAATAAGCTTTAAAAGATCCATGGATTGTAAGTAAAAAAAGGGAGGATAAAATTAATACAAAAAATTTAGAAAATCTTTCTTAATTTCAAGTAATTTTAGTTGAATAAAACAATTAGAATAATAGTAAATTGAGTTCTGCTATTTTATAATTAATATCAACATAGATAATGACATCTAAGGAGAAAAACGAATTGATATAAGGATTTAGTGCTATTGATAAAAATGGTGATGGAAAATTGAGTAAGGAAGAATTAATATAATGTAATAATAATATAAATGTAGGTTACATGAACTTGTACTAAGATGAAATAAAATGCAATCAAATTGTGAATAAAATATTTAAATATTCTGATACTGATTGTTCAGGAACTATAGAATATACAGGTAAAGAAGAATTTATTATTATTTAAAGAGTTTATTGTTGCTTATTCTGAGTTATAGAATTTGATGGCTTAAGAGAAACTAGAAAAAGCTTTCAAATTATTTGATAAAGATGGCAATGGAACAATTAGTAAAGCCGAACTTTAGGAGATATTCGGAGGTTTAGCTTTGAAAGAAAATTAATGGGATGAAATCTTTTCTGAATTAGACACCAATGGCGATGGAGTGGTTACTTTCTAAGAATTCACACAATTGTTATTGAAAGATAATAATAAATGAAATTTGGAGATTTAAATGTTTCATTTTTCCTTTAATAAAATTAATTATATTTATGTAAGATCTTAGGTGTACGATCCCTGAACATAACAAAAAAAAGTTTGTATCAATTACTCTTCAGAAAGAAGCAGAAAAAAGATTATACTGCTTTTAGTGCTAAAGCGATGCAAGCGGAGTAGATTTCTCAAAATCGTAATTAGTAAGTAAACTTAAACTATGCGATTTGGATGAAGTAATGGAAGGAAATGCTTATACAGTATATAATTGGCCAGCTGATGATGATGGAGATAGAATCAAGAAATAGTTGCTCGATTACAAGGTATTTGTTGAATGTAACTTGCTTTAGAGCATTGAATAATAAAAAAAGGACATAGAAGACTTTTTTTTATAAATGAAAGGCAAGTTGAATGAATAAGTGGAGAATGTTAAATAACTCTTGGTGGAAGCACTTAATGCTACTTAATTCATTAAAGAGGAAAAACTTAAATAAGAAGAGCCAGATAAGAAAGATGCCAAAAAAGATGATAAAAAAGAAACAAAGAAAGATGATAAGAAGGAAACCAAGAAGGATGATAAGAAAGAGACAAAAAAAGATGATAAAAAAGAAGAAAAGAAAGATCTTAAGAAAGAAGGTATATGACTATCAACTATGATTTTAGAAGATAAGTTAGATTTAACACCCACTATAGATAATCTAAAGAAATATTATGATTAGGTTTATGATCTTACTAAAATCAAGACACTTATTAAAGAAAATGCTAAAAGTGATCCCAATCTACTAAGTGCTAAAATTAATGAATATTTAAATGATCCAAAAAGATCTGAATAATACAATAATATGAAAAAGGTTTTTGAGGGATTTAAGAAAGGAAAAAATGCAAATAATTAGATAGCATCTAATAAGTAGAATTTATAAAAATATTGGGAATAAATTCAAACTAGCATTTAATAATGGCCTGTAATTATTTTAATTGAATCTAGTATAATTTTGGAGGTCTTCAATGGAAATTCTAAACTTCAGAAGCAGATGAATCTAAAAAGATTAAATAATTAGAATCAGATTATAAATAATTGACTGAAGATCAAAAATTATCTGTAGCTCAAAGAGAATATGCTGGAGCTGGATTATAATCTTAAATTATTTATTCAGATGTAAACTTTACTGAAGGATAACATGGTTGCATAGTCTTATTTAAAGAGTTTGATCAAAAAAGAGCTGGAGCCAATGGAAATTTCTATGTAGGAGTTGTACCAGAAGATAATAAAGATAAATCTCCATATGGATAGGGATATAGAAAAGATTTATTTAGTCAAAATGGAGAAGGTTTGAATGTAAGAATTGGAACTGATTTTAATAATGTATTTAAAGTAATTCTATCTATCCTAAAGTTTAGATGCCTCCTAAATTGTTGGCTGTAAAACTTGATGTTGATAGCAATTACTTTGAAATCTGTGATGGTAAACGAACAGTGGTTTATGGATTGGATAAGGAAAGTAAATTGAAGGGTTAAAAGTGGAGAATCTATTTCTGGTGGAATATAGCAGCTGATAGAATCTAATTAATTCACAGCTATTGAGCCAAGTTTATTTTATTAACGAAATAATATAATATAGTTTTTAATTTATTCAAACCGTCAACAAACTACAAAAAATATGTTCAAGCAATCAAAATAGGTAAACATACCATCTCATTCATAGAATTCAAATAATGTTTAGAATAAACAATAAAATTTACATACATCAATAACTCAAACAACTAGAATTGATGATACTTTAAAAACTTCAAAACCCCTCCAAAATTTATCAAATATTCCAACTCGTACATAAGAAGATTAAGTTAAAAGAGCTCAACCCAGATCACCAATAAGGTAAAATTTTGAAAAGAAAACGTTGGAAAATTAATCTTGCATATAAAATAAAGATGAGAAACCGATTCCTAAAATTCTTTAAAGAGGGAAATCGCCATAATCAAATTAATAAGGAAGAAATATTCAAAGTGCTAATTAATTAAGTTAATAATTTGAAAAATAATCAACTTAACAAAAGTAGTATAAATAAAATGAGCCTAATTAAGTAAGTTTAAATTAACTTAATGGTGTAAAATCCGAATAGAATATTAGTAAATAATAAGTTTAAGTATAATAAAAATAAGAAACAAAGCTTTAAATATAATCTAGTTAGACGAAAATATAAAATAATTAGTAATAATAGTAAAGACCAAAGACAGCAATAGCAAATTAATAATAATAGAAATAATAAAGTTTATAAGATTATGTAAAAGCAACTTAAAAAGATTAGTAGTAACGAGAATAATAGTAAGTGAAGCAATAGATGAGTTAGAATAAAAGATAAGAATAAGCAATAAAAGGAAGATAGTAATAATAATAGAGAGGAGAGTAAGTAATAGAGGAGAAACTGTATAAATGTACAGAGGGTTGTGGAAGATCATTTAATGCAAAAGCTTTAGAGAAGCATTCAAAGGTAAATTATGAATAAATTGTAAATATAGGTTTGTAAGAAAGTGTTTTAATAGAAGAGGAAAGTGTTTAATTCATAAAAATAAAGATAAATAGAATAAGAGGAATGTGTATAAATGAAGGGTGTAGGAATGAAGAAACAAATACAAAAATAGGGAATGAAACAAGGTTAGAAGTAGTAGTAGTAAATAAAAAATGATAAACCTAAATGGAAAGCATAGAGTGAAGCATTTAGAGCAATAATAAGATAAGCAAAAGGTTAGAAATTAACAAAAGAGGAGTAAGTTTAATTAAATGGTGCAATGGAAAGTGCTTAAGAATTGGTGTAGTGCAAGTTTTGCAATAGAAAGTTTAATGGAGAGGCAGCTAAGAAGCATATAGTATTTTGTGAGACAAAAGCGAAATAGTGTGGAAAGAGTGGGATATAAAAGAAAAAGAAATGATTATTTTAATTTTTAACAACTTATGAGAGGGAAGATTACTTAATAAAATAACATTTCATTTGAAATAAAAATGCGTTATCCTATGACTAATAAACACTCATCTCCATCAGGTTCACCTAGAAAAAGGTTATTTTCTGCAAAAAGAGTGGGAAGTAAAGAATAATAATAACAGAAATGCAAAGCTACTGCTTCTATTAAAACAGGATCATCAATAGAAACATTAAAAGAAGTGTTATTAAAATAGACACAGTTAAGTAATAAGCATACAAATCATTTGAATTATTTTGTACAGAATAACAAAAGAGAAAGTTAAAATAAATTAGATACAAAAACAAGTGATTCAACAGAAAGAGTAATTATTAGATAGGGAACGTTATCAAAAGAGAAAACAACAATTTCATAATTGACAACCAAAAAATCTAGTATTACTAGAAGTGAATTTGAATGGAATAAATCTTAATTACCTATAACACCATAAATTTGTTTAGCAAAATACGGATATGCATTAACAGAGTTAGAAAAAACAGAGATTCTTAAATTCAAAAGAGTATTAATTTATTATTTAAGATTAGATTTATTGTATAGGAATTAATGCTAAGAAAATATAATAATAATCACAAAATAATTATAATGATGGATATGACAATGCTTAAGGAGAATATTTATATACATTACATGATCATATTGGTTATAGATATGAATTATTAGAACATGTAGGTTCTGGTAGTTTTGGATAAGCATTTAAAGTTTATGATCATAAAAGATAATAAGTTTTATGTCTTAAAGTCATCAGAAATTAAAAGAAGTTTTAGAATTAAGCATTAGTTGAATTAAATATATTATCATTCATCAGAGATAAAGATGGAGAAAATATTACAAATATTGTCAAAATTAAGGATTTTGTTATTTTCAGAAATCATGTGGTATTAATTACTATTTATTTTTAAAGTGTATTATTTGTGAACTCTTATCTTTAAATCTATATGAATTAATCAAAAATAATAATTATTAAGGGTTATCTCTAGAACTTATACGTAGATTTGCAATTCAAATATTAAATGCTCTCAACTTTTTATACAAAAATAAGATTATTCATTGTGATCTTAAACCAGAAAATATTTTACTTAAATAACCAAATAAAAGTGGTATCAAAATCATTGATTTTGGAAGCAGTTGCTTTGAAAATGAGAGAATTTATAGTTATATCTAATCTAGATATTACAGAGCCCCTGAAGTCATTTTTGGTATACCTTATGATATGGGAATTGATATGTGGAGTTTTGGATGTATTATGGCTGAATTATATATTGGTTATCCTATCTTTCCTGGAGAAAACGAATAAGAATAAATTGCATATATCATGGAAGTCAAAGGAATTCCTGATCATTCTCTCATTGAAGTATTCTCTCATTTCTAATCCTTACCTAGAAAGCTTCCAGGAAGAAACATTTTTTCACATCTTCTATTCCATATTAACCATTGACCTATAAAAATAAAAGAGGAAAAATTAGAATCCCTTAATCTAAAGATTTGTAATAAGTCTTAAAATGTTAAGATAAATTATTTATTGACTTTCTTGATAATTGTTTCAACTGGGATCCTTAAAAAAGAATGAAACCTATTGATGCCTTAATGCATTAATGGATTTTAGAAGGATTACCAAAAGAAATTAGAACTTAACACATTAAATATTTAGAATCAGAATAAATCACTTAAAAAGTTTTCTTTAAAAATAACGAAGCTAGACGATAACATCATATATCTGAACCGCAAATGGAAAAAAAAAAATCAAGTAGTAGTTATAGTTAAAAAAAATCTAAGGATAAAGATATTACTCTCACTCTCTATGGCAATATCAATAATGACACTACTCCATAAAATAAACGTATTCTATCGTAATCATTTCATACTTCCAAAAATGGAAGCAATTAAAAATATTAGCAATATTTTCCTGGCACAACAAAAAATTAACCATTAAAATACAAATTTTATTGAATTTATCTATATATTTTTATTTTATTTCACTAATAATAGAAATTTTGAAAATTTTGAAAAAGTATTAATATTTATATAAATATTAATTTTAATGATAATTAAATAAGTAAAATACTTAGAGATGTTGATAAAGATTATTTGAAAATGTTCAAATTCTAATATTTTTTAATATTGAAAAAGACTAAAGATTTGCTTATCAATTTATTCCTAGCAAGAAATAAAGCATTTTAATAAACCATATAATCTCAATAAATATATAAAATAGCAATACCAAAAATTTTATTGATGGACTCATAGAATATAAAGCTAAGAAATAGATGAGAAAAATTTAAATGGGTAGAAAATGCATAAAAGATGAAAAAAGTAAAGAAATTTAAATAATTATTATTTCAAAAAAATTAACGCTTACGTTGGATTAGATAAAAAGAGAATTGAGTTTCATCTTCCTTAATTTATAGAATAGAAATATCTGTTTATGATAGCAAAAATTAAATCTAATTTTTAGCAAGGGGAATTAAATTTATTATCCAATCAAATAAGATAATAAGCTACTTATAGAAATTCCGAAATTGGTATTGAAAAATATTCACAAAAATAAATTATACAAGAAGTAGCTGACTTGTTTGTGAAATTAGGGCATCAATTATACAAAAATATAATCTTTCCTTTATTGTAATTTACAATTAAATTGCTTTTAATTAATATCCGCGAATTATCATTTAAGAATTCATTACAAATTAAGATCAAACTTAATATCTTTTATGACAATTATTATATTTATATAAAACTTCAGATTATAAGTAAAACAATTAATTTGACTGAAAGTATTACACTCTTTTTAATTATTATTTTTTATAGAGATTGTTGAATCAATTATTTTATTTTATTATTCCTAATTTTAGCACCTGAAAGAGGGAATTCAATAAATCTGAATTTGTTACATCTAAATTTTAATTAAAATAATTTATAATGTCACAGTCTCTTAATTTATTTTTTATAAAAGAGTTCAAAAAACACACTAGCACCAAAACCTCCTCCTAATGGACCTCCTACAAAAACCCATAGAAATTCCATTCTCTATCTATCACCAGTTTAAAATGATTAAAAGAGTTATAAAGACACTGCCATTCCTGGGTTCAAACAACCTTTAGTTAATTCAATATATTATTGTACCTCCAGAATGAAATGTAAATCCTCTTGAAAAATACAACGCCAACGCTACCAGAACATAAGTTGTCATTGGTTATCCTTCAGGAGTCAAAGTAGTCTCTGAATCTGTCTATATTAGAATAAAAAGAATAAATGTGAATGTTCCAAATGCTTCACCACTTACATCAGATAATATCCAACTGTATTCTGTACTCTTTACTTAAGGACTATCAACTTCATTCAATATTAAATAGCAACAGCAAGCCCCACATAAAGCTCCTGTAAATTATGCTAACCAATATAGCACTGCTTATCCAAAATTTATTCTTCTTGAAATAAGCATAGCTAAAGTAACGGCAGGATTAACATGTGCTCCTGAAAATGGTGCAGCCAAACATACTGATGCAAAGAAAAATAAGGCTAAAAACTCATCAGATCCTTATGAACATATGATTCTAGCAATTACAATTTACCCTCTTACCCATAAGCAAATAAAGCCATTCCAAAAAACTCAAACAAAAAGATTCGCATCTCTTCTTTTGATTTTCCTTATGTTGGAAGTATATTTTTTATATCTGACTCTTAAGGTGTAAATTAAGTTCGTTTAATTATTTTTGTGTCTTGACTCATAATAAAAAAATTATGTAATTAAATTTATTTATAACAATAACCTTTTATAGCATTTATCAATATATATTCAAACATCTTTATTTATTTTATAAAAGTTTATTAATATTCTTAAACTATCATATCACTCTTAATATTAAATTCTTGCTATTTTAAACAAAACTCAGAATTTTATTAATATTTGTGATTTGCCTCATTTTTAAGAACTAATCTTCAAATATTTAATATTCAATATTTTGCATGTGGCTTTCAAAATTATCTTTGAATATTCTAAAAACTATTAATTTGACACAAAAATTTAAAGAATTTCTGAGAATTTTTTAATTAATTTTTTTGCTCTTTTCTTGAAGAAATGAAAGGAAAAAAGATAAATGTAGGAAATATTTATTATTTTATAAGCTTTCTAAATAGTCAATTTAAGAAATTTCAATAGTTTTTTCGAAGCCTATTTAAATATCACCTCCATCCACACCAGAAGAGATTTATACTTTATACCCTAAATCTAGTCGAAGTACTATCAATAATAAGAATACTAATGTTCAATCTAATTGCTCAAACTCGTAAAGTATTCTTCGAAAAAATAATAATTTAAACTTATTTTATTTTCCAAAGAGCATTTCCCCATAGAAAATAAAAGAAAAATAAATATAAATATCTCCTTTGAGTTTAAATAAAATTAAACATGATAGTTTTGCTAGTCAAAAATCATTACGTTAACCAAATAGAAGAGCAACTAAATTATGCTCTAAAGTTTTATAAAAATATAAAAATAAGTATTTTATATGATGTAATAATTAAATATAATTACAATTATCTTCTCTAATTAAAATTTCGATATTTTCTAATTAATTTATAAATATGAAAAATCTCAAGCTTATTTGTAATCTTTATAAAGGTTTATTTAAACTATTTAATACAATATTACGATTAGATCAATTTTAATTAAATTTCATTAACTCTTATATGGAACATTTTAGAAAAGATATTATAATTAAAACATTAAATTATAAGTAAATAATAAAAAATTATCATATCTTATCTTGATGAATCGTTTGCATAAGTTTTAATATTTTATTTGATTGATAACGGATTTGCTTTTTTAAGTCTTTTGGTTTCATCTTCTTAAATTTTTGAATTTAAAATATTTGTATCTTTTGAACAAAATTATTTTATTTTATTTATAAAGTTAAGCTAATTAATTTAAATTATTTATTCATTACTAATATCAGAAACAATTAAAAGTAAGATATTAGAATAAATCGATTACTAATTTTTTTTGAATACTTTTCGAATTAAAATATATCTATTTAGTAATTTACTATATATATTAAATTATAGTAGTTCAATGATTAATGTCTAATCAATGACATGGGTAATAATAAATTCTTTATACATATTTTGGATTAAATAATTTAAAAATAAATAATAATAATTTTCTTCAATTTATAATACAATTTGTAATAAATAATAAATCACTCTTATTTCAAAGTTTCTAAATGTTTTTGAGTTTTATCTTGTTAGAAAAAAAAATCTATAGCCAAAATAATGATAGCTAAAAAGAATAACACAGCAAATGGTAGATATGGATCAATAAAATAAAGTGGAATTAATAAATATGGAGAAGGAAGTACTGCTATTTTTCCAACTGCTTATGCTATTCCCTATCCTTATGATCTTAATTTAACTGGGTAGCTCTCGCAACAAATTATACAAATAGTTGCAAATAATCCTCTTATAGCAATTTTTGTTAAGAATAAGGCTAAATATAAAAATCTTTCCCTAAAAATAAATAAAATAGCATTGGATATTATTAAAGTAATAGCTGAATAAGCAATTATTTTAATTCTACCTCCAAATTTGATGTTATCAATAAAATTATAAATAATTGATGCAAATATAAATTCAATCAAATACAAAATAAACATAGGAAGAAATCCTGAATTATTATTTTGAAATAGAAATGGCAATAAAAGAAAAATTGTCATTTCTTAAAAATTAGTAAGTATATACATTATCCATAATAGTATTGTAACTTTTCTATAATCTTTTGAGAAAACACCATAAAGATTTATTTCTTCTTATAAAAGTTCAATTTTTTATTATTAAGACCAATTTATCAAAGCATTTTTCTTAATAAGTATAACAAACATACTTCAAAATCACATAATAATGTGTCTAAGTTGCCATTTTAAGTGATTTATGAATCAATAAGCTGAATTGCTATTTCATATTAACCTTTACTCAGATGATATCTAATGGTTTCAGTTAAATATAGAATAGAGAGTATAAATGCAATAGAAATTGGAATTCCATTAAATCTAATAAGTCCTCTCCAATTTCCAGATGTATAATCATCCAAAAATATAAAACATAAAGAAACAAAGTATATTTTTCCTAAAATATATATTAATGTGAGAGCATAAGAAAATCTTCCTCTATATTGAGGTTCAGTAATTTCTGTAATATAAACATAACCTAAAGGATTAAGTGTACCAAATGTTAATCCATATAACAATCGTAAAATTAAAATTTCTTTGTATGTATTACAAAAGCTAGTATAGAATATCAAAATAACTGATAGTCCTGAAAAAATAATAAATGTTATTTATCTTCCTATTAAGTCAGCAACAAAAGCACAGAAGAAATTTCCCAAAACAACTCCAAATAGAAATATAGAACTTAAAAGTGCTACTTAATTTTATGATAGATTCCATTCTTCTTTCAAAATGGCCATAAGGATAGACATAAATAAATATTCAAGACCTGCACAGAATTCTTATAATCCTATAATGGAAAGAGTTCTGATTTAATACTTACCTGTTTTAATATTTTTTTCAAGTATTTCATCAAAAGAAATCATTGAGATAAATTAATTTAATTAAAAAATACATATATAATCTTTTTTTCATTCTTCTTTTAAAGTTTCTAGATGCTTTTGTGTTTTATCTTTATCAAAAACACAAGCAAAGATTAGAATCAATATTGATAATAAACCCATTAATAAAAAAGGCAAATAGGGATCATAAAATAAAAGTGGAAATAAAAAATAAGGAGATGGAATTACTCCTATTTTTCCAATTGCCTAAGCGATACCACAACCTTATGATCTTAGATACAAAGGATAGCTCTCGCAAGCTAATATACCAATAGTTGAAAATAATCCTCTTGTTGCTATTTTTATTATAAACAAACCGAGATAGAGAAATTATTCTTAAAATATATATAATGATCCATTTGATATTAATAAAGCAATTCCTGAATAAGCAATTATATTAATTCTTCCTCCATAATGTGGATTATCTATAAAATGATAGATTATTATAGAAAAACAAAATTCAATTATAAATAATGTTAACATAGGTCCAAATCCTGAATTTTTTTTAGCCAATAAAAAAGGCATCAAAAGATAAATAGTCATACTCTAAAAATTAGCTAAAATGTATATTAGCCAAAGTAAAAATGTAATGGTTCTATATTCAGAGGACAATATTCCATATTTATGCAATTGTTATTCTTAACATTCAATTTTATGTTTTTCCTACCAAATTTATAATCCTTATTTCTAGAATTATAATTTTTATTTAAAAGTACCTCTTATTCATTTAATAAGCAATCTTCCCTTCCATTCTCTTGTAATATAACTTCTATTTCTTTAAAAGCCTAATCAAATTATCCTAAATTTAACTAATATCTGATTGTTTCTTTTAAAAAAATAAATGAAAGTAATGATGCGATAGTTAAAGGTATTCCATTAAATCTCATTAAGCCTCTCCAATTTCCGGATTCCATACTATCTAAAAAGATAAAACAAAGAATTATTAAGAATATTTTTCCCAAAACAAAAAGAAGAGAAATTGAGAAACTAAATCTACCTCTAAACTTTGCTTCCGTTATTTCTGAAAGGATAATAAATCCTAGCTAATAAGTTATTCCAAATACTAATCCAAAAAGCAATCTTAAAATGATCATTTCAATATATGTACTGCTAAAACTTACATAAAAACTTAAAAACGCACTCATAGCACTAGAGAATGCAAAAGTAGTCTTTCTTCCAATTTTATCTACTATAAACGCGCAAAGTAAATTGCCTAGGGCAATACCCAATAAATAGGATGAACCAATGTTAGCTATTTATGATGAGTCTAAATTCCATTCAGATTTAAGAATTGCCATCATTATCGACATAAATGTAAATAATATTCCATTACAAAACTCAACTAATCCAACTATAGATATTATTTTCCATTGATAAAATCCAGTCCCAATTTTTTTTTCAAGAATTTAATCGAATGATATCATAATATAAAAATTTATAATTATCACACAGTTTATTTCGCTTAAGGGAAATTTAGCTTTTCTGTGAAATCATTGAATCACTTTTTTTCTTGGTTGAATAGTTGCTTTTTCGAATTCTAAATAATTTAAATGAGAAGTGCCTATTTTCGACGCACCAATTAAAAATTACTGATTTTTGAAATTTCTTTTTCACTCAATTTTTAATATAAAGTTAAGTTTTACAAAGAAAAATAGACTGATTTCAATCAATTGCATATATCCAACAATTTTTTCAGGTAATACCTTTAAGATATTCTTAGCAAAAAGTTTAAAATTGACCTTAAATTCATTATAAGGAGAAAATTTTATAAAAATGATTGATTTTCCTTGAAATTTTTAGATTTGAGTTAGCATTTCTTATTATGTTCATATTGTCAAAAATTTATCACTCACTCCTGCTTAGATTATCGTTATAATGTTAAATGAGATAATACTATTAAATAATCTATGGTTTACTGAAAATAATTAAATAAATCAATATATCACCTTCTTTAAAAATGCAATTTAAATATACTGGTTCATCAAATGATAAACTTTTGATGTATAATTATTAGTCTGTATTATAAATTTTATTTTAATATTAATAATTAATATGAGATAAGAATTTAATTATTTTGAAAAGTTAAGAAAAGGAAAATAACTTCAATGGTAAATCGATTTAAGATTTGAAAAAGGTTGATTATTTATATTAAAAATAAATAATGATAGGATGATGATAAAATGATTTTTAAATATTTGCAGTTCATTTAATTTTATAAATGTATTTTATTTATGACTTGTAATTTATATCAATTTATTAATATATGTCTTAAGTCCACGGGAGTTCAATATTGAACAAAGAGAACCCAAATAAAGCTCCTGATCATTTAGGATCAAACGTGTTTACCGACTTGCTATCCTCTACATTTTACACAGTGATTGGTTATGTTTGCTTAGATATTGTATTTGGAATCAGTTTACACTTTATTGCTTAACATAATGATCCGAATGCTGTAGCAGGTTTAGGATTAGCATTTACTACAGTGAATGTGCTATTGATTCCAATGGCACTAGGTATTGATTAATAGTGAATAAAAGGAACGAATTAATCATTGAATGTACATTCAGCTTAAGCTCTTGGGGCTAAGAAACCTAAATTGGCTTAAAGTTATTTTACATTGACTATATATATTCATTTGATGTACTTTATTCCATTTTCAAGTACTTGAATATAATTAATGCAATAGTAATTCTGATTCTAATGAAGCCAATAGTTGCTAAGACAATTAATGAAGAAGATAGAGATGCAACAGCAGATGCTTCATAAATTTACTTATATTATTTATTACCATCAACATTATTTGCAATATTATATGAATGCATGAAAAGTTTTATGATAGCAAATAAAGTATGATATATATACATAGATATTTAGATATTTGCAGTGTTTATGTTTATATAATTGGGTACAGCTGCTCTACATACTTTATGGTGTTATTTGTTTATAGATTATTTAGATATTGGAGGAGGTATTCCAGGAGCAGGATTGGCTATTATCTGTACAGAAGTTTTGAATTGCTTATTCTGTTTAATAGTAGTTCTAGGAACTAAATATAAAAAGTAAGTATTTAGTGATTATAAATTTAAATTCACTATGAGAAAAAAAGAAAAAAAATTATTTTCAAGTTTTTTGAGATAATCTATACCTATGATTGGTCATATCTATGCAGATTATTTTGTTTTCTTCTTATTAAACTTTATAGCAGTAGGATTTGGATCTGATTAATTGAATGCTTAATTGGCATTATCAAATACATCTAATTTTTATTATAAATTTCCTATATCATTATCATTAGCATTAATGACATTTGTTGGTAATGAAATGGGAGCTAAGAATATTAAAAGAGCCAAAAGATATTCATGGGTTGGAGTCTTATTATTTATTGGATTTACAACATTATTCTTAGGTGCATTAACATTTCTAAGAGAAACTTGGGCGGAATTCTATTCTGCTGGAAGACAAGAAATTACAGATTTAATAATGGAAGTTTATCCTATATTTGTTTTTGGTTTTTTTGTTATTGATGGTTTATAAGGAACATTAACTGGAATATTAAAAGGAATAGAAAGAAAAGATTTTGTTACTTATTCAACTTTACTTGTATATTATTTAGTTGGAATACCTTTAGTTGTTTATTTTGCATATGATTTTGGTTTAGGACAAAAAGTTTATGGAATATGGTTCGCATTTGCTATCGTGAATGCTGTTTTAGCTGTTTTATATTTAATATTAACATTTACAACTAATTGGTCTGATATGTGTAGAAAAATCTGTTAAAGAATTGAAGATTAACATAAAATGTAAAATCTTAATGATTCTCTTAATAAAGATTTTGAAGAAGATCCAGAAAAACTTAAAACAAAAAGGAAAGTTAAATCATCTAAGGTTAAGGTATCATATACTCACATAATTAATTTAGTAATCTAAATAAAAGAAAGATGAAAATGAACCTGTTACTGATTAAAAGAAACCTAAAAAAGAAAGGAAACCAAGAAGACCAGCTGATGATGAATAATAATATAGTTTGTAAGCAACAGAACCAACAAAAATAACAAAATAAGAGGTTGATACAGTACCAATCTTGTCTTGACCTTTTATATTACAATATTTAAGAATATATTAATATTATTATTATTATTAATGGGTATATGCTAAACAAAACCTAAAGTAAATGAACCTCAAACTAAAATGAAAAAAATGAATACGGAATAAAGGTTGATGCCTAAACCAAGTCGTATATTAGATGTCAATTACAAATAAATACCAAACAAATTTCGAAGATAACCTACTTAAAGGAGAGTTCAACAGAGTAATTAATTCGACTCAGATACTTAAGGATTGTTTGGATTAACCAATCTAGGGAATACATGCTTTTTAAATTCAGTATTATTTATCCTTATAAAGTCCATCTAAGCCTTATCAAATACATAACCATTAGCTGATTACTTCATGTCCTAACTACATATCAAAGAGATCAATCCTGAAAATCCACTATCTTCATAAGGAAACATAGTCAAATCCTTTGCTTAACTCATTAGGCTACTTTGGTAGAAAGTTGATTAATATTAATATGATGATATGAAAGTTTTGAAACCGACATAATTCATTTCAACAATTGGGAATTATAATCCTATATTTGCAGAAGGTACTTAAGAAGATGCACATGAATTTATTGCTTTTTTATTAGATATGATACATGAAGATTTAAATAGAATCAAGAAAAAACCTTATGTTGAATAAACTAAATTTACAAGGTTTCCAACTCATGAAGATGCAGATTAAGAATGGAAAAAATATTTATCAAGAAATTAATCAATTATAGTTGATTTATTTTAAGGTCATATGCTTGATACTTTATCATGTCTAACTTGTAAATCTTCAAGATATTGTTTTGAACCATTTATGTATTTGAGTGTACCAGTTATGAATAGAGAATGTGAATTATTAGAATGCATTGAAGAATTCTTAAAAAAAGAAACATTAAGAGGTGAAGAAGGATGGAATTGTACAAATTGTAATGCCAGAAGAGATAGTAGTAAAAAGATAGATTTATGGACAATGCCAAATATTTTAATTATTCATCTAAAAAGATTTAAATTTAATTCTTAATTTAGAGCTAAAATCAGATCTTTAGTCAAATATCCATTATAAAATTTATCTTTTGAAAATCTTGTTTGTACAAAACAAACAGAAAAACCTTCTTATGATCTTTATGGAGTTATAAATCATAGTGGTACATTGACTTCTGGACATTATACTGCTTATGCTAAAAACAGAGATGATTTACATTGGTATCATTATAATGATGCTTTTGTATCACCTGTCTAATAGCCAGAACATTTAAATGATGCATACTTATTGTTTTATTTTAAAAATAGTGTTGAAGAATTCAAAAGGCAAACCTTAGAAGGCATCAACGTAAGCTAAAAAAGAAAAACTCTAAAAAATACTATAGCAATTAAATAAACAATGCTTAATATGCAATCTTAATAATCTAATAGTAACATTTCTGATCATATAAAAAAAAATAATAATAATAATAATAACAATTTTGCTCCTTCCGTTTCAAGTTAAGCAAAAAAAAAAATGTTATTTAGAAAATAAACCAAGCATTTTCAAATCATAAAAGCATAAGACTAACCGTCATTCTAATAGGATTCGTCAGTAATATAAGAAGAAAATTGATAATTATATTGAAATTATTAAATAACCCACTTATTCAGTATTTAATCCTTTTTTTGTTAATAAAATTAATATATTTAGAATTGCCTAAGAAATTACTTCAAAAATTTTAATTTATTAATTGATAAAAATAAAATTAATTAAACAATGGATAGGTTAGTTTTCATATACTTTAGATTAAGTTTCAGGTTAATAAATATATTCTTATAATCCAATAACATCTTAATTTGGTCTTACTATAAGTATATTTCCTTAAATTTATTAGCCATTAGTATTTTCTTCTTTTAAATAAGCTTTAGCTTTTGGCCAATAATAAATTCTAACATATTTGTCATAAATCATACTCAATGTTAATTCTAAATTTATTTATTGCATTGAGGCACATTGATATTGAGATAATTAGAAAGAAGATCCAAAAATAATACAATAATCGAAAAGATTAAGCATATACAATATTCTAAACTTTATTGGATTAAACTAATAAAAAAAATTATAATTGACTCTTGATAGCACTCCTATATTTTTATCTGTTATAGATTTTAAATAATTAGAAATTGGTTTTTTATAGTATCAAATTTAGTCCTAATTTTTTATATGTTTATTTAAAATAGTTGTCTCTTATTCTTATGCTTATTTTCAAAATGTGCTTTAACTAGTAAAAAATTAATTTATAACTGAAATTTCAGTACAACCAGCTATTTACTAATTTAGTTATGTTTAATTAGTTGGATATATTCCAAAATTACAAACATCCAGGTTGATTATTTGGATAAAAAAATTATTCTCCTGATAATGGTTATTATTAAATAGCTGTTGAATCACATAATGACATTTTAATTCAAATTATATTTAAAAATAAAAATTATTCTCAGAAAATATTATTATATCAAATTAATTATAGACCTGTTTCGATTTTACTAAATTGAGAACAATTAAAAATTTCAAAAATTATAACTGATAATATCCTAATTAATAATCCTATAGAAACTTAATTAACTTGACAATACTGAACTTTTTTTGTAATATTACAGGTTTTAAATTATTCTCTCATTAAATATTTTTTGCTTTTAGAATTAGATGCAGTACTGTATGTATTCTTTCATCAAATCTTTCAAATATAACAAAACATACAATATAATCTAAATTAATTTTTATAACTTTTGCATCTCAAAGTCATCCAATCTATTTTGTATATTTGTAAAATGGTAGAATACAGAATCTAATCCTTTCCTTCTTTTTATCTCTTAATTGTTGCTATCAGTTACTCCATTATTAAAATCACAGAAAATCATTATTCCTACACATTTGATTGATTTTATTGAATTGCAAACCTAACCAGTCATTATTAATCCTGCTATATTGAAAGCTATAATGATATGTTAACTAATTGTTACTAATTATTACTTTTCATTTATTTGTTTTATATCAATTATCGAATTATAAAATTGAAAAACAATTTACGCAAGTTTTTACGATTTATTCATTGAATTTTATTAAAGAGTTTTGGATTCTAAAGGATAATAGAATAAAAATATACATAGAATCACTTTATATAGTATTTCATCTTGAATAATTAATTGAAAAAGGATGTCTTAAAATTTCTTTTTTTTATTGTCTTACACAAGATTAAAGATTTTGTTATCACATTTTATAGACTCTCTTTTGAAATTTTAAATTTAAATTAAGAGTTTCAATAGTTAAATCTAGATAGTATTTAATTATGATATAATTTAGATTATGATAAGAACAAGATTTTTCTAAATGATTCTAGAATAATCATCATTTTTAATTTAAAAAAGTTTTTTTAAATTCATCAACAAGCTTTTATTATAATTCTTTAATTTTCTCTAATTATTTAATTCAATTTTGAATTTTGAATGTAATTAATGAAAATTATCAGTATTTTATATTATAGCGTCTATTTTAATTTATTGTGAATTTTATAAAGTATTTAATTAATTGTTGTAATGCAAAATATCTGAAAAAAATTGATATGATTTTCTTCTGTTGAATTAAATTTACAATATTAAATATTTTTCTAGAATAATTATATATATTTCATTTGCTTTATTTTGATTAGATTATCATATTAAAGCTTTATTCTTTTATCGATTTTCTGGAAATAAATGCGATTATAATTTGTTTTTGAGAATATATAAAAAACATACAATTATATTCAGATGTTACATTATTACTTCATTTTTACAAATTAGAGTGGGAATAACGGACCTTTCTTCCAAAAAAGACTTCTTCTTTTTAATTGTTTTGGTTTGATTAGTTCAGTCTTATACTCTAAACTTTTGGTCTCCCAAAAATACTTTCTTTCTAAGGATTCAGTTAATTTCCATCAAAATAAAGTTTTGGTGGAGGAGAGGGTTTGTATTCTTCTTTAAATTCTTACTTTTTTTAACTCTCCTAATCGTCTAATTAGATTTTTTGTAAATTTAAAGCCATTTTTTTTGGTTTGATTGGAGTTACGCTATTAGAAGTTGTCTATAAATGTTGTTTATCTAAGATTATTCTTTTCTACTTCTTTGAACTACATGAACCCATTATTAAATTAATAATTTTTTTTACAGTTTCAACACCTTTTATCAATTGCCACTATTAAATCAGAGATTAACAGAATTTATATATTAATAATTGCTTGTGTTTCAGTAAGTATTAAGTATTTGAAGAATGAAAAAAAATCTTAATAATAAAATAATAAAAACTAACAATAATAAAACCCAATATAGTTCTATTTGTAAACAATAATCTAGACATTGATTCAAATATCTTTATATTTCATATAGCAAGATTTTTCAATAAAGGAAACATTATTTAGCTTTTCTTAATAAGCAGTTCTTTTAATGCATATAAACTCTCATCATTGATATGTTTTATATTTAGAGATGATAAATTTTAATTATGAATAATATTTGATAAAAAATTTATAATGATTAAATATTGCACCAGACTAATGAGAATTTGCTATAGAATACCGATATATAGATTTTGCAAAGAAAAATTCGAAATATCAGATGAGGATATTGAAAAATTAAAGCTCTTGTATTCTTAAAAAGAGAACTACGAACAATTTATAAAATAAAAAGAGTGTAATATTATCATAACAAAATCATAGAAATTTTAGAAGATGTTTTTAAAGAGAGAGAATAATTGATATCATTTAAATTGATGTAAATGAGTGACATTAATTAAGTGTTTGATTTTTATTCTAAGGAAATAGCTAAATAATTAGACGATAAAAGTCCATAAGCTCCATTTACTGCAAATGAATTGAGTTTATTTCTCTATTTTACTAGTTGCTTAAGAAATGAAGTTTATGCTGAATAAATGAAAAATCATACCGACAGATTTTAATAAATTGCATCCAAAATCGTATTGGAAATAAATAGATTAGATCCAGAATAATTTTGTGCTTTTGTTTGGGCTTTGTCTACTTATTAAATTGAAATGGGGGATTTAAATCTTAATGATTCAAAATAGTTCATAATTAAATAATAAGCAGAAATTATTTTAGAAAAAATACCTCCTGATACACTACCTTCTTTAGCATTCTCTTTGTATCATATTATAAAAGATTAATCAGAGTTAATATTGAAGATCTCAAAACTAACTCAAAAAAATATTACAATACAAACTCCTAGTAATTTGATTACTTTAGTAAAAAGTTTACCAAAAGGTTCATTTACAAACTCTAGGCTCATTTTTGATTAATTATCAGATTAATTTCAATAAGATTTATTAACTTAAGATTAATTCATAAATGTATTAGTAGAATTAATGAGAATTACCAATCACGAAAATACAGAATATGTTAAAAACATGGTAGATTTATTAACTACTAAGATTGAATCAGCATAAAAACATAATTTAAATATTTCTATGTAAAAAGTGATTGATTTGATACTTTCTTGTACATAATTAGAATAGTAAGAGGGAGAATAATTAATTAAATAAATGTTAAGAATTTGTCATGCAAAAAGTGAAAAGTTGAACATCTCAGAATATATTTAATTGCTTTTGGCTGTTGCAAAAATTAAAAATAATAATTATGAATCTATTAATTTGGAAAAAACCATTAAAATTCTTATCGAATTAGCACATAAATCTCAAGTTTTTACTTTAAAAGATTTTGAATGTAAATATTATTAAATAAGCCTAAATAGAATAAGAATTAGTTTAAGTTATAGTAGGAGCTGCAGCCCTCAGGATAGATAATAAAGAATTTATTAAAAATGTAATTACTAAAATTGATCCTTTGTTATTACATAAATAAGACTTGTTATTATTAGCAAAGTCTTTTGTAATTTATGTTCGATTATTTGAGGTAGAATTATTAAAAATCCATTCAGTTTGTGCAAAAAAAAAGCATGAATTTAGTGTTTTAGATTAAGCTTAATTATCAAAAACTTTTAATAGGATTAAAGTGTTAATTCCAGATTCACCCTTTTTAAAATGAGTGCAATATAATTTATATATATGTATATAAGATTATGTCAAATAATTTTAAATTTTATAAATTTGTAGAAATATTAAGTTTTGTTTTAAATAATGCTGGCTTTTAAATGATATTTTAATGATTACATTTGTAATAAGAAATTTATGAAATATTCAATTATTATATAATTTAATTTGATTTAGCATTTAATTAATACAAAACAAAAAAAAGTTAGAACAATCTTAAGAATTTAGTTAAGTTAAAGGGCTCAAGCAATATTTAATTTTTACTATTCTTTAGATATGGACATAGATGAATAATATATATAAGATGTAGAAGGCTTAAGGATTTTTGAGGATAGAATAAATAATGTATTTTAATAAAATTATTAAAATTCTAATAGATTCCTTGAATAAGTTTTTTTCTGAAGAAAATTTGTATGATAACATTTAAATTCCTGATAGAAAAAAAATAGAAGTATTAATAAAGTAATGAAATCAATTAGAATGAATGTTTAGGATAAAATTAATTAAATTTAAATGGGTATAACAACAGATTTGGGAACTCAGTAATTAATGAAATTTAAATACCATTTCCTGATTGCTTCAAACTTAAATAAGAATATAATTATTTTTGGATAAAACTTCCAATAAATATTTGAAGAATAAATGGATTAGGTTCAAAGAAATTTTTTTTAGCTGGAAATATAATTTGAATTCGATCTTTCAACAGGAAAGAAAGTTATAGTTGTGTTTGATAAATAATTTACTTTTGAATATGGCAAAAATTAAATAATAAGAATAAATTTAATAAATCAAAATAAATCTAAGGATGAAAAGTATATAATTAAAAAAGTAGTAAATGAATGAATGTATACTCAAAATTAAAAAAAGTACCTAAAAGAAAAGGAAGACTAAAATGATTACAATATTTTAGTAATGAATTCTCATAAAAGAACCTTTGATTTTCTACTGCCTTTGAATTAAGGAAAAATTATTGTGAATTCTTAATGAATACAACATTGTCTATCACAAGGTAAGTGTAGAATATATATTTACATATTCTGAAAACAAATAATTTTAGTATATTTAATTCGATTGAAAGTTCAATCTCAAAATAAGATTTTTTTGATAAAAAATTTTTAATTAAATCCACATTTATAATCAAATATAAGAGCAGAAGAAATAATAAAATTTATAGAAGCTGGTGGTGGGATTATTACTAAATAGTCAACAGCAATTTAAATTATAAATATTTGTGAAGAAGGTGGCCTTTAGATTGAAGAATTTATTCAAATGATTTTATATTAAAAAGTATGATTAAACTGGTTGAAAATTTAATTATTTATATTGATGAAATAAAAACTTTGGATAGCTATTCCTAATGAATTAAAGTGGAAAAATGAAAAGCCAATCTTGAAATCTGAATTCTAAAAGGCAAATAAAAAGTTGAGATATTTAATAGCTTATGATCATTACATTTTGATCTCAAAAGTATAATGAAATTTAAACAAAGAAACCTGAGGATCCTCCAAAAAAGTTTCTTAAGTTAGATTTCGAAACTAAATTTGAAATAATTAGAACACCTGTATAAAAGAAAGATGAAGATGATGATTCATTGGGGACTATAATCGGAATGAATTTAATGAGAGATCATGGCTAAGATTAATTGCCAAGCTATAAATTAACAGCAAATGAAAAAATCATAACATAATGGAGAGAATTTTTTTAGTCTAGAATTAATTAATGGTAATTTCATCATCTTTTTAGAGTATTTAAGAAAATAGGAAAGGGTAATTTTGCCTCAGTAAATAATATCATTAATTTTAGGTTTATTTGGGAGAACGAATCGAAGATGGTACATAAATGGCAATTAAAGCATTTTCTAAATAAGCTGCATATGCAGAAGACCATGGAAAAGAAGCTATTGTTAATGAACTTACAATTATGAGAAAATTAAATAATCATCATCTTATGAGAATGTATGAAATTTATGAAACTTAAAATTCACTCTATGTTGCACTAGAGTTATTAGAAGGTGGTTCACTCTATGATCTAATTAAAGAAAAAGTTATTTTATCTACAAAACAAATACAATAAATTTTAGTAGGAATATTATAAGGATTGTGTCATATGCATGAAAAAGAAATTATGCATCGAGATTTAAAATTAGAGAATATTTTATTCAAATAATAAAAGTACTATTTATATATAATAATTTTATAGAAAAATGGAAACAGTAGTTGTTGCAGATTTTGGTTTAGCTACACATGTAAATGAACCAGTTTATTTATATTGTCGATGTGGAACTCCTGGGTATGTTGCACCGGAAGTTATTAACATAAAAGATATGAAAGCCCATTATAGTTCTGTTTGTGATATTTATAGTCTTGGTTTAGTCTTCTATTTATTATTAACTGGTAAGCCAGCTTTTCCTGGTAAAAGTTATGGCACTGTTGTTAAATAAAATAGAGAAGCCACCATTGATTATACTTTAAAATAATTGTAAAATGCTCCTAATACTGCTATTGATTTATTAAAAAGAATGTTAGAAAAAGATCCAAATAAAAGAATTAATGCACATTAATGCTTATAACATTAATATTTAGCAGAAATGAACAAAATTATGTTAGAAGATAATTAACATGACTTTATAGATGAAGGAGAAGAGAATGATTTAGGTATGAGAATGAATGCTTTAAATGAAGAGTAAATTTATTATAATATTTTTAGATCAGCTAAATTTGACGCATTTAGAAAAAATTAATTAATTAATTCACCTTAATCTTCTCCTGGTTCCCTAGCTACAAAATAAATTAAACATTAAAAGAACATTGATTCTTCAAATTAGTTATAAGCAAATTCCCCTTTGCTTACTGGTAAAACTGACAGTGTTGATAGTATTCCCAATATTGGACTATCCTAGACAAAACAATAAAATAATTTTTAAGCCTCTCCATAAATAAAACCATCCCGTTTTAAATAGTAAATTATAACATTAAAATTCTAGGAATATTCCATAATAAAAATAAGAAAACCCATTATTAAAATATACTTAGAAGAAAGAATGACTTTTAAGAGTCTGTTATATTATTAATCAGATAAAATTTTTTTTATTATTATTTTAAAATTTCCCTTTTATTTATTACCAATATTAATTTTTTGTTTATTTTTAATGAATAAACACTTTTCATATTTAATTTTTTTCTAATCATGATAATGAGGTACCAAATGGTATCATATACTTTTATTATTAGATGAAAGATAAGAACCCTTTAACTTTTTATTATAGTTTGTTTTATTTTGGTTTACAATTTTCATACTAGAAAAATTAAAACTATTTTTATATAGATTTGAAAAAGAAAAAAGATAATATATAGCTAAGAGAAAAATTACTTGTTTTAGAAATAAAGATTAAAGCTAAGAGCAGCAGATGAATATTTAAAAATATATGTTGTGTTATATAATTAACTTTTTAATAAATTATCTCGCTCATAATTAAATTAATAATCTCATTATTTTGATGATGACATTTTTTTAATTCTTTAAATTTCATTTACAATTAATGGTATAAGAAATGATCCTCCAATAATTGATAAAATTCCACAATAAAGAAATAAATGATTTTCTACATATGGGACAATTAATTAATTAATAGCAGCAAACATAGCTGCATATCCCATAATAACAGAAACTACAGTTGATGTTGCAGATTTACTATCTAGAGATAAATAAATAAATAAGTAATATACTTTTTAATTCTGGTTAATTACTAAGTTCTACAGTCATGGCAGTTGAAATATTATTATAACATCCACCTATAAATAATCCTGTTAAAAATATTAAACACATATATCCAGCTATTTCATGTTTAAATGATCCACTAAAATTAACTGAAATCATTATAACAGTTCCTATCCATAAAGATGGAACTGTTATAATTGCTCTTTTATTAAAATAATATCCAATTAAACTAAAATTATAATAGAAATAACAAATACCAAATTAAAATTCCTCCTGGAATAGAGCCAACATCAATCATAGCTGTTATCCAAGCAACATCATTTACATTTTTACTATCTAAATAACTTGGTAACCAAAAACCAAGAATATAATAAACTGCTTTTATACATCCAAAAGCAAACGCATATAAAGCAACATTTGGAACAAACCAAGCATTAAAATAATTTAGTTATTTTGTTTATTCTTGTTATAATTAAGGTTAATTAATTTGTAAAAATCCTTTTATTTTATAATCCTACATCTTATCACTTAAATCTTCTAATAATTCTTCTTCGTGCTTTTTCTCCACCATTGATATCAATAACTAGGATTACATTAATTTTTCTTATTCTGCTTTTGTTTTCTCATATTCTTCGATCATCTTTTTTTTTATATCATCAGGAGGAGAATTTTCTAATAGCCAATCACTTATAACATTCATAATAAATAGTTGAAATCCAGCTACATATATTGGTACATATAAAGGTAAATTATCTTAAGAAATTAATGAACCAGCATATATATCACCAAGTATATTTCCAACATTAGGACATGCTGCAAAGTATCCCATAAGTATAACTTTTTTATCTGTAACAAACCAGTTATTAAGAATAGCTATATAATATTATAAATAAAATACCTAGTACTCCACACCAAGCAGTTGATTATGATATTCCATTTATTATTTGTAAGATCATGAATACATAATTATGTTGTACTTCAATCTATATCATTACTCCAATCAAAACAAAAATTAAACTTGTTGTATAAGTTCCAACTAAAATAAATAGTTTTAAGCTCATTCTATCTCCATATTACCCTAATCTAAAACATCACTAATTTTATACACTGATAATGCACAACCATAACTAAACAAAAATGCAAAGTCAATATAGCCAAGATATTAAGCAGTAAAATATTTTTATGTTATCATCCCACTCGATACATAGCTCCATGTTGATCTACAGCAATGTATAAATGCATATTAGAAAAAACATAGAATAAATGTACCAAATCGTTTTCTTGTCATTCCAGAGATTGATGAGGTAAACATGTGACTTGATTATAATTAACAATAATAAAGATGCTTGGATTCAGATAAAATTTGAATGAAGCTCAATTAATTATTAAATGTATCTTTACTATATGTTGTATTTAGAAATAAAATTTTAATAATGGATGACGGATCAACTTATGTCAGCCAAAATCCATCCTTATCAAAAATTTTGAGGTATATTTTTCCTTTATTGTCTCTTCAAGATTATTCCTGGGCTAGAATGGAGTATGTCAAGCTAATGAATTCTATTTATGGTTTTTCAATTTTGATAATAAAAAGAAGCCTCAGCTGGCTTAGCAATAAAAGTTTATTCTAATCTAATACTTTTTTTGTGAGAACTTTGGTTTTTTCGAGTTGTTTGATATAGTTTAAATAAATATAAATATCATTCCATTTATTGTTTCTCACACTATTTGAATTGTATATAACTATACTTTTACTAGTTCAATCATCTGAAATGAAATATGTTACATTTTTTGAGTTGAATTCTTTTTCGTATAATATGGAAATATTAATGAATTAAATAATATAAAAAATCACTCTTTTTGTTTCCACAAAAATGAAAAAAAAATTTTTTTTTTTTGGGATTTATTAAGCAATCAGGTAGCAGTTTGCTTTAAAATATATTAAATATACTCAAATTAGGATCTTTAAAAAGTTTAGCTATTTACAATTTGAATAAAGTTAATAAAATTATTAATCTAGAGAATTGTTTTAGAAGATTGATTAGTTCAATAAAAATATTTAAACGCTGTAATTTAATTTAATATCATTAAATAAGGCATAATATTGTTTAAATGTTTACACTTATTAATAAATCTAATAATGAAAATTTTCAATGATTTCATTTAAAAAATCCTAGAGTCATTAAAATCTATGCAATTTTATGAAAAAAATTTCCAATAATTTAAAAATTTTTTATTTTTAAAATAATGTAGAAAAAAAAATAATTAAGGTGGCTAGTTTGTTATTATGTAAATTTATTTAAAAGAACTTGATTTATCTTAACACAAATTAATAATAATTAAATAAAAAGCATAAATAAGGAACTCATTATTTTGATGATGACATTTTTTTAATTCTTTAAATTTCATTTACAATTAATGGTATAAGAAATGATCCTCCAATAATTGATAAAATTCCACAATAAAGAAATAAATGATTTTCTACATATGGGACAATTAATTAATTAATAGCAGCAAACATAGCTGCATATCCCATAATAACAGAAACTACAGTTGATGTTGCAGATTTACTATCTAGAGATAAATAAATAAATAAGTAATATACTTTTTAATTCTGGTTAATTACTAAGTTCTACAGTCATGGCAGTTGAAATATTATTATAACATCCACCTATAAATAATCCTGTTAAAAATATTAAACACATATATCCAGCTATTTCATGTTTAAATGATCCACTAAAATTAACTGAAATCATTATAACAGTTCCTATCCATAAAGATGGAACTGTTATAATTGCTCTTTTATTAAAATAATATCCAATTAAACTAAAATTATAATAGAAATAACAAATACCAAATTAAAATTCCTCCTGGAATAGAGCCAACATCAATCATAGCTGTTATCCAAGCAACATCATTTACATTTTTACTATCTAAATAACTTGGTAACCAAAAACCAAGAATATAATAAACTGCTTTTATACATCCAAAAGCAAACGCATATAAAGCAACATTTGGAACAAACCAAGCATTAAAATAATTTAGTTATTTTGTTTATTCTTGTTATAATTAAGGTTAATTAATTTGTAAAAATCCTTTTATTTTATAATCCTACATCTTATCACTTAAATCTTCTAATAATTCTTCTTCGTGCTTTTTCTCCACCATTGATATCAATAACTAGGATTACATTAATTTTTCTTATTCTGCTTTTGTTTTCTCATATTCTTCGATCATCTTTTTTTTTATATCATCAGGAGGAGAATTTTCTAATAGCCAATCACTTATAACATTCATAATAAATAGTTGAAATCCAGCTACATATATTGGTACATATAAAGGTAAATTATCTTAAGAAATTAATGAACCAGCATATATATCACCAAGTATATTTCCAACATTAGGACATGCTGCAAAGTATCCCATAAGTATAACTTTTTTATCTGTAACAAACCAGTTATTAAGAATAGCTATATAATATTATAAATAAAATACCTAGTACTCCACACCAAGCAGTTGATTATGATATTCCATTTATTATTTGTAAGATCATGAATACATAATTATGTTGTACTTCAATCTATATCATTACTCCAATCAAAACAAAAATTAAACTTGTTGTATAAGTTCCAACTAAAATAAATAGTTTTAAGCTCATTCTATCTCCATATTACCCTAATCTAAAACATCACTAATTTTATACACTGATAATGCACAACCATAACTAAACAAAAATGCAAAGTCAATATAGCCAAGATATTAAGCAGTAAAATATTTTTATGTTATCATCCCACTCGATACATAGCTCCATGTTGATCTACAGCAATGTATAAATGCATATTAGAAAAAACATAGAATAAATGTACCAAATCGTTTTCTTGTCATTCCAGAGATTGATGAGGTAAACATGTGACTTGATTATAATTAACAATAATAAAGATGCTTGGATTCAGATAAAATTTGAATGAAGCTCAATTAATTATTAAATGTATCTTTACTATATGTTGTATTTAGAAATAAAATTTTAATAATGGATGACGGATCAACTTATGTCAGCCAAAATCCATCCTTATCAAAAATTTTGAGGTATATTTTTCCTTTATTGTCTCTTCAAGATTATTCCTGGGCTAGAATGGAGTATGTCAAGCTAATGAATTCTATTTATGGTTTTTCAATTTTGATAATAAAAAGAAGCCTCAGCTGGCTTAGCAATAAAAGTTTATTCTAATCTAATACTTTTTTTGTGAGAACTTTGGTTTTTTCGAGTTGTTTGATATAGTTTAAATAAATATAAATATCATTCCATTTATTGTTTCTCACACTATTTGAATTGTATATAACTATACTTTTACTAGTTCAATCATCTGAAATGAAATATGTTACATTTTTTGAGTTGAATTCTTTTTCGTATAATATGGAAATATTAATGAATTAAATAATATAAAAAATCACTCTTTTTGTTTCCACAAAAATGAAAAAAAAATTTTTTTTTTTTGGGATTTATTAAGCAATCAGGTAGCAGTTTGCTTTAAAATATATTAAATATACTCAAATTAGGATCTTTAAAAAGTTTAGCTATTTACAATTTGAATAAAGTTAATAAAATTATTAATCTAGAGAATTGTTTTAGAAGATTGATTAGTTCAATAAAAATATTTAAACGCTGTAATTTAATTTAATATCATTAAATAAGGCATAATATTGTTTAAATGTTTACACTTATTAATAAATCTAATAATGAAAATTTTCAATGATTTCATTTAAAAAATCCTAGAGTCATTAAAATCTATGCAATTTTATGAAAAAAATTTCCAATAATTTAAAAATTTTTTATTTTTAAAATAATGTAGAAAAAAAAATAATTAAGGTGGCTAGTTTGTTATTATGTAAATTTATTTAAAAGAACTTGATTTATCTTAACACAAATTAATAATAATTAAATAAAAAGCATAAATAAGGAACTCATTATTTTGATGATGACATTTTTTTAATTCTTTAAATTTCATTTACAATTAATGGTATAAGAAATGATCCTCCAATAATTGATAAAATTCCACAATAAAGAAATAAATGATTTTCTACATATGGGACAATTAATTAATTAATAGCAGCAAACATAGCTGCATATCCCATAATAACAGAAACTACAGTTGATGTTGCAGATTTACTATCTAGAGATAAATAAATAAATAAGTAATATACTTTTTAATTCTGGTTAATTACTAAGTTCTACAGTCATGGCAGTTGAAATATTATTATAACATCCACCTATAAATAATCCTGTTAAAAATATTAAACACATATATCCAGCTATTTCATGTTTAAATGATCCACTAAAATTAACTGAAATCATTATAACAGTTCCTATCCATAAAGATGGAACTGTTATAATTGCTCTTTTATTAAAATAATATCCAATTAAACTAAAATTATAATAGAAATAACAAATACCAAATTAAAATTCCTCCTGGAATAGAGCCAACATCAATCATAGCTGTTATCCAAGCAACATCATTTACATTTTTACTATCTAAATAACTTGGTAACCAAAAACCAAGAATATAATAAACTGCTTTTATACATCCAAAAGCAAACGCATATAAAGCAACATTTGGAACAAACCAAGCATTAAAATAATTTAGTTATTTTGTTTATTCT